TACTGTAGCAGGAAAGCAATCTAGGAATAATATTATTTCTAACTAATTTTAGAAGGATTTTAGGGTATTTCTAAGTAAATCTAGCGTAGTTTATATACTAAATCTAAGGGGGTATATTAGAGGCTAGGGGATCCACTGGGCGTACATGTACCTAGCTGGACTAGAATATACGGGATTTTTACCTAAATGCCAGAGCTCCAAGTCTGTAGAGCCAGTCTTACACATATACACACAATCAAGCCACGTTGAACCTATATCGATTATTACCAATACTATCACATAAGTCGCTCTAGTGTTAATAGTGTCGTAATTGCAGTCCCGGGACTTGCACAGGTTTTGAGGAGAGAAAGCTCCAATTGGAGCGTCGCATTCGTTTATGCGGTGCTTCTCGATGGCGGTGAGTTAGTTCCAGTTTCCAAGTCTTTTCTTACATCTTTTATACCTGTTGGTATTTCTATCTGTTTTCCTCGTTCAATAGCGCGGTATCCACGTTGGTGTTCTATGTGTAGGAAATGGGTGGGATGCCCGAAAATGTGTAAGAAGTACAGTCAGTCCTCGTTCAGGCCTCTTGGTTGGTCAATGGTCCGTCCCATGGAAACATGGCGACTGGGATGCCGGCGTGGCGGGACACTGCATAAAGAGCCCCAGAGCTGAAGTTGGTGAACCAACCTTTATCATCTGGTACCGGACGTTCGGCGGTCGGTGATCCGGGTTTCTCGACAAGTCAAGCTTTCTGGCTGCCCTCGAATCTCGGGTGACATGTCTTGGTTTCGTTCCTCTTGGGAAATAAGGTCAGCGGAGGCTAACCAGGCTTTTGCGGTCATCAGAGTGCAACGTGAATGGGCAATTTTTGGAAACATTTCAGTGTGTGAAAGACCGGTTGACAAGGTGATATTGTGTCGTTACGTTCCGCGGTCAACTTGAACGGATCTGGATCGAAAGCTGGCGATACCGAAAGTCAATCATGTCTGGGGCAACATTCAACAATATCAAGGGCGGAATGGTGGAACATGGAACAAGGAAAGGTATGTGATGGGTGTTCCAGTGTACCACAAGCCGGGTAAATGGGGCGGGCTACGATGTTCGTGATTGGGTGAGCAATGAAGTGTCACACACAGAGATACGTTTGTACCTATGGCCACGAGGGATACCCCATGAGCCGGGGGAGGGTTTGGAAAGGAATCGTCCAGGCCATCATAGCTTGAATGAATTGCTTATACATAGGTGGCTGGCCGCTATCCGTGAACGTGGTCGTCCGTTTTGGCGTGCGTCTCGTTCAGCCGCTCTTGTGGCTTCGGGTTTGCCGTTTTGGTTTTTCCACGCTTTTACGGAGTTATGAGTCTGTGAGACGGCCACGAGGGGTTTGTCCCAGAGGAAGTGCAATCTCGATCGATGACCCCTGGAATGGAACTTGCGTGACGAAAGCGCAACACAACACCTTGAGGAAGCGAGTGACGGACGGATCTGTTGCAATCCCCAAGTCAAAACAGAGTTCAAGCCTTCTTCCCCTGTCCTTACCCATCACTGGAAATTTCCATATAAGATAGGTCTCAAACTCCATGTCCCCTTTTAGCTCAACATCAATATCCAGGAGGCTCTCAAGCCCGTCCTCTCTGCCCGCCAGTTCGGCCCCCAACAACGGACCCACCCACACTCGGCCAAGTCTGGGGATTGGGGATCTCGAAAAGTTCGGAACCACGAATGCGGGTGGGTGTAACGCCAGGCCACCTAAAAATAGGTCGACTGGGGCTACTGCATGGTACTGAATGGAAGGACGCCAATGCGTGCACTACATTGCATATGTAACTGCGTACACTACCTAGCTTCAGGTCAGTCAGGAACACCGCAACTCTCTGGGATTCCCAGCTTCAGGCGTCCAGGGGATGTACAAAGTTGGAAGTGAGCACGGATGAGAGCAATGGGGAACAGATGGATCAGAGGGGTTAAAGATGGATCATGTTACCCTTTGTTCGGAGTCCGGTCCGAGTCACTTCCGTGGAGGCACTCTTCCAAGCCGGTGAGATACTCTGTTGAGGACTTGGGCTTGGATATTTTTCAAGACTGGAGGTGATATCGGTAGCTTTCCGTCTTCCAGTTGTGGTTTCTGTCCTGCTCGTGGCCATGGTGACTTGTGGCCTGGATCACAGATGTCAGACGGCGAGGAGGACTGGGAGCGAGGGAGCGAGGGAGCTTACAGAGTGCGCTAACAGAGGGAACCTTGACTCTTGCAGCCGCCGTCGCTTTTTCATATCATGATCCTGAGTATCACCTCAAAGATAGATGCATATTAATTTCTAAAAGCCCCAGCCAACAGACTTCAATACGGATTCGTTGTCTAACTAGCTGGTTCTCATTTCAAACTAGGAGTGTCTTTTCCCAACGAAGTAGACCCGTTACAAGCACTGGATGCTTACGGTGGGTCGTGCTCGCAGTGGAGGGCGGCCAAGCATTGCACTAACATTTCCCTTAACACCTCTCCGCAGCGTCAGTCACAGATGGTTCTGATAACATCGCAGAACGGGCGGGCGTTACAAGACTATTTCATAAACGTCTTGAGAATCTCCATATATTGGTTTCATACTCGGGGTATTTAATTTGGCACCAAACCTCTCACACCACTTACAATACGCAGACCACTTTGTGTGTCGAGGTGGAAGGTAGACCTCCAGCGTTCTTTGTACTTGTTAGTGCACCGCTAAAGTGTACCCAACCTCGGTGCCCGTGCCAATGCCCGGAGCTCCATTTCGTCACTGTCACCTCCCAACCTCCCGTCGACATCGATGCCGTCGTTCAACGTTCAACATCAACTCCTGTCGCCGAATATCAACAAAGTTAGGAGGAGACGAACCATCATCGCTGCTTATGAAGGCACTCTCTTTCAAGAACGCACCTCTAAACCGCCATCGCGGCATCGCTAATCGCCAGATGCTCCATGTCCTCGACTACAACTACATGATACCTACATTTACCGAGGCGAAGAATAATAGCCAAAATCGGCTTAACGTTGGTCCGTATTTCTTCATCTATAAAGACCTCGAGCATATCTCATACAAGCACTTCAATCATCTTGGTTGACAGGAGGTTTTACATTGGCATTTCATCTATGTGCACCAGGGTTGTCTTATTTGTGCACCAAACCTTATATATGCACCATTATTACAGACCTTAGCACGTCTTTTTGACGTAAAATAGCATTTACATAGTAAATTCCATAGTGTTACATGTGCATGAAAAACATCACAGCGATGTCCAGTAACATAGTTTTGTATGGAGATTTGTATGGCACACAATGTTTTCAAGATGGCAGAGTTCTGGCATTCATCTATATACTTCGAATGACTATGCTACTAACTATAGGGAGTAATCTCATAATACTTTATACGGTGTTTTGGCTCTCCATGGCCTTCTGGCTGGGTCTAACTATACGGCCACTGCGTGTAACCTTAGCGGCTGGCAACTTTACTTATATTTTGGCTAGAATCTTGTGCGTAACGCGCGTAGTGTTTTGAGGCTTCAGGAAAGTTAGTAAATGGTTTTGGTAATTGATGCGATTAATATTCACGTACTTACGGTCGATTCTAGCCTGTTTTGGTGATTAAAGGTGGCTTGGTTGTAAAGAGGGAGTAGAAAGAAGGTTGTGAAGGCTGAAAGGCATTCAAGAAGGCTCAAAATCACTCTGTCTACGGTAAAAATGGGGATCGTGCACAATGGGATCCACTGGGTTACTGGGCTTGGCACTGACTTACACTGAAAGGGTGTTGTACAATTACTATCTGGCTATATTAAAGGTTGGAAAAAAATAATGTGCACGTTAAACCCTAACCCCAATGGTGCATATATAAGGTTTGGTGCACAAATAAGACAACCCTGGTGCATATAGATGAAATGCCTTTACATTTCTCTACCTGAAGAGGTACTCTACCACTAGCTCATATGACAAACTCGAGATACATTATACCTAACTGATTTGGCAGTAGACGGAGCTCCCCCGAACTGACCTCCACTCCCCAACGGGTAGTAACGGATGGTGCAAAAACCACCGTCTTTCTTTTTTCTGATTTTCTGGCATTTCTCTATGTACCTTCCTCTTCCTTTTGTGCCATGTGTCCCTCTTTGTTCCCTTGATATTTTTTCTTTTCATTTTCCTCAACTCCATGAAAAGAAGAGAAACCCGTAGCAAAATCCTGTAAAAACCCCTGTCTTTTTTTCCGAGTTTGCTGGCGTTTCTCTCCATTAACTCCTCATCTTCTTTCGGCATTGTGTTTCTTCTTCTTCCTCCTCCCAGATTTTTCCAACACCTTTCCTCCAGCCCTCGAAAAGTGACTTACTCGGCGGGCAGTGTCACTTTTCTACGCGGGCAGTGTCACTACCCGTATAGCCAACCTGCAAATCGCTAAAGTAAACGTATCAGACTTAGATTTATCAGGAATTAGGCGTTAATATAACACTGCCCGCGTAGGGACATCAGGGTAGGGTTGGCTATACGGGCAGTGTACACTGCTCGCGTAGAAAAGTGACACTGCCCGCCGAGTAAGTCTCCTCGAAAATACCAAACCTGAGACAAAGAACCACCAGAACATAACCACCCCGTGTATCCAATCCCTACGGCCCTATCCATCACCTCCTTCCCCCCTTCCCCCCTTCCCCCTTCCCCCCTATCCCCTTCTTAAGCCCCCTCCCCCAGCGTTAGAGATAACTCAACCCAACGCAACTCAACTCAACTCAACTCAACTCAACTCAACTCAACTTGGGCATTTTGGCTGGAGTTGCAACTAAACTCGGGACCCTCGAGTTGAGTTAAGTTGAGTTGAGTTAAGTTATCTCTAACGCTGCCCTCCCTCCCCTTCTTAAAGAAAATCTCATTTAAGCCCCCTTTCATCAGGATACTCTCCGACGTCTCCGTAGCCCCCCAAACACCACACCCTCCCCAAACTATCCGGGTCCTTACACCCGACATCCGTCGCATCCGGTCTCTTCTTGAAATAATGCCAATACGTCTTGTCGTGTTCCTCCTGCGCCTTCCTTTTGCGTTCGGCCTCCTCCGCCTCCTGCTTCCTCTTCTCTCGCGCTCCCGCATACGGGTTGAAGGGCGAGTCTTGGTCCGAGACCACATAGAGGTCGGGTGGAGTCTTGAACTCCCAGTAGTCGTATTTGGCGTCCATCAGTTCCGGCTTGGCTTCCTCGGGCGTGAGGTGGATTTCCAAGATGCCGGGGAGAACCGTTTGTGCGCGGTGGGGGTCGTCGTTGTAAGCGTTGGCGACGGCGCGCTTTCCCTTTTCGTTCTTGTTATGGGAGGGTCCATTGGACTCGGAGGAGGAGGTAGTGGTGGGCTTGCTGGTGGCCACAGTGGGAGTGGAAGTGGGAGTGGCAGAGCTGGAAGATCTGGAAACGTCGCCGGCGGCGCTGGTTCTCTGCAAATGGGGATGAGGAGTCCACCACTTGGGCGAGGCCTTGACTGTGAAGGAAGCCGTGGCTGTCACCGAGCTGCCGCTGGCAGACGCCTTGGAAATGACTATCTCAATGCCGCACTTCATCGCCTTCACCATCACCTTCTTCTGGCTCTCCTTGTACGTCTCCGTCTCCTGCTTCTCCTTCTCCCCCTTGTTCCTATGCTGATCAACACCACCACCCCCAACCCGTCCCCGAAACCAATGATTCCAACTTTTACCCTTCGGGTTCGGATGCAAAGGAGTAGCCTTGTCATCACCGTCACCGCTTTCCGGCAGCTCCGGCTCATCCGAGCGACGAGAATGACCGGACCCCGCAGACCCGTCGGCGGACCCGTCGGCGGCGGCGTTGGAGCAATCGGTGTCCTCGGTGATCTGGTCGCAGTCGACACCATTGATAGAGCGAGGGATGAGACCGTTGCCGTACTCAACGTCGTTGGCCCAGTCGGGAGGAGTGACGCCTACTGGGGAGACAGGACCAGGTGAGCGGCGGGAGTGGAAGCTTCCCTTTCCTGCCTTACCCTTACCCTTAGCCAGCTTGCCCTCGCTCTTGTCTTTGCCACCGATGTCCTCCATGCCCTTGCCCCCGTCCTTTTCATGGTGCTTGTCGTTGTCGTGAGTAGGGACAACAGGCTTGATATGCATAGGAACATCAAGCTTGCCATGATTAGGAATATCAGGCTTCCCATTAGGTCTCTGGTAGGGAGAATACCAGTACTGATGGGGAGCAGCAGCGTGGCTCGCGGCAGGGTTGTGGCTCTCAACATCGTATTTCTCAGCGAAGCTCTCAACACGACGCAAAACCGCAGGGGTAGAAGTGGCATAGGCAGCAGAAGCAGAGGCACTGTTGGAAGCGCCGCGGGTCTCCTTCGCAGGGGCATACCCCTGGCCGTGGGTCTCGGGACGACTCGTGGAAGCAAGAGCAGCATGAGTAGAGGAAGACTCAGGGGCAGCACCATAATACTGGTGGCTAGCAGTAGTAGTAGGCATTACTGCGCCGCTCGTGCGACGAGCAACACCCCCATAATGCCCGTCTCCTTCGTGGGGGTACATGGTTTCCCATGCGCGGCTTTGGGTACTTTGTGTAGGCCAACCGTACACAGAGCGGCGAGGCTTGTAATGGTCGCCGTAGGGGTAGTAGGTCTGTTATGTTTGTTAACACTCTCGTCCCTTCCTTTCCTCATGACACCTCTCTCTCTCCGTCCCCTCCAGTCCCCAAAGGACCCAAAGGACCCAAAGGAAGGGAGGAAAAGGCAAAAAAAGAAGAAGAAAAAAAGAAAAAAAAACTCACCCTCCCATCAGGAAGATGCACAGTCCCCTGCACCTTATGCAATCCCTCCGTCCCATAATTCTCTCCCAAGTTAACCGTCTTGGGCTCCCTAGGAGTGGGATCAGCCCCGACTTTGGGCTTCGGGTTTTGCCCAGGGTGGATCCAGTCACGCTTATCCTGCTCGTGCTTCATCTTCTTGTCGTCCGGCTTCTTATTCTTAACATGATGAAAGTTCTCATCCTTCTGCCCAAAGCGGAGCGCCACATCCTCCACGGCTTGGACGAGTGGTGACTTGTCCTTCTTTTTGGCCTCCAAGTCAGGGCGGTGGTAGTGATGCTTTTCGCCGGGCTTCTTCTCGGTCTCCTTCTGTTTCTGCTCGTTCTTCTTTTCGGACGACTGAGACTCCGGCTTGGACTTGGACTGCAGCGGCTCCGACGACTCTGGCTTTGACTTTGACTTGGTTGCAGGGACGGGATCATGATGCGCCAGGTGATCTCTCTTGACTTTGTCATTTGCTTCCACACCACCGCCAGGTCCAGGCGGCAGCAGAACGAGCGGTAACTTATCTGTATTAAGGGTCTTCTCGTCGATGCTCATCGTCTTTGTCACCTCAACCACCTGATCATGCGTGGCCACTTCCTTGAGTTTGTTGTGGAAGTCATGACCCCAGCTGTTTGTATTGCGGCGGGGCTTGGGTTCGTGGTCTTTTTGATCGTGGCCGGAGGACTCGGGCTTCGATGACTCGGACGGGTTGTCTTTGATGGTGACACGACGAGCAACCCGACTTCTCAGGACACTTTTGTCGTTGAGGTCTCTTTCGTTGATCTTCTTGTCGCCATCGTTGCCAGAGGCAGTACAGGCAGTTGTATCCTTGGAAGTATCCTCCTCGCCAACCACAAACCCACTAGCAGTCTTCATCGTCTCCTTCGGCTCAAAGTGGATCAAGTCATCGACATCAACATCTGTAGGCACCGCCGTCCCCGTCAACTGCGGCACAACAATCCTGTTGGTAACATGATAGACCTCAGCCGTCTCAGTCGGTGTCATATCCAGTTCGTTGCGTTCTTTGAGACGAAGAAGACTCATCGGGACTTGGACAAGACTTTGGTCGAATTGTGGCTGTTTGGTTTGGTTTCATGTCAGTATTCTTCTTCTGTCTTTTCCTCTTCTCTTCTCTTCCCTTCTCTTCCTTTCCCTCTTCTCCTCCTCCCCTCGTTTCACCGGGTAGTATGTATGTACTCACCTCACTCGTAGTACCCCTCACCTTAGCCTCAATCTTCTCAGCCTCCTTTACCACCTCCTTCCACCCCGGAATCACGACATAGGATATGAAGAAATATCCAAAGACCATGACCAGAAAAAAACTGATCAAGGTGATGGAGAAGGGGGGGCGGGAGGGACGATCAGAGGGCCCGGGGCTAGCTGGGGGAGGGTTGGGGTTAGGGGGGCTGGGGGCCGGGGTTGGGGGATACTGGTTGTAGCCGGGCGGGTTGTCAGCATGGTTGTGGTGGCTGGAGCCAGGAGGGCTGTAGGTTGGTTCCATTTTCTGCATCCCGATGGATTCGGGTTCCTCCATCATGAGATGGTGATGGATGGAAGCAGCCCTATCGATGGATGGATGGAAGTTATGTGATGCAAGTTCTGTTGATGGAAGTTCTCCCATGTATGTCGTTTCGATACACTCGAGAGTGAGATCGAAAGACCAGGGGTCGGGGAATAGGTTGCACTTATATAAGATCAAGAGGAAGGAGAAATCCAAAGGACTCGAAAAGAGGGGGATAGGCGGGCTTTTCTACTGCTTTCTCTGCTGCTACCAACCTTGCTCATGCAACGGCTTTTCTTGCTTGGGCGGACTTCTGGTTGGAAGACGTAATTGATGTGAGGAATACCATAGAGATGTACGTGGTGTACGTGGTGTTCGCACGCCCTGGAAATGACGGAAATACCTTGTTTAACTGCAGCTGTGTCCATGCCCGTGGCTCTCTATGCCCGGCTTGCCCGCAGCCAACATGCCCGCGTATGCCAGACAGGCAGGATCCCAGGTTGGCTTGTGTGGCGGCAATGGGCAGATAACAACCTTGACATTCTTGCATAGGACAAGGAAATATTGAGGCAAGGTGGCTTGGAGTTGGAAGAGGCAATATCAACAAGATACCCAGCTTGGACAGTTGACATGGGAGATGCTGCAGCTGGGGCCATCCGGCTTCGGAGTTTGGATACGACAGGACCGACGTGCACTATGGCCGAGTCCGCCAAACCTATAAAAGGAGATAACGACCCTCCAAAGTTTAGAGTGGTGTAAGAACCATGAATCTTTCCAATTCTCTTTCTTATTTTCAACTTTGAAATATCACATACTCAAGACTTATGTTTCTAGTACGAACGTTTTGCACCCTTCGTCGACCAAGATGCAAAGTGTCTATCTGCATACTAACTCATTCCTTAAATCTTATACGCGCGCATGAGAACGGTCTTTAGACCCCCAGCGGAAAGCGGAAAATGATGTTCTTCAACTTGGCTTGCCTTTTGTTGCTTAAAGAGAAGAAACTCACCCAGTTCTCTTCAGAAGGCGGTGCATGGAGTAAAATCCGGATGCCCCAAGGCAAATGGGGGGTGGGTGCGAGGAGTGCTGCCCTAATTTAGAGCTTGACTTACCGCACCTAGGGATGGTTATTTTCTGAAAAAGTACCTAGATCTTTTACAAAAGTTTTCAGAAAAATAGAAATTCAGAAAATGACGCTAGTGTAATTGATCCGTACACCACCCTCACCATACTACACCAAAACCGCACCCTATTATCATTAACATCTCCTTCAAGAATCAACCAAAACATATAATATTAATTTCGTTCAAGTTGCTAAAGCTATCGCAACCCTCTCGCAATGTTTCTCGCGCAGAAAGGATAGTATATTACCTATATAAGCGAATACCTCAATAGCTGCGATGACGAGGTACACTTTACACCTATTTGCTATATAAAAGGTACGTATATGTGGGGCACGGTCACGTAAAAAGTCACGTATGAAAAAAGGAACGCGTTTCTTTCCTTCGGTTTCCTTACTTTTCCTTGCGGTAAATATTCCCAGAATTTCCCTGCCATCACTAACCGCACCACACCCTTTTTCTACGCGCACCATTGGTTTACTCTTTATTTTTTATCCTGGCGTATATCTCATACTGGTGGCGGCCACTTCCATGGCATCTGCAACCACTGAGGTCCCCAATACCTATCCTAAGAACTATATCTTAAACGCTGTATGCTGATGCATGTTCGATACAATGAGGTTGATAACTCTCTGTCCGCTGAGCAAACATAGCCAAGTAACCCTCTGAGGGCAATCAATGTACCCGTTGGCCAGGGAAACAGACAGAGCACTGCACTGACCTCCTCCCAACGGGTAAGCGTCAGATCCTACAAGGAATCGACGGCAGCCACCCAGATAAGTAACGATTCACAGAGGCCCCATTTCTCCTGTGCCTAAGGCGCCCACACACTCGCCTGACCATGTATTATTGCCTTGTTACTCCCCCGACCATGTATTTCCTTGTCTTGGACTCCAAATTGGAATCCCACGACTGTACAAACCAAACAGAAAACACAACGGCAAATCTCGGTCGGTGGTTGAGGTTCATAATGGAGATCAACCCAACGTCCTCCCCAACCCCCAACTCCACCCCCCCTCCAGTCCTTCCTCATCCTCTCCCTCGCCTCGCGATCCCTACACACATCCTCCTCCGTCAACCGATCCTGGCCCTCCCAATTCGCGCTGCTCGTCCTGGCCCTGAACCGATGATGTCTGCTCTTATCCTTGCTAAACACCTCCTCCATGTTGAGAGGCGCAGGGGGGCCGAAAATGACCATCGGATCGAGCTGCTCCTGTGCCAAGAGCTGCGCTTTGAGGTAGGGACTGTCGGTCCAGTTGCCACCGTTCAGGGAAGAACGGAGGTTGGGATTGGAGGTGCTGGGGATAGTATAACAACTTTGCGGCGGGTCCCCGCTGCCTTTTCTTCCACGGTAAAATTCTGCACGGCAAGGCGGTCCGGCAAATGGCTGTTAGTTCCCCCCCTTCCCTTCCCCTTCCCCTTTCCCCTTTCCCCTTTCCCCTTTCCCTTTCCCTCCCCTCACTTTCCCTTCCCTCCAAGCATCAACCCACTGAACCCCCCCCCCATCTCCCACACACAGACGACAGTCTTCGGCCCCCTAATCGCCCCCATCCTCTCCGGCTACGCCGCCACCACCATCGGCTGGCGCTGGGCCTTCTGGATCGGCTTGATGTTCCGCAAAATCCCTGAGCGCCTCCCGTGTCAACATGACCTTGCTGAAACAGAATTTCGAGGTATAGGGAGAGGAGGAATGGGGTTTGGACTTGGGGTGCTCCGGGTGGTGAAAGCAATGAATCCAGACCCGGCCCGGTCTGTTCCCCACATTTTCCGACCGCTGCCGACACTCTACCGCCTCCGACTACTCCGATCAACCCGCCATCCATGCGGGTGCGTTCGCCTAGTCCATGATGTCCATCCACTCTTGCATGAGAAGAGATTCGTAATTTCTCAGATCGAAGACGGATTTGAAGCGGATGACCTGAAAGAACAAGCGATAAAGTCAGACAGGAAATGGACCACAACGCGGCCAGGGAACTGAATCGCCACCTAGGTAAAGCAGCACCAGAACCAAGAATGGCCAAGCATGACCAAGTACTTAAAGCACTTCCGCCATCGCTGCCTGGCTCAAGCCTGGCAACCAGCAGTCGACAATGGGACCTAGCGCACAGCGAACAGGGCAAACAGGGCGGACGGGGCGGACGGGGGCAATGAACACTGGGGCAACAAAAAGAACTTACCTGACGCTCTTCCCTCTCTGTCATCCTCTCCAACCACAACCTTCTTTCATCAGCGGCCCTTGTCGCCAACGCAGCAGAATCGCCATCTTTCTGCCGCCCCATCATCTCACAATCTCTTTCACTTCCACTTCCACTGCCATTGCCAGTGCCAGTGCCATTCCCATTCGCCTCCTTCGAAAACTGCGAAACCGTTCGGCCTCGGCTGGTGAGCTTGGGAGGATTGGGAGGGGTCTGCTGAGTTGTTGGGAAGTTGGGTGCGAGGTTGAGTGCTCCGGGATGCAGGAGTCCATGTCGAGGTTTGGTGTTCCTAGCCACGAGTTGCGCATCTTCCTCTATATCTCGACGAAATTCATCATCTTGATGTATGACGTCCTCGTGAGCCCCCGTCAAAAACCCGGCTACCCCGTTCAAATCACTCACAATTCGTTTTTCCACAAGTTCTTCTATTTGTTTTGTTCTTTGTCTTTCGAAGTTTGTCTCTGCCTGAGAAGTCGAATGATGCAATTGCGTCTCCCACCTCCGCTGCAAAGCCCTCACCTCTTCCGAAGCCGCCGAGCAAAGCAAGTACATCCAAACATACGCCCCCGTATCCCCGTTTGCAGTTTGGATTCTGCCAAGAGTCCAGTCGACAGCAGAACTAACCAAGTCTAGGAATTCTTGTCTTGTTGATTCTGCTGATGTGTCTCGTTCTGGTGAAGTTGTTGTTGCTGAGTTTGCCTCCGAAGATGTCCCGTGGCCAAGGTGCCCCTGGCGATCGATCGAAGGCAGCGGCGTATGTTGGTGATCGCGTCGAAGTCGTCGTTGTTGCCACTCCTCCTCCATCTGCCGCCTTAATTCCATCAGCAGAGTCAAAACAGCCACCATGGCCGTTGCGTGGTAGGAGGTTCCGCTTCCGCGGCTCACCAGGCTGGTGAAGTCGTCCATTTGTTGATGTTGCGTCCTCGTTCTCCCAGAGCTTCCTCCCGTTTCTCTTGTGTTGCCCAGACCCGAAACAACACCCCTCCAGATTGTGCCGGCTGCTGCGCCACAAGATGTCCTCACTTCTGGTATTTCCATCTCCAAGGGTTTATAGACTGTCTCCGCACCCACGGCCAAAGCCAAGTTCAATCCCAGAAAGAACCGATTCACTAACATCTCCGCCATCTTTAGCTGGAAAACCGAGATCCGATTCGGCAGGATGCCGGCGGGGTCATAGCCGGGTTGGAGCGTGCCCGTTAGTGCACGCGATGCACGTGTCAGTTCGGCGTTGAGGGATTCTGTCGTCGATCCGGATTCGACTGCCGGGGCCTTCGTGTTGGGGGAGTTGAGAAGCGTGGCGAGGTGTTGAGCAATAGCTAACCGCACAGGGAACGAGCGATGCAATTCGAGGAGGACGGTCGTTTGCGTGAATGTCCCCGAGGGACGGGGAACCGGGTTCGAAAAAGCAAGCTGCTCGTCGTCGTAATTCGCCGGCGGACTAGTACCAAGTTCGGTGAGAGAAATACCCGGTGGGAGGCCGGTATCCAAGCTCGATTGGACAACCATTTCCAAAATGGTGACCCATAATCGTCGACGCAGTTCGGCTTGGTAGATGGGCATTGACGCGAGGTAATCCCGGTTTAGGCCTAGACACATGGCTTCTCGCAGGAGAGAACCAGCCGACTTGTAGGTTAGTTCACCCCCACCTCCACCAAATCCGCAGACCTCTTTGGCGAGGTGCAAAAGACACATGGTCTGCAAACCGGCGAGGTTCGTCGGCGGAAAAAGGAGAAGCCACGACTGGCCTTCCTGGATCCATCTCTCCTGATACCTCCGGAATGATCCGCTAGCATCCTCAAACACCGACCCGATAGCCATGCAAAGCTGGAGCTGAACAATGAAGGCTTTGTCGGGCTGGTCATCAAACTGGCCATCAAAATACTCTTCAAACCGCGTGCGAAAGGCAGGCACGTGCAGAATGCGGTAGACGCTCTCGAAAGTGCGGAAGTAGGCTTGGGTTAGGCGTCGGGCCTCTTGGCGGTAGGACATGGGGAGGGTGCCGCCGACGTCGCTGAAGGCGAGGAAAGTGATGCTTCCGGATTGTGATTCCTCGATTTTTCGGGAGAGCTCGGCGCATGTTCTGAGCTTGGACCAGGCCTTGTTGTGGTCGTCAGATTGGATGCTGGATTGGATGACGTTGGAGATGGCCCTGGTGACTAGTGGGAACTAGAGTATCAAGCAATATATCAGTCTGGAGAGTCGTTGTGGTAAAGCAGACGCAAAATGCTGGAGGAGGGCTGGAGAGGTACTCACGAGTTGGTCGGCGTGCCAGCGGTTATCGCCAGTCTTGGACGCGCCATTCTGAGAGTAAGGTCTAGATTCTCGCAACGGTCTTTGTCGTGGTGGTAGTTGCTGCTGACTCTGCTGCTGGTGCTGCTGTTGATGTGTCAACTCGTCGACCTGCTGTCGCAACATCCACACCTCCCTCCTCAATGCCTCGGTTCCCTCCGCATCAGACAGCGGAAGAGGACCACCCGAGTGTTGGGCATGACGAGGAATCGGACTGAAAGCCGACGATGCTCCAGGTTCGTTCTTGATGGGCGGCAGCAGGGGACTAGCTGATCCGCCGCCATAGGCGCCCGAAGAAATAGACTGGGAGTCGCGATACGGTGCATCGAGGATATAGCGCGGCCCGGGCAGGGAAGTCCCCTCTTCCGCGTTCACGATGGCATCTGGCGTACCACTCTGAAGGTGTTGTTGTTCTTGCTGCTGCGGCTGTGGTTGCGGTTCTGGCGAAGGCGGCCTCGAATCTATCTGCGTCGCTTTGAATGGCCAAGTCTTTTCCTTGGGTAGCCTCGACTGGTCGTAGGCGCAAGGACCCTTATGGTACTTGGACTTGACGCAGCTTTCGCACGGTTTCTTTTGGTCGCATTTGATCTTGCGGGCACGGCAAGGTATGCATGAGACAGCGGGGCGATTACGTCGTTTTGGTTGGCCCTGTCGGTGGTCTGGTTCTTTCCGTTCTTGACGGGCAGAGTGGGATGGAATAGTGGTGATTGACGGGATCGCGATGCTGGGCGGCGGGTTGCTGTTCAATAATGACGCTGGACCGGGGAGGGTGACTTGTTGTGGGTCAGAAGTGGGATTGACAGCAGCGAGAATTGGCGCAGTGGGCGACGGCGTGAGTGCGGATGACGACGACGGCTGACTTGTCGGTGTTAGTCCGGATATCTGGATCGGTTGCCATGGTGTTGATTGTTGATGTGGCGATTGTTGATATTGAAAAGCCGTAATAGGCGGGAGTTGTGGCGGCGGAGGTGGTGCTGACGAGACCTGGAGTGCAGGCGGCGTTAACGGACGGTTGAAGTCGGAGGTGTTGGTTGCCGGAGCCGGCGGCGGCGCTGACACGGCGGGCATTGGCGGCATTGGCATGGTGTGGATTGGCGGCAATGGACCCCCCGAGGGGTCCGACTGCTGTGCCGCCGCTGGTGTCGGTGCTGGTGCCGGTGCCGGTGGTGTGGGTTCGATACCATCCATCGGGTCGGCCATTTTCAGTTGTTGTAGTTGGTCATATCCAAAAACAATTTCTTGCTAACGATTTCCTTCCCAGTTGCTGATCTCGCCAGTCCTGCAATGCCTGGATGTCCGGATGCCTCTCAATATGCGCAATTGTTGGCGGGATCTTGTTAATCTTGGATTTGAGGGATTGTGTCAAGGATCAGCAGCTTTCCCGGTGGAGACTTGCAGTGACCGTCTGCCAGGGACAGACGCACTACCCGAGATTGGCGACGACTGGGCACTGGATGGACTGGGTACGGGACTGGCGAGATGGACTGGGTACAGGTCCAGTGTAATGACCGAGGCTGGACTGGACACGTCGGATGTCGGATCCCGGAGGAAAGAGAGACGAGACGTAACGTGGACCGAGAAAGGGGAGCGATTTACAGAGATGGGTTATGGGTTCGGATGATGGCGGGATCAAGGTACTTGTCAATGGAATACTGTCTGTGTCTCAGTACCAGGCACACGGGGCAGCCGGGGGCATCGGAGTTAGAGACTCAACGAGGCTTCAAGACATGCCTTTCGATTCTCTCCCCCTAAGACAAAAAGGCAGCCCTACCAAAGATACCAAAGCTGTAACAAGTTGGGTCGTATGGAATGAGAGTTGACCAGGGATCATGGAAAACCCAAAAAAAAGAAGGGGACGAAAATGACTCTCGTAGTGTAGACGGGAGGTACTAAATACAGTTCGGCTTTAACCCCAATGGGGGTGGATAAATTCACCATGATTTTCAATCAAATCCACGGTTTCCACATCGAAACCGCAGCAAAACACCATGTCCGCACGGGCCATGGTTATGCCTGCACGGGCCATGATACTTCCCCCAACATCGGACATGAGTTGTGTTGAAGTGGAAGATATGGAACGAAGACGAAGATGGGCAAAAGGTTTGGTTGATTAAGAGAGGGATTCACGAGCTTATATACACCTCATGACCAATATGGGGATAGATCCACCTGATAAGGCTGCTGAAGCCGTGTTCTTCCAACAAGTTGAAGTCGCAAGCAGGATTTCTATCCCAAGTCTCGTAATCAACGTATAGGTTCCTCCGTTGCTAAAGCCCTTAATTTGCTAAACCCCCGATGCCTCTGCTTTCTATTTATTGCAGAGGAAAGCAATTGCCCTTTTTTCTCTCCATACTCTTTGTTCTACCTTGCGACGTGAGGGCTGGAAGCTTGCACGGCTTGGTGTAAGTCAGGCTGAAGTACCCCGTGTATTTAACCGAAAATCACAGTGGATTTATCAGGCCCACCCCAATCTACCTGCACCAACTTTCAAGTATACACTTGCACTTGCCATGTATTGTCCCACCTAATCTCCCTTGCCCAATTCCATGGAAATTACAAGGAAAAGACATCTTTGGTCGGCATTAGATGGTAACCGGCGAGACGGGAGGGCAGGAACTCTCCCGTCGTCGACACTGACAGGCCGGCTGAAAAAGAGGCCACCCAGTAACTGCCCTCGGTGACTTCCACTTCTCCACTCCCACTTACACTGCAGCAGAATTGGCGATAACTCCGTTCCGGATATTCATCTCTCATCAATCCCGTCAGACACACCACACTGGACCAGTCGCGGGTCGCGGGTAGGGACTGGAATGCGGGGGCTGAAAGCCGACACAGCTAATCACCGACCCTTTTCCCTTTTGAGATGCCCCGGTGCAATTCGGGGTCGCTACAAAGCAGGGCCAAGGTAGCAGGTACCTGAGCATCAACAGCGGACCACTGCACTGCACTCCTTCCGGGTTTAGTGCTACCCGGTAATCGAGTGCGATTGCGGGGACCATGATCTCAACATCGCAAATGATCGCACTTCACATGGAATGGAATGGAGAGCCTCATCAATCTTTCCTTGTCATTACGCTCGAATTGCAATTGGAATGGCAAGGTATTTCCGAACCGCTGCTGCACGTTGTGGTGGGTGGTTCGTTAGGTATGTTATCTCCGCCATCGCCCGTAGATATGCCCGCCAGGAAATCCGATGCGCCCGGGAACCCACTCAGCCCACTCAATCCAGCACCCACGACCCGATTCGCTCCCTTCCGACTCCCGAGGATGACAGAGGGCTGTGCCACGAGTCTTCTTTTTCGAACCTTCCAACAAATCCAAATCATCTCAATCGGATCAATTCCATTTCTCTTCTCGCTCTGTTTCGAAATGGCGAAACCTAATGTCCGACTCAAAATCCTCATCAGCTGAGCTCAGCCAGCCCAGTCCATCAAGGTACCACCGAAAAATGTCCCAATGAACAAGGCACAAGGCAGAAAACCGCAGAAAGCAAAGAAAACAGGGTCCAATTTCCCGGGCATGTACACGTACTGCAGCGTAATCGCTGCATCACTGCAACCCCCAAACATTTTCTGTATGCACTGCAGTGCAGCAGGGCTCAGTGCTCGCAGCAGATTGCTCCGTAGAAGCCGAAGGGCCGACGCCATGCTTGTCTACCCTGGCGACGCTAGCGTACGGAAATGCAGCCTGAGGGAAGTGGAATGAGATCACAGTTCACGGGCAGTTCGCACTTTTGAAAGCCAGTTCGGACGGGAGTTTCCGAGCACCGACCATTGACACTACACTGACACAGCACTGACCAATAATACACTCGGATGAGCCGGCAGGCAAGAGTGATAAGATTGCCAAGACCCTCGCTGTACGTCTAGCCAATCAACGTTCCGGCTTTATTGACATCGCGACATCAAACCGGGGAGTTGTTCATGTCGTTGTCCGCATCCGCATCCTCAACTCGCAAGCCAGTCAGTCGGTCGGTCGATTGCCGGACCGGAGGTAACTATTTTTGCGAACCCTTCTAGGCGACTTGAACATTTCTACCTTAGCGTAGGGCGGAACGGCTGAAAAGGTTTAGATTACCTCGCTATTTGAAGGTCAGATGACCACTGTTACATAGCACTTGTTTTGTTTGGCCGGCGCTAGGAAGATTCGACCCTGGTGAAAGAATGGGAGTTTGAAAGAAAGAAATGAGGACAATGATGCACTGGTTGAGAATTGCGAACTCTTGAAGAGGACGACAAGTCAGCGCGCACAAAAAAAGGGACGGGAAGAATCACAGTCAACTGGGCAACAACCGCAACGGAACAGGGCACCGACAACTTCTCCAATCTCACCACCACTGCCGAAGCATATAAACAACCCGAAACCCAAATACGACAGTGCGATCATAACTGGAGAGAGATGGAATCACTCTTCTCACCACCCAGGACCTCACAGTCGGAAAGCCATTCATTCATCAATCTACCATATCACTTGAACCATTCCATTGCCCCCCCAAAGACCGCTGATCTCACTTCCACTTCCACTTCTATCTCCGAGATCTGCTGACTTCCGATGGAAGCTCTTCCAGTTCCCCAAACTGCCCTGCCCCTGCGAAATCCGAGCGCCCGCCCGTGCCACGCGCTCGCGTACCTGAACCACGTTACCACAGTGACCTTGGCCCGCCCAGCTCAGCCCGCCCAGCCCGGACCGGAGATAACAGATCTGACTGGACCCACTCCTTAATCCGATCCCCGTTTTCACCTGTACTGGGAAGGCGGGGGTCTAGCGAACAGCAAATTGACTGTCAATTGACTGTTGAGGGGTCGTAAACGTTGGTAATTTTTTCAAGTGTGTAGTGGCTGTTCGAAATTTTTCAAACGTTTATCGAAATAAACGTTTAAATGCCTCCAAACGTTGGTACCCTCACTAAACGTTGGAATTATCAAACGTTTATAGCATATCAACTATTTATTGAATATTTAATGAACATTTGGTCATGGTCATGATCACGGTCACGGTCACAGCCACGGTCACGGTTACATTGATGCATTTGGTTTCTTGGTAAAAGATATCAATTGCCGGCTACCTATCTACCTTCCTCGTCCGGTCGAAAAGGAGAGGGAGAGAGAAAGAAGGAGAGAAGAAGAGAGAGAAGAAAAAGAAAAAGAGAAAAAGAGAGCACCAAAGAATTGGGCAATCCAATTACTAAAGTATTGAGTTTATAATACTACTTGGTTACAACTCCTACTTAGAAGATAATACTTTAGTAGTTGGTTGCCTGGTTCCCTAGCTCCCTGGTTCCCTGGTTCCTTGAGTAAATAAATAACTTGGAGGTTTTTAGTTGGAAAGAGGAAAAGGAAGAAGTGCAAAGTTTTTTTCTCCGAGGTTGGCCTTATAGTGGTGGAAGGTGGTAGCCGTCGTTCTTTCCCTTTCACTAAGTTTTTCAATTTTGTAACTAGGTTGGGGCTGCAATTGCCTTGTAGCTAAGTTGGCTGTATTGTGTATATTCGCAACGTTAACCTACACCCAAACGTTTATTTGTATTAACCATTTGGAAATGCATTTGGCTGCATCAACCGTTGATCAACGCTTCGTAAACGTTTACCCCAAAATCGACTGTAAATTCACTGTTCGAAAATTTCAAACTATTTTTCTACTGTTCGCTAAACCCCCCCCCCCCCCCCTTCGCAGTACGGACGTTTCCCCGTAACAGCCGACCCGGGTACTCCCCACTCTCAAGTCCGACGACCTACTGTGTACCGACCAACCTTCCACCGGCCAGCCGGCTTTTGTCCGAACGAATACATGTGCAGTTGTAAGTTACTGTGCCGCGCCGTGCCGCAAAAACAACAACCACTCATTCATTCATTGAGTCACTGGTGATTGGGAGAGAGAATGAGTGCGCTTGTTTGTTTCGTTTTCTCACCGTTGAAAGTTGAAACCGACCGACCGACCGACCGACCGTGGGAATCATTCTGCGAGACTGCGAGACTGCGAGACTGCGCCACGGGCTTGCATCGCTTGCATCTTGGTCCTTGCATCTCCTTCGTTGCCTGTCGCAAGTGTACATAGGTAAGTACATATCGCTCACATGATGGTTGGAACCTGGGACTTGAATCTTGGAACATCAGCATACCTAAGGTACCTACCTACATAGTACATACAGTCCAATACTGGTTTGTTTGTTTGTTAGCTCGAGACCTCTGGTCAACTTTCCTAGGTGTTTATGTATCTAATTAATTCGTTTCGTTCCATAACCAAAGCGTGATCTTACCTTGAATATGCCATATTGAATCTTGTTGATCCCTTTCCGATCCGTACCTAGCCCATTCATTTCATCCTTATGAGGTTTGGGACAATTCGGGATAGATCTCGTCCAGTATACTAGGAGTACCAAGCTAACAAACACACCAGCATTAGATTGTAGGTGCTTTGTCATTTTTAATTTCGGCTTGGTAATAAACTCCGCTAATATACCTAACTAATAAGGACGTAACAAAGCTGCAGTGGTCTGAGCCGCGCTAGGCTGGGAGAGCACGTGGCAAGTAAGCTGACATAAAGTACATGTATGATTGAGCGATCAGGCAGTTCAGTTTCCTCAACACCATCGCAGCAACAACAAATCATCACCAATCTCATCACCTTTCCCAATAACACTACTCCCAACACTTGAGTCGACACCCCTGAAGATCCGCACCACACCGCGTGGAAGTGCTGAACAGAGATATCGTCCGCCTCGAACACTGACTCGGAACATTGTGCTTGGGAACCAGCTAATGGGAACTCATGAAGCACTTGGCTCACCCGGCTTACGCGATGGCTCCTCACCATCCGAAGTTCCAAGCTGTCTCTGGAGCTGCCCCTCCCGATTTTCCAGATTCTCTATGCCCTCCATGTCCTCCGTGTCGTACTCCTCTTCTGGGTTGTCCCTCTTCCCTAATGCACTTGCAGCAGTCCACCAGCTGCGAACTGTTGCGAGGGGGATGCCAAAATGACGGGAAGCCTCGATCAGCGCGCCATGTCGGCCACGTCTTTTTTGTATAAATCTGACAACCTCGTCCTTTCTTTCATCCGTGTAACCGGAACTCGGGGTTCCCTCGATTAGCTTTTTCCGCTCATCCCACCACTCTGCTACTGTGTCAGTGCTTACACCAAAACGATTAGCCGCATCAGCGAAGCTGCCTTGCTTGTCTCTGTGATTTGTCCACCCCTCCTGTATATACTTGATGACGTTGAGCTTTTGTTCCTGGAGCAAAATAATGTCTCGTCGTAGCCACCACCCCCGTATTGTGTGCTCGCTGATGCCCAATTCAATGCCAATATTCTTGGACAAATTCGTTAGCCCACCTCCATTGTGCATCCCACTCTCTAACCGCTTGATCACTTCAATTTTCGTGCCCAGCGGCCTTTCCGGCACTCTGGTCGAGCTTTGACTTGCATTAGCTGTCATCGATTGCCGGTCTGTAACTTGTGCTGAAATAGGACCCGATTCGATCTGATGCGCAGCACTGAAAGGGCGGATAGGCGTTACAGCATGACCCTCACGTTGATTTGACAATGGCGTCTGGAGACTACCCGCCCCGGGCTTGTCTGGTTGACCTAGGCCATGTGCGGGCTGCCCAGGCTTGGGGAACAAGTCCATAGAACTCTGTTGATGTAAGGAATGGCTCTGACCGAGATCTTGTGTAGGCTGGACTGGACTATCGCTCTGGGTGACCTGTCCCGCAAGGCTCGGCATATCATGGCCTGCAAAAAGACCATCCAGCTCCGGCGAGGATAAATCATAAGGCTGCATATGCTGTTCGGTGATAGGGAGCGGCTGTTGATAGCTGGGAGGTGGTTGTGCAAGCGATGGTTGTTGATACGAGTGAGCTGGTTGTCCGGCAGGTAAGGGCTGTTGATAACACTGAGCTGATGGTCCCGAAAGTAAGGGTTGATAAGTCTGAGCTGGCTGTCCGGCAGGTAAGGGTTGTTGATACGTGTGAGCCGATTGCCCGGAAGGTAAGGGTTGTTGATAAGTCTGAGCTGGCTGTCCTGAGGCTGGTGGCAATTCCCCGGCATAATGAATAGTCTGGCTGTTGTCTACCGAAGTGAACGAAGCACTGTGGTCATTGTAGTTCGAGCTGTTCAAATTTGATGCCAACCCCCGATTTTCATCCCTAGTCTGCTGCTGGTCGATATTGGACACATCGTAAGAATTTCCAGAAGCATGAGGCTGTGTATGAGAAGACGGATGGGCAGGAACAACACTCGGTTGCATCGAATGATTAGGAGCGTGTGCGTTTTGTTGAGCGGGCGGTTGAACTTGACTGAGAACACCGTCAGGGTTAGCGTTCACAGCACCGTGACTATAAGAGCAAGACTCGTCCTAGTCTTTATTTGGTTTGGGGTTAACATACTTCTCCTCACTCTCTTGGTGCCACTGATCAAGAACCTCTGGCACCAACCACTGGTCCCAGTCCACATCATTACCTGTATCATCACCAATTCCACTTCCCTCACCAAGATTGCTTGGCAAGTTTTGCCTGTCTTCCTAGTCATTGGCCATTTTGAGAATTTGCAGTTCTTTGACGTCTTCGCCTCAACCGTGTCGTGTCGTGTTGTATCGTGTTGTATCGTATTGTCCAGTCAGGATGAATGGAAAGGGCGTTGCGGGCGTGATCTTTGTGGTCCGGAAGCTTGGCAGCCACGTCGCCGGTAAATGTGATGGTGATGTTGCCGGGCTGAACTGAGTAAATCTATGAGCGATAATGTCGTAGAATAAGTAACTCTGCGGAACGGACGGGTGATGATATTTGGGCTGGAAGACACGATTGGCTCGAGATGCTACAGGTTGGGTGCAAAAGGTAAATACTGACTGGGGTCCCCAATGGATTTAAATACTTCTTGCCATCAGAAACACCGGTGGGCTGAAGCTGCCAGATTTGCTGGAGGAAAGTAGACTTCATGGTTTGCTGTGACGTCAAGTCATTGCTGTTATTCCTCGATGACCATCTGTGGAGTGCGGCGATGGAAGGGGCAAGTGGCGTGGGGTGTACCGGACTGCATCGGTAGGACTCATAGCGCCAAGAGAGAAGGTGAACAGCGCAGGATTCGAGAGACCATGAAGGTAGAAGGAGAGAGGGTGAAAGAAGGAAGAAGATGGAACAAGAAACAACCGAAAGGAGACGGTGAAGCAGATGTCACGGGGGAAGGAAAGAAGAGGTAGAAGGGCTGCGGAACAACTACGGGTGTGAATGGAGAAGGCGAACACCACAAGGCTGGGGAAGAGAAAAAGGCGAAGGATGAAGGAAACGACGGAGGCCAATAAGGAATTGAAAGGGCAGCAGAACATCAGTGATAAGAATGAAGAAGGCAGACAGCACACACTGAAGACAGGACGAGGAAGGCAAGGCGAAAAAGAGGAAGAAGGAAGAATGAAACTGAGCATCGCATAGCGAGAAGGAACCCATTAATCAGAGGTCGGTGAGTGCTTGAGATCTCGGTGGCGACTGCCTCCAGTCGGGAGTGATGATCAGAAATGGCAGGAACTCTCCACTTCCACTTTGTTAGGGTCCCTTGATAACCCCCCAGTATTCTCTCAAGGAAGGAGTAGACGAAGAAACATACAAGCTAATCCGGCCGCTTGGTCATAGAAAGTCAACTGGTACCATCCTGCCTCGGTCTGGAAGTCGGACAGTCTGCCACCTCCCTGTTCATCAAAACAAACTGGTCGCTGATCCTGACATCACACTTATGATGCTCCCTAGTGAAGAACTTTCCTCGCTATGTCAAACCAAACTCTTTCTAAATGCTTATATCGAAATGCCGTCTCCTCGGCCAAGCAGCAAGTCTGCCAAAACATTGCGGCTCCGACCAGATAGTTGACTGATGAACATGAAGGATGGGGTGCCATTCCCAATTCCCACGTCCAAAGTCCCCCAAGCGATGCCATGACTAAACTCGACTCTAACAAACGAAAAAAGAACAAAGAATTCCTGTATTTCCCGCACACCTCATGCTCAAGTTTTTGCTTATAAAAAGTGGGATCGAATCATTATACATATGATGGTTGAGAGAGAACACAAACATGACACTGAATGGAACCTCCCAAAGCTTTTTAGCCCAGCTCGCTTTTTTTGCCAACTGACTGACTGACATGTCATGCCATCACCTCTCTTCCTCCCATCCATCCATCCATTGCCTGCCCATTTCTATAAAATCTCATGCGCCTGCCTGCCGTTAACTTGGGGCCAAGTGACTGCTATCTAGCTTGCAGCCGCTCGGTCCGTATAACTCCGTTGAACGTCATCCAAAACAAAGTGCTATTCGCGCTTAAAGGAGGAGCTCGAGAGGGTTCTCGATGACCTTCTTCAACTCGCGGATCCACTCGGCACCGACAGCACCATCGACAACCTTGTGATCGAAGCTGGCAGTGACGACGATCTGGTCATCCCAAGCAACACCGGTGGTGCCATCCTCGTTCTCAACAGGGACGGCAACCTTCTGGGTGGCGCCAACGGCAAGGATAGCGGCCTGGGGAGGGTTGATGATGGCGGTGAAGTGCTGGACGGCGGGGTTCATGCCCATGTTGGAGATGGAGATGCTGCCACCCTGGTACTCCTCGGGCTTGAGCTTGTTGTCGCGAGCCTTCTTGGCGAGCTCCTTGACAGCGGCCGAGATGCTCTCGAGACCCTTGCCCTCGACACCCTTGACGATGGGGGTGATGAGGCCGTTGGGGGTGGCGACGGCAACGGAAACGTCGACGGTCTCGAACTGGCGGATGACACCGTCGCGCCACGAGCTGTTGACGGTAGGGACGCGCTTGGAAGCCACGCCCATGGCCTTGATGAGGAAGTCGTTGACGGAAAGCTTGTAGCGGCCCTCAGCAGAGCTGTTGAGCGCCTGGCGGAGCTTGAGGAGCTTGCTGACGGAGAGGTTGGTGGAAACGAAGAAGTGGGGGTTCTCCGAGACGGACTCCTTCAAGCGGGCGGCAATGGTCTTGCGCATGCCAGAGATGGGGACATCAGTGTAGGCAGCAGGAGCAGCGGCGGCACCAGCAGCGGGAGCGCTAGCGATAGCCTTCTTGACATCCTCCTCGGTGATCTTGCCGCCGGGACCGGAGCCCTTGACGGTGCGCAGGTCGATGCCCTTCTCGCGAGCGAGTCTCTTGGCAGCAGGGAGGGCGTTGGGCTCGCGCTCGAGGGCAGTCTGGAAGCGGCCGCTGAAGCCAGTGTTCTCGGGCTCGGGAGCGGGGGTAGGAGCGGGGGTCGGGGCGCTGGCGGTGCTCTCGTCCTTGGGCTCATCCTTGGGGACAGCGGAGGAGGTCTCGCCGCCGGCATCCTTGAGGGTGAAGTCCTTGAAGGCGTTGACGTCGGTACCCTCCTCGACGAGAATGGCAATGGGCTAGAGTGGGAGGAAGAGGTATGGTTAGCATCGGTCTGTCTATATTAGGCGCGCACAAGGCAAGGCGACAGAAGGCGTGTAGATGAGGCATGACATGTAGCCCGCCTGGCAGACGAGGTACATGGCACGAGGCGCACGAGGCATATGGAAGAGTGGATTCAGGGTCGAGTGGGGAAGAGGGTCGGGTGGTCGTGCATGGAGTCATGGAGTTGGAGTAGGGCTGGAGTTTGGCAGGTATGATGACTCGTGGCTTCTTGAAGGAAAAGTACTTACCTGGTTAACGGCGACGTCCTTCTCGCCCGACTCCTTGAGGATCTTGGCGAGGACACCCTCCTCCTGGAACTCGAAATCCATCTGGGCCTTGTCGGTCTCGATCTCGACGAGGACCTCACCGGGCTCGATCTTGTCGCCGGGCTTCTTCTGCCATGCGCCAATATTGCCCGCGGTCATGGTGGGCGAGAGGGCAGGCATCTTGATGACGGTGTGAGGGGGGTACGAGGCGTACCATCTTGTGAGGCTGGGGAGGGCGACACGGGCGACGCTGGCATGGCGGAGAGCCTGCCTTGAGAGGACGGGGACGATCATGGTGAGAGTTGTGTGAGGGTGGTTGTGGTTTTTGGGAGAGGTGGTTGTGTTTGCTAGTATGGAATGTTTATGTGGGGATTCCAAAGCTGGAGGAGCAGCAGCACACAGCAAGCGGCAGCGGCAGGACCTTGGAGAGGGGAAAGGCCGGGCGGGGAGGAACGCGGTTGGAGAAGCTGCTTGTGCGGAGGCCGGGATGATGAACGGATTCGCAGGCCAAGCAATTAAGCTAGTGATCTCGCGGTATGAAGGGTGGCCTGGTGTAAGTCGTCAACTGCGCGAGTCAGGTGTTGCGGAAAAAGAGTGGAAAGATTGGAGGGTGCGCGAGATTCGAATGTTTGTTCGGACAGCGGGAGAAAGTTGACAGCGGGCAGCGGGACACGGAGCCGGACCTCAATCGGCGATACTCGAACTTTTTTTTTCTCTCTTTCTCTCTCCACTGCGGTGGCATCACACCTCTCACGTCCCGTCACCACACTCACACTGACCACTCACCACTCACTGCCCGCTTGTGTCCCCTCAGCTCTTGCTCTCTGCCCCTGCGATTTCTCCCAACAGTTGGGGGAAGCTCCCCCCATTTCAGGGTTAGCACGGCCTAGCAGCTGCCCAAAGACAGGCCAAGCGGTCGCGCAATGAACACACGGTCCGCCCAGCCCAGCAAACACGCTAAACCCAAAATGGAAAAGCGATTACTTGCATGCCCCTCAGCCATACAGTGTCGAGAGTGTATCTTATAAATAAGAGGTTCGTTGCAATCACGAATTGGAGATGTCAAGCTAGCTTTTTATTTGCATTGTGAGAAAGGAGAGGGTATTCAGATATTATCAAAGCATCACGGCGTTGCTTCGTTGCTGATGCTGTACCTGGAATGCTGACTCTTATCAAACTCTCCGATGATAAAAAAGAAGACTTGACATCCGCTTGGCATCGGACTGACAGCTGCAGGGCAGGAGGTGACGGATCCATAGCGGTTCGCGCTAATAAGGTACGGATTACGTTCTGCGGGCCGACCGGAGGATTTGATAACGATGTATTCATTCAACTCCAAGAGGACTTTGATGAGACTGGTTCACGATAACAAAGGTGCCCAAAGAGATGTTGCACCATGATATAAGGTCAAAATGCTTACAGTAACAGGCAGGAAGAATAATACAACAATGGATTGGGGACATCATTTCCATTCGGACAAGAAACCAGGGGCAGCTAACTACACGGTCTCTGTTCATGATGGTGTTGTTCTCAACCTCTGAAGAACTCCGTCTCCGAGTTGCCCAGAAGTGATATTGACACGGCTGGATAGAGACCAAACATAACCTGGCTCTTGATCAAGTTGCACATGAAATGTTGACGCCATCAAGACTCCAGATTTTCAGAAGGCGAAACATTGAAGCACAAGTTACAAGTTGGCCGTGATGGAGTTGGATCGATGGATGCGAAATATGTCACAGACAAGCAAAAGAGACGGGATCCATCCATCTGAAGGCGGGCTCGGCGGGATTGAATGGCTTCCATCGGATCCTTCAAAAGCTGACGGCCGGCAAGAAAGCTTGGCGCCCAGAAGCACCCAAGTACGGACGCAGTTCCGGCAGGCACTGATACGGAGATAAGATTGTACGTGTACAGATGAAACCTAAGGGAAGGGTCGGGACTGGTCTGTGCTCGCGACAGCCAGGGTCTTTTGAAGGCTTGCTGTCAACTTCCACTGAGGGTCACAGGCCGCCCGCAGTGTGAGTTGTCGCCGTGTTAGAGCCTCATTCTTGAATCGTGATTGGTCAAAACACCACGACAACACTGGAGATTCAGTTCAGAGGGACCACCCACCGTAGCAACACCGCCCGCCGACTCGGACCTTAAGAGGTACTCAGGACACGGACTCCGGCTTCATCCCGATCAAAATCTAGAGATTCGCGAAGAGAGATTGCACCCAGCGATCCAGTACCGGGACCAGCATTGTCGTCTACCGAGCAAGTCTGAAACTGGCGATCTCTATACTTTCTTCCATTGTTCCAGAAACCTCGACGCTACCCGACTCACGACAGACAGCGACACTCTACGGGTCGAATCGAGAAAGCCAACTAAAGCTGCCACTGCTACACCCTGACGAAATACTGCTACCACATACGCGATACCTCTACACCTAATACGAAGCAGCTGGGGTGACGGATATTGGACCAGCAAAGCAGACATCGAACAAAGGGAGCTTACTTCTTTGCTATTCAGCTCCCGTTCCGTTTCGATATTACACGACACACGCTACACGACTCAAGAGGACGCGACCGACTGACAGCCAGCCTCCTCCCTCCTCCGCTTATACTCTCCTCGACCTCGACAACAGATGCGCTGAAGCACTACGACGAATGGCCATCTGTCCCGCCCTCGGCCACCTCCAACCATGAGTTCCCTCAAGTTCGTGACCTCCTCGCTGGACGTCATTGCCGCCAATGCCGGCAAGAATAAGGAGCTGGCCGAATTGGCGCAAAAGGCCCAGGAGGCCATCAAGACGAACGACCAGCAGCTCCCCGACCCCGAGGTCATCTTCGCCCCCCTCCGACTAGCCACCAAGTCCGGCACCATCCCCCTAACCACCACCGCCCTCGACTGCATCGGCAAGCTCATCTCCTCTACCTACTTCTCCGTCCCTTCCGGCCAGTCCGCCGCGGCGAGCGAGGATGGCCAACCACAGCAGCAATACCCTCCCCTAATCGAACGCGCCATCGACACCATCTGCGACTGCTTCCAGGGTGAGGCCACCCTGGTCGAGATCCAGCTACAGATTGTCAAGTCCCTCTTGGCCGCCGTTCTCAATGACAAGATTGTCGTCCACGGCGCCGGTCTGCTCAAGGCGGTGCGCCAGGTCTACAACATCTTCCTCCTTTCCAGGAGTACGGCAAACCAGCAGGTCGCCCAGGGTACCCTCACACAAATGGTCGGAACCGTGTTTGAGAGAGTCAACACAAGACTGCATATGAGGGAGGCCCGCGCCAACCTGAGCAAGCTGAAGCCGAGCCAGAGCAGCTTCAACGTCAACGGGTCGTCTGATGGTCAGAATTCCACACAAGAGGAGGGCAATGGGGACCAAGAAGAGGCTACCCACGAAGATGCGCAGGAGTCGCAACCACAACATGGGGATGGCAACGGCGAGGGTCCCAAGCTTACCCTCAAGGACCTCGAGCACCGCAAGAGCTTCGACGACTCCAACCTAGGAGACGGCCCCACCATGGTCACCCAGCTAAAACCCAACAGGAAGCCTGCGAGGTCTGTGTCCGAACAGAGCGTGCCCGAGAGCTCCCAGGAGGACAGCCCGGAGTCGCTAGACGCCGAGGACGAAGTGTACATCCGCGACGCCTACCTCGTCTTCCGCTCCTTCTGCAACCTCTCGACCAAGACCCTGCCGCCCGATCAGCTCTACGACCTTCGCGGCCAGCCCATGCGGTCCAAGCTCATCTCCCTCCACCTCATCCATACCCTTCTCAACAACAACATTTCTGTTTTCACTTCGCCCTACTGTACCATCACCAATACCAAGAACAACGAGCCCACCAGCTTTTTGCAGGCCACAAAGTACTACCTGTGTTTGAGTATCACACGGAACGGGGCTAGCTCGGTCGATAGAGTATTTAATATTTGCTGTGAGATCTTTTGGCTTATGCTCAAGTACATGAGGGCACCCTTCAAGGTTCGTGATGTGCTGTTCTGTTGTATAAGGCATAATGGATGCTAACACGGTAACAGAAAGAGATTGAGGTTTTCTTGAACGAAATCTACCTAGCCCTTTTGGCGCGGAGGACCGCCCCCTTGTCCCAGAAGCTCGCCTTTGTCGGGATCCTCAAGAGGCTATGCGAGGACCCCCGTGCGTTAGTCGAATTCTACCTTAATTACGATTGCGACAGAAATGTCGACAACATTTTCCAGAGGATCGTTGAGGACTTGTCCAAATTTGCGACGTCTTCAACTACCGTTACGGCACTGCAGGAGCAACAGTACGAGGAGAACCATTCCAAGTATGGGTCCGCAAGCGAGTGGCAGATGCGCAATGTTTTGCCGCCACCACTTACCGTTGCCCTGATTGCCCAGAATACCGACACCGATGGTGATATTCCCAAGGACTATGTTTTGAAGAGGCAAGCCCTGGATTCCCTTGTTGAGACGCTTAGGTCGCTTCTCAACTGGTCCCATCCAGGGCGCCCAGAGGTCATCACTACGGGAACTGGCATCTCCGAGAGGCGGCCGTCAAGCGATGAGATTCGCGAGTCTATGGACCCCTCCATCATGGGCGAGTCCCTATCCCGTCTCGACACACCGACCATGCCGTCAACACCGCTGCTTGACGATGACCCCGACCAGCTGGAGAAGGAAAAGCAAAGGAAGACGGCTCTCGGCAATGCTATCCGCGTCTTCAACTACAAGCCCAAGAACGGCATCAAGCTGTTGTTGAAGGAAGGCTTCATCCCCCAAGACACGCCCGAGGCCATTGCCAAGTTCCTCATCAGCGAGGAGAGGCTGGATAAGGCTCAGATCGGCGAATACCTCGGTGAGGGTGATCAGAAGAACATAGACATCATGCACGCATTTGTCGATACCATGGACTTTACCAAGAAGCGCTTCGTGGATGCCCTACGCCAGTTCCTCCAGGCTTTCCGCTTGCCCGGCGAGGCTCAAAAGATCGATCGCTTCATGCTCAAGTTTGCCAACCGATACATGCTGGGCAACCCCAAGGCCTTTGCCAACGCCGACACCCCTTACGTGCTTGCGTACTCGGTCATCATGTTGAACACGGATCTCCACAGCAGCAAGATTGTCAGGCGCATGACCAAGGAGGATTTCATCAAGAACAACCGCGGTATCAACGATAACGCCAACCTTCCGGACGAGTACCTCATCAGCATCTACGATGACATTGCGAAAAATGAGATTGTTCTCAAGAGTGAGCGGGAAGCGGCGGCTGCGGCGGGAACCCTTCCAGCACAGTCCACCGGTCTGGCTGCTGGACTTGGCCAGGCCTTCTCCAACGTTGGCCGCGACTTGCAGAGGGAGGCGTATGCTCAGCAATCGGAGGAAATCGCTCTTCGGTCAGAGCAGCTCTTCAAGGACTTGTATCGGAGTCAACGGAAGAACGCTCAGAAGATGGGCGGCATCAAGTTCATCCCTGCCACCTCGTTCAAGCATGTGTCGCCTATGTTTGATGTGACGTGGATGTCCTTTTTCTCGGCCTTGTCGAGTCAGATGCAAAAGACACATAACCTGGACATGAACAAACTGTGTCTGGAGGGTATGAAGCTCGCGACCAAGATCGCTTGCTTCTTTGACCTCAGCACTCCTAGGGAGGCGTTCATCTCGGCGCTCAAGAATACAGCCAATCTCAACAACCCTCAAGAGATCCAGGCTAAGAACGTCGAGGCCCTCAAGGTGATTCTCGAGCTCGGTCAGACAGAAGGCAACCTTCTCAAGGAATCGTGGAAGGATGTTCTTCTGTGCATCAGCCAGCTGGATCGTCTACAGCTCATCTCCGGTGGTGTTGATGAGAGCACCGTCCCCGACGTCTCCAAGGCCCGTTTCGTTCCTTCACCGGGAACCGATTCCACCGATTCCCGCAAGTCCATGGCCGCCAAGCGCCACCGTCCACGATCCAACACCGCCCCCCAGGGTGTCTCCATGGAGATTGCCCTCGAAAGCCGATCCGACGAGGTCATCAAGAGCGTCGACCGTATCTTCACCAATACCGCTCACCTGAGCGGCGAGGCCATTGTACACTTTGCCCGCGCCCTGACCGAAGTCAGCTGGGACGAGATCAAGGTGTCTGGGTCAAACGATTCGCCACGCACCTACAGTCTGCAGAAGATTGTCGAGATTTCGTACTACAACATGACGCGTGTGAGGTTCGAGTGGACCAACATCTGGGATGTGTTGGGCGAGCACTTCAACCGCGTTGGATGTCACGTCAATGCCGCTATTGTGTTCTTTGCTCTCGACTCGCTGCGTCAGCTGTCCATGCGCTTCATGGAGATTGAGGAGTTGGCCGGTTTCAAGTTCCAGAAGGATTTCCTGAAGCCTTTTGAGCACGTCATGTCCAACTCGAACAACATCACGGTCAAGGACATGATTTTGAGATGTCTGATCCAGATGATTCAGGCCAAGGGGGACAAGATCCGTTCTGGCTGGAGGACCATGTTTGGTGTCTTTACCGTTGCCGCCAAGGACCAGTACGAGAGCATTGTCAACCTGGCCTATGAGAACGTGCTACATGTGTACAAGACGCGCTTCGGCGTGGTCATTACCCAGGGCGCGTTTACCGATTTGATCGTCTGCTTGACCGAGTTTTCCAAGAACATGAAGTTCCAGAAGAAGAGTCTGCAGGCGATGGAGACGCTCAAGAGTATTATTCCCAAGATGCTCAAGACACCGGAGTGCCCACTGTCGCAAAAGCAGAACTCGGACGCGAACGCTGCCGAGATGGCTCTCAATACTGCCACTAAGCCGGCTGGTCAACAGACGGGCACGTCGGTCGAGGAAGGGTTCTGGTTCCCTGTTTTGTTTGCCTTCCATGATGTTCTCATGACTGGTGAGGATTTGGAAGTACGATCGAACGCCCTCAACTACTTCTTTGATGCCCTACTCAAGTATGGAGCTACGTTCCCGCTTGGGTTCTGGGACATCTTGTGGAGGCAGCAGCTGTACCCCATCTTCATGGTTCTACGGTCCAAGCCCGAAATGTCCAACGCCCTCAGCCACGAGGAGCTGTCGGTCTGGTTGTCTACTACCATGATCCAAGCCTTGCGGAACATGATCACCCTGTTCACGCACTACTTCAACCCCCTAGAGTACATGCTCGACCGGTTCCTCGAGCTTTTGGCGCTCTGCATCCTACAGGAGAACGACACCATCGCTCGCATCGGCAGCAACTGTCTGCAGACGTTGATCCTCCAAAACGTCGAGAAGTTCACCCACGAACACTGGCAAAAGATCGTCGACACCTTCTGCGAATTGTTCGACAAGACCACCGCCCACCAACTGTTCAAAGCGGCCACCATCTCTACTCCTTTGTCAGCGTCAAACGGCCTCGACTACACCAGCCAACTCAGCCCCTCGGCCGACAGCGCCGACGCCGACACCCGCTCCCTCAAAATCAACGGCGCCGACGACGCCGCCTCCGAAACCTCCTCCATCCACCACCAAACCCCCCACACCAACGGTGGCATTGGCACCGAAGAAGACTCCCACTCCTCCGTGCACAACCGCCTCACGGCCTCCACCGCCCTCTCCTCGCACCCGCCCAACAGCCCCGGCGGGGGAGTAGGCCTCGAAGAATTCAAGCCGTCCAACCCCCTCCAACAACAGCCGCCCGTCGTCACCGCCGCCCGCCGCCGCTTCTTCAACCGCATCATCAGTCGCTGCGTCCTGCAGCTGCTCATGATCGAAACCGTCCAGGAGTTATTCTCCAACGACTCTGTCTACAGCCACATCCCCTCTCCTTTACTCCTCAAGCTCATGTCCCTCCTCAAGCGCTCCTACTTGTTCGCCAAGCGGTTCAACGCCGATAAGGATTTGAGGATGAGACTATGGAGGGAAGGGTTCATGAAACAACCCCCCAATCTACTCAAGCAGGAATCAGGAAGCGCAGCGGTGTACGTCTCCATCCTATTCCGCATGTTCGCCGACACCAGCCCCGAACGCCTGGCGTCAAAGGGCGATGTGGAGCGCGCGCTGGTCCCGCTTTGTTTGGATATCGTCCGCGGCTATGTTTCCCTGGAGGAGGAGAGTCAGCATAGGAATATCCAGGCTTGGAGGCCGGTGGTGGTGGAGGTGCTTAATGGGTTTGCTGGGGGCGTTAACAACAACACCGAAAAAGGAGGAGAATTGAAAGAAGGGAGGGGTTTTGGAGAAGAAGATTTCAAGAAACATCTGAATGAGCTGTACCCCGTCGTGATTGAGTTGTTGGGGAAGGAGTTGGGACAGGGGGAGAGGGAACTTAGGCAGGCGTTGCTGGGGGTGTTGAGACGGGTGGGGGAGGTGGGGTTGGGGATTGAGGGGTTGGTTTCCGCCGGCTCTGGCTCCGGGGGAAAGCAGCAGGATGGGTTGAGTGTGAATGGGGGGATGCCCGCGGGACACGGGCATTATAGGGGGGAGAGCGTCATTTCGACGATGACTGTTGAGACGATGCGGGTGCAGGAGGGGGAAGGGGAGGGCCCGGAGGGGGAAGGGGAGGATATGGCGAGGTGAGGTGAGCGTTGAAGAGGAGTTGAAGAGGAGTTGAAGAGGAGTTGAAGAGGTAGATACAAGAGCGAAGAAGATACCACGCGAGGATACGGTAGTAAGGCTGGGAGGTAGTCTAATGAATGGATAGAGGAATGGATGCTACCTATGGTATCATGGTCTCGGAAAGCCCGCGCTTATTTCTTTTCGTATGTTTTTACTAGTAGTACAGCAAAGTACCTTATAGTTCTTGTAGATCTTCTTTTACGGGTTTTAAACACACCGATTTATTTTATATACGGGTCTAGAAGGCCTGGTCCTGGTCCTGGTTTTGGAATAGCAAGTCGGCGGAACGATAAAACTACATCATCCAATGTACATCTTTGCTCACCTGGTTGTGTTCATGGGATCTTCTGTTGCTAAAATCGTGGGACGTGGGTGTCCCGTCTTGTGTTGTGCCGGCTCTGTTTACCTCTCTACATATCGACCATCTTCGACACGGAGTTTAGCCATCGTGTCTAAAACCACATCAGGACATCTTCAAACGACGAGGTACATTCGCATGACAGAAAAATGGTATCATTTTTTGAGTCTACCAGACCCCTCCCTCTATGGACATCCTTGATGGATCCAACAATGCCTTTATGCTCCAAACAAACAAACCGAGCCTAACATGCCAGCCAGCCACAAGATGATCCCTTGACATCGAATAGCTCCTTTCAGCCACCACATACAACCTCTTAGTCTGACTGACACACCTCAGCTCGCCGCCTCACCCCGTTCGTTGCTCCTGCTTCTCCCTTCCCCTAGGCCAAAGACTACTAATAGTAATCCCCCCCATCATCCCCACCCTCATCATACTCATCATCATCCTGGTTTCCATCAAAGTACTGCTCAGCATTATAATCGTCACCACTATCCTCCTCGAAATCGTCGTCCTCTTCGGCAACCGGGTTACCGTCCTCATCCTCGTTATTCTTGACCCAATCATCCTCGTCGTCGTCGGTAAGGATACCCGCATCCTCTCCGTCCTCGGCTTTCTTCTCCACCATCTCCAGCAACTGCAGCGCTCGTTTGTAGTTCGGTTCACCTTCTTGTGTTGCGGCGGCTGATACAGCAGAAGAAGGGTTGAGGCCGAAGATGTCTTCGGCGGATTTGTACTCTGCCGACGACAAGGCGATGGTTTTTGCTTGGGTCGTCGTGCCAGGAGTAATCTTGCGGCGCTTTGCCGAGGGACCGTCCAGCCCGTCAAGCGTAGAATGTAACTCCCCCGGAAAAAACTCCTTGGCGAACGGCCGTGACGCCAGATCGGGCAACGTCCTCTCCTTCTGCTGGAACTTGTGCGAGTAACTGGGTACTCCATCCTCAAAGATATCGATCGTCGCCTTGGCGCTGCTCCCAAAGAGACTGGATGAGGTACTCGTCAACTCGGTCGTCGCCCATGTTCGGGATTGCGTGTAGAGAGGACTGTCGTGGCCTTGTTCGCGAAACGACAGAAAGAAGGAGACTTGTCGGTCGTCCTTTTTGAGGAGGAGGGGCGCCTTGGGGATCGCTTTGTAAGGGGGGAACAGCTCCGAGGGCTTGCCGTCCAGGGCGATGGTCGGGTCCATTTGCCAGGGGACCGAGTTGGCGGCTACTGCGCGACGACCACCGCGGCCGCCACCGAATCCTCCGCCTCCTCCGCGACCGCCGCGGCCGCCTCGTGCTCCTCGGCCGGACATGGTGATGTGGTTGTGGATGTGGTTGTGGGTGTGTGGGTGGTGTTACTGTCGTGGGGATGGTTCGATCGACTCGGTCGCGGGGATTGGATGGTTTGTCGCGCTCTCTAATCCTAAACGGTAGGATATGTCGTCGAATTGGTGCTGTCGTAGAAATGGTGATGATGTTGTTAATGCAGTCGTACAATGAGTGAATGTCTCTTCCAAAAAGTGACCAAGTCCAAATCGATAACGACGCGAATTAAACTGGAGTCACTTTTTTACAGGCGTGGGGTCCTTGCCCCACGCGGGAGCAGGGGTTTTGTTAGCGTGATAGTTATTACGCTAAACCTGATCAGTGCAGAAGCTCGAGTTGGCTTCTTACCCCACCGTCCCGCGGTATCCACCGGCAGCTTTCCCCAACGTCCAGCGCCCGCCCGCTGCAGATCACTGAACCGCTGAACGTGCCCCTCTGCTTCGCTGACCTTCCACTGGACTGACATCTTGTTTGCCATCATCACCACCCTTGCCGCCGCCGACCTCTCGACTACATCCGAGCTATATTGACGACGAAGTTCGAGATACCCGCGGAAGTACGAGTGCTGCAAAGACAGACACCATGGACAACGACATCCCCATCACAGGTCTTGACGACCTCACGGCACACATGGACGCTCTAATCGCCGACCCTTCCACTCCTCTCAACGCCAAACTGTTCGACGACATCGAGCTACAGCTAACCGGTACGTTCCCCTTCTGGCCCTTTGGTCCCCTTCTTCCCTCCCCCCATCTTTCTTCCATGTCGCCCTAGAGGTGACCCTCCCACTCTTCTCTTCCCCGTTCTTGCTCCTAGATATACGTCCAGCAAAGCTAACGCAATCGTGTACAAAATCAGACTTCAACACCCCACCCCTCCTCCCCTCCCTCCTCCCCCGCCTCGTCCAAATCCTCCACACCACCCCCTCGGACCCAACCACCCCAGCCTCCCTAACCACCAAACTCCTCCGCCCTCTTTCGTTTTCACAAATCACCTCCCTCGCGCCTCCCGAGTCCCTAATCCAAGCGCTCGAATCGCCCTTCCCCGCCGCCAACATTTTGGGAATGACGATACTACACAAAGCCGCTGCCGCTCCTAGCGAAGTAGCGCAGCTAGCGGAGACGCGGGAAGTAGTCAAGGCGTTCGTCAGGACTTGGCTAGGCAGTAGCGAGGTGGGAGTGGGAGAGAAGGGAGGGAAGGTGATGGGGGATTTGTTGGATGTGGATTGCGAGCTGGAGCCACCGGCGCGGCCGCAACGGAGGGCTGGGGCTGGACAACATCATGCGTTGGATGCCGGGATGCCGACGTGGCATGATATGGTTTTGCGGAAAGAAAAGGGGTCTGGAGCGTTGTGGAAGAGGATATTTGCAGATGAAGAGGTTTATGGCCTGGTGTTGGATTTGTTGGCGGGACGGCATGAGGATACGGATGTTACCTCTGCTGATGCTGGGGATGAGAAGGAGGGACGCAAACAAAAGGCGAGGCAATTGACGCTGGCGCAGGGGAGGATACTTAGGATCTTACCGAGGCTGGCGGCGTTGGATCTGGAGAAGGTGGTTAGGAGCGAGGTGAGGGCGCCAGAGCCGGGGTATTATGCTACTGCTACGGCTGCGGCGACGAACGGGACTTCAACGAACGGCCACGGTACCCCAGGACCTAGACCTAATGGCACGACCAGCAGCCGCCCGAATCACAATGGCGATATCCTCATGAACGGAGTAGAAGAGGAGGAGGAGGAACAAGCGCAGATGCCATTGCCGGCACCACCAAAGACAGGCCAAGGCCTGCTTCACTTTGCAGCTCTGCGCATGGTCGACAGGAATGATATCCTCATGCACTTGTCGTTAATAGACTTCTTCGAGGCTTTTGTCGGGCTGATGCGGGTGACGCCTCATTCGGAGTACAAGGTTGAGACGGTCAAGGAGATTTTGAGAGAGGCGTTGGCGGATGATAAGTTGTCGAGGGAGAACCTGGAGAGTTTGCCGGATAGGACGGTGGATGAGGAGAAGGAGGAGTTGAGGGGGTGGTTGAGGGAGGTTTTGCCGGGAGAGGAGGTTGATGTGGTGATGAGGTAGGGGACCGAACGGTGTCAGCTGGTTATGAGACACCTTGGAGGGCCGATAATGGGCTGGCTGGCTGGCAATGGACTGGGATCAACGGAAAGGGAAATGGAGCATTGGTGTTCGGATTAGTATGGGATGGGTTTGATAAGCATTGCGTTAGAGCACTTGGGGGGTTATTATGGTATTATGATATCATGAAGAGAGCAGTCAGTATTCGATATGTTTTGCTCCACGCGCGAGTACTCACGTTGGGAGTACAATCTGGTGATGTCGTGTGTCCCTCGTGGTGTGTGATGTCAAATCATGCAACCTTTCTAGCACGATATCGCGCGAAATAGAGTGCTAGGAATCGGAGAACTGGCCAAGTGCTGTAAGGACTGCTATAGTCTCTCTGTACATCTATCATGATGCCTGCTCTAGAATATTTACACTATGTCTCCCTCTTGACGGGCAGGAAAGGAACGGCGTGGGTTTTATACTTGTAGAGTCGCAGAATGCAAAAAGAATATTACGCCTTGGTCTAACAACCCATCCATCTAGAAGCCATGATTATTTGACTGCTGAAGCCTGTCAGATCCTCCCTCTCCTGTTCTCTTTTTTTTTTTCTTTCCCCGTTTGCTGACCCAGCATGCCACAACCACCACAACGCCACCGCAGTCACGGGCATCACGATGAACAATGGATTATCAAACAATTGGTGAAAGCGCTATAAACGTGCAAAAGACTATTCTATCTCCAGCTGCCAGCAATCCATACGATGATGCCTTGGGGTATCGACACCGCGTTCTCCCCAAGCAGACTGATCAAGTACTTTAACTTTTTTGTACACAAACCAAACACACAATTCTTCCAGAGAATCCATCACCACCACATCTCCCAGGTCATCCATCCATCTAAGAACCATGACCCATAAAGTCCCTCAACTGCAACTCGGTAATACCCTCCTTAACCCCTCCCACCACGCCCGCCACCTTGAGAATACTCTCCTCAAAGTCCCTCAACACCCCCGCCAACTCCACCACCCTCTGATCAACCTGACCCTCCCCATTGACACTGGGTTGCTCCAGCTGCTTCTGCCCCGCAGCCCTCTGCAACTGCTCCAACACGTTCCCCTGCACGCCATGCAAATGCACCTCGATCTCGCCCAAGTTGCGCTCAAACCGCCTCATCATCTCGTCCATCTCGTCCGCCGTCTTGCTGAAGTACCCAATCAGGTCCTGATTACTTTCCGCATCGGCCTCTTCTTCCTCCTGCTGGCCCGTCTTGCTTGCACCGCTTCCGGACTTGGAAGCACTCGTCTTCGCAGCCCCGTTACCCTCTCCAGCTTGTCCGCCGGAGCGGGAAGCAGACGACCACAACCCAGCCTGCCAATACCCCCCCGGCAACCGCAGCTGATCAATGCTCTTGAAACTGAGCCGCGCGTTGGCAGCGTCTTTCTTGACCGTTTCCTTGAGCGAGGCAATGGCTAGGACGTCGCTGTTCAGAGCGCCGGCTGCGCCTTCGGACTTGCGGGAGACGAAGGAGACGTCCAGGGGGATGGACGAGAGTTGTTGCTCGTGCCCCGGCAAGAAGGCGTTGATGGCGGAGCAGTCCGAGATGCATTTCTGGATGGACTCGTCGATTTGTGTCAGTTGGGATTGCAGGGAGTCGGTCAGGTCGGAGAAGCGCGTGGTGGAGCGGAGAGAGGGGAGGTCGACTTTGCTGCCTGCTGCGGCGTTTTGGGCGGCGGTGGTGTTTTGGGATTGGCCCATGGACAGGGAAAGACCGGTCGAAGCGGGCTGGGTGGTGGTGGTGGATGGTTGGGCGGTGCCGCTGAAGGAGGTTAGTTAGTAAATGTCTTGGGCTAAGGGCTGCAGAAGAATATGGGGACAGGGACGTACAAAAGGCTGGTGGTGCCGGTTGTGGTGGCTGGCTTGGGGCCAAAGAGGGAGGTGCCGCCGGTGCCGCCGAAGAGAGAAGTCTGCTGCTGCTGCGGCTGCTGCTGTTGCTGTTGCTGCTGCGGCTGGCCGAACAGGCTGGTGGTGCCGGTGGTTTGTTGAGCTGGCTGGGCAGTGCCAAAGAGCGAGGTGGTGCCCGTCTGCTGGGCTGGTTGCGCGGCACCTCCGCCGAAGAGCGAAGTGCCGGTCGACTGCGCCGGTTGTTGTGTCGTCGCGCCGCCGCCGAAAAGGCCGCCGCCCGTCGCGGCGGGGGTCGTCGTGGTTCCTCCTCCGAAGAGCGACATCTGTTGCTGCTGTGGTTGTTGTTGTTGCTGTTGTTGCGCCGGCTGACCAAAGATTCCCCCACTTGTCTGCTGTTGCTGAGCAGGCTGGCCAAAGATTCCTCCTCCTGTCTGTTGCTGCTGTTGTGGTTGTCCGAATATTCCTCCGGTCGACTGCTGCTGTTGTGGTTGTTGGGCGGGTTGGCCAAAGAGGCTCGGTGTTTGTTGCTGTTGTTGTTGACCTGGCTGCTGCTGCTGCTGCTGTTGTTGTTGCGAAGTTGTTCCTCCTCCTCCAAACAAACCTCCACTGGCTGGAGTCGGTGCTCCAAACAAGGATCCCGTGTTTTGCGGTTGCTGTGCGGTTGCCGTGCCAAAGCCGGTGCCGGTGGACTGTGCGGGCGTGCTTCCACTGTCGTCACAGGCAGGCAATTAGCAGTTGCTTCTTGTAAGGTAAACAATGGGATGGAAGATGACCAAGAATAACTTACAACAAATTGGCAGTGCCGGTGTTGATACTAAGCCCAGCGGGACCACTTGCTGAACGGAACATGTTGACGTATCGAAAAAGTGTAAATATCGAAAACCGTAATTATCTGTGTGCAAGGGATGGGTTTGTTACAACCGTGTACGCGACTCGTGAATTCCGTGTCGTCGTGAAATGTGGAGATGCCTGACGCGGGTTGAACTTTTGAAGATGCGGCGGCTGAGTGCTGCAAGGCACATGCGGGACAGCAAGTGCCGGGTAGGCAATTCCTGGGTTCTCCAAAAACACACGGACCACTTTAGTTGACGTCGCGCTTCAACACTTGGAACACGCGCCTGACCGCCTGCCTAAAAGGTAAGGTACTTTCACTACAAACAGCCAAGACCATCTCGCCGCATTATCTAATCAGTCAAGCCAACCTCACCTTTATCATTCATTACAGCTTCGCGACCAGCATCATCTTTCCACATACACCACATTTGACCAAGAATCCAATTTAAAATGGACATCGACGAAGACGAGGATTTCTACGCTCCCGATGAGCCCCAGGCCGCTCCGGCGACGACCACAGCCGCGACCACCCAGTCCAGCACAACCCCCGCCACCACAACCACAGCAGCTCCCACTACCACATCAACCACAGCTTCAGCGCCCACAACGTCATCAAAACCCGAAGACGAGCTCGAGGAAGGCGAAGAGGAAGATGAAGGCGGCGGCGCCATGGACGAAGACGACGACTCAGACATCGACATCATCACCGAGCGCAAAGACGGTTCTGCCCCTCCTCCTCCGGTCCAATCGCGCTACAGCGAGATCCGCAACATTCCGCAGCGGGCGGCGGCGAATGATAATGGAGTCAAGACTGCGCCTGTCAAGAAGCAGGATGGCAACAACAACAGCAACAAGTTCGGTGGTGGTGGAAACGAAGACAAGAGGAAGGGTAGTGGTGCTGCGGGTGGCAGTGGAGCAGAGCTCCCTCCCGTGAGGACGTCCAAGATCGAGGTGGATGGTATTCCGGTTTACAAACCTGTTGGGAAGCCGATTACGGGTGTTGTTATTGATGAGGGTATGTTTCTTTCTTTCCTTCCTTTCTTACTCTTCTGTGTTTTTTTGGAACGGTTACTGACCAGGCTGCGCGCAGACCTCCCCGAAAACGACAAACCCTGGCGCAAACCCGGCACCGATCTCTCCGATTACTTCAACTACGGCTTCGACGAATTCACCTGGGCCTTGTACGCGCAAAAGCAAGAAGCTTTGCGGGGGGAGTACAACGCCGAAGCCATCGCCGCCAACAACAAGAAGATGATGGAGGAGATGACCAACATGATGATGATGGGCGGCATGATGCCTCCCGGCATGGGTGGTCCTGGCGGCCCCGGTGTTGGACCGGCCGGACCTGGCGGCATGGGTCCAGGTGGTCCTGCTGGTGCTAGTGGCATGGGCGGACCGGGTGGTGGTATGGAAGGCATGCCGCCCGATATGCAAGCGATGATGCAGCAGATGATGGGCGCGGCGGCGGCGCAGGGCATGGATCCGAGCCAGATGGGCCAGATGGGTATGGCGGGCGGTCCGGGTGATATGGGTGGTATGGGAGGTATGTTTGGTGGACCGGGTGGTGGTCCGGGAGGTCCGGGGGCTGGTGGTATGGGTCCTGGCGGTCCTGGTGGTCAGGGTGGTCAGGGACAGCAGTTTGGTGGTGGATTTGGTGGTAATCAGGGACAGGGTGGTTATGGTGGTTATGACCAGATGGGTGGTGCGGGCGGTGGTGGTGGAAGGGGTGGTAGGGGAAGGGGGAGAAGGTGGTAGTAGGACTGGTGATCCCTCGTTTTTCCTTTTGTGTTTGTTAATGTATGATATTGAGATACCTCTTTGTGGCCGAATGCCCAGATGGCTGGCCGGTGGGATGGATGGGATAATGGTTTACGACAATCAAAAAGTTCTTTTGCTAGTTAGGCGGCTGGTGCCTTGCCCTCGGTGTCTCTAATGGAGTGTCTACGACGATGGGAAATGGCTAACCATGGATTTCATCACGAAAGGTACACACTCGGACATCACGTCACTCAGCCTTACGATCACAATCACGCGAGCACTACACTTCTTCCTTTGTTCTTTCTTCCAGGATAACCTCATTGTTCTATTGACCACCATCAACCCATCGTGTACACGATCTCCCTGGTATCACATACAGCTAACCTAGCCAATCGCCTCGCCTAGATGTTTAATCTCCCAGTATTCTAGTTCAACAATGCGCCAATACGCCTTATCACAGTCTTGCTCGAGGTCCGGTCCCTGGGACACCTGGCCTCACATACCCAACTTGAACTCAATTCTCCCAACGGACAACGCTCAGTCTCCTCCTCGATGGTCCTCGAGCCCCCCCCAACTGACGATCGGTACTACCGTGGGCCCCCCACCATTCAATCACAAAGGGCAACAAAAGATGTGCTGTATCCCTGGGCGAGACTTTGTCCACAAAGTCGTAATGAAAAAGGTAGGCCTGATGCTGCTGATCCTCGTTATGTTTCTGAGGAGCAGCCGGCTGAAGGTTGACATGGCCATCGTGCTGCTGAAAGGCATGGTTATCCTCCTGCTGAACGGCACCGCTCACGGCGGAACGCATCAGCCAAGGACCCTGGGGGTTGTTATGTAGCCCACCCAGTGTCATGATACCTCTGCAATTGGGCCCTCTACTGGCGCCCTGGCGGAGGGTGGTTTTCTTCGCACAATTGCTCTCTTTGTTGGACTGGTATGCTGGCCCTGTCGGCCAGACTTGATTCTCATACCGTTCTCGTCACCGAGTTCCTGGTTGGCTGGTATGACGTCTGGGAATGCCAAAGTAGAGGCAAGTGGCTGTGAGATGAGGGCCTCCTAGAGTTGTATGGTGGATGGCAGGATTTGATCTTCCGCTTGGGGAACACTGCAATGATTCGACCTTGGGGGTCTTTGAGCTCGCGGGTGTTTTTGTCGAAAGAGGCGGAGCCATGCTTCTCGACGGCGGTGGCAATCTTCTAGTTATGGGCCTTGATCTAGTTCGTGTGGAAATTTGACAACTTCATCTGTGGAAACATCAGTATAACAGTATTGAAGAGGTCTTGGTGATGGAGCTGTGTGATTGATGCCTTTGACTTACGTCCAATTCCGTGACCGGGCTATCAGCAAAGCCGGCAAAGCTGTTGCACTAACACACTAGCCGGAACTTTTTTGGGCTAAGCTTCCTACTGTAAGTAAGGCACCTTATATAGAGATGTCCTTTCGACAATAGGAGCCTCAAAAGACGTCTGGACCATGTCGGGCTGGGGTCTGGGGAGCATCAAGCATGTCGTGCTCAAAATATTGAGGCTGAATCGGGGAGGGGGGCAATCGTGGAGTCGAAGATGGTTGACTGACTGACCGTTGGGATACACCGAGGAAGGTTGCCAGTTTGGTTGCTGAGAGCCGAACGGGACATCAGCGTCTTCGGTCCGTCTGGACGAAGGTGGTACCGGGTAACCGGAGCTGCCAGTTGAGCTCAGGTCACCGTTGTCTGATGCACCGAAAGTCTGAGGAACGTCAACCCGATCCCAGGTTGCCCTAGCTTGAGCAGCCGATACGCTCTGGGGCTGAGGGTTATACGCTTCGTAGGACTGAGTTTCCGGACCGGAGTAGCTGTGACTGGGCACGGCAGGAGGATCAAAAAAAGCTTTGTTCATAGCCATCGAATCCATGATCCCAATTCGACTGTGCGAAATCATCGGCGGCAAATTCAGCCGGCTCGAACAAGTCTGGGATCAGGTTGCTTCCCCCAGTGGCCTCAAAGCCGCTCGAATTATCCGTGAATGACGACGGAGTGCTGGAGGAGGATCAAGATAGCTTTGCTCAGGACTATCAAGTCCAAATCCCCAATTGTCCGAGGGCGCTGCGGTGCTGTTGATTGTAGAGGGGTTGCTCATAGGAGCAGCAGCTGGTGTTGATGCATATGTCAAGAACGGCCGGTTATGAGGCCTCGGTTTGAGTGATGGCCCGACGGAGTTACCGAGGACTGTTGGGATCCTGGTGGTCTGAGAGCTCTGTCTGCTACGCCTTTAAGAAGCGTCGAAAGGGCTATCAAAAGCTGATGCGGCTTAATATGGAGCTTGCTGGGGGAAGCCAGCAGTTCCAGTCCGCTGCGTGACCTGCTGGGGCGGCCCCTGTCAAAGCCCGGTTGGGCGAAAGAAGGGGCGGCTTCTCAGCTGAGAGAAGCAAAAGCTTGCACCCGGCGCCTGGGCGAGTGCAGGGCGAGACTGAGGAGATGTCTCTGAGGTAGGAGATCCCTGATCGGCCATGACGAGCAGGTTCGAGATCGAGGGCAGGGAGCACTTGTTGGAGTCATCCAAAGGAGGCGGCGTTGGCTCACGCTGGCCTCCCTGTTTGAGGAGGACCAGGCCGGCGGCGGCGACCATCTCACGATGGGTGTAGACTCGGCGCTGATGGAACGTTCAATGTTAGCATATTGTATGATCGACTACCCTCAGGATTCAGAATGGGATTACTTACCTCCATTCCACTTTGGTTCATTTTAGCGGCGCCGGAGCGAAGCCATAAGACTGGGCAGGATAGGTATTGAGGCGTTAACGTCATGGGTGCCATTTTGATGTCGGTGTGTTACCTAGGTTTGAAGTGTAGTTTGTCGGTGATTACGATAGGGGCGCCCTGTATGAGCTTGTTGATGTTGCTATGGTAGGAGGGGGTGTTGGTATATAGAGGTATACGGCAAAATCGATGATCGCGGGGGTGGAAAACCCCTTGTTGTGTCCAACGGCGGGTAATTGGGGTCGAGGTCTTCGAAAGCTTGACAAGCCGTCGACGCCAAACAGCGCGATGCCAGGCCGGAGTGCCGCAGGTGTTAGGACTTGGTAACGATTGGACGGTCATCATGTCGATGGTGATGGTGAAAGTGCTATCAGACTCTCGGAGCCAATGGTGGTGGCCACTATGAAGATCGGTAGACGACATGGAGGTGGTGTTGTGTCTGTGTCAACATCGTCAAGCGTTCAGATCGGCGTCGGTGGCATGGTGATTGACTGGTTGCTACTGGGGAGTGGGTACCTCTAGCTGCCATGGGACAAGATTTCTCGACCGAGTAACCAGATCGAAAGAGATTTAAGAGCAGTGTCTATGTGTTTGGTCCAACTTTGCAATTGCTACATCGAGCAGGCCCAAATCATCGTCGTGAAAGAAAGAGCACCATCTGTAGACCTCCCGTGCGAAAAGGACTCCTGTAAGGAGTGTGAGTGTCGGGTTGTCTAACGGTTTTTGGACCATCTCTATCACTTCCAGTGACCTCTTGTTTCCGTTGCTGTCGAGAAAATTGTCGTAAATGATGTCAATGACCTTCCAGCATTGTACCTTGACGTCGGGCGTTATGTCGTTCCTCTTCATAAACTTGTTGAGCATGAATACGCCAGAGGCGCCGAAGAACGGTCCGTCAGGAAGCCTGGGCATGTCGATGGTTTTTGTATGGTTGGTTTTGTGTACAAGGGATTGTATGACGAAGTATTTTTGAGACCATGGAGACTGGCTAGAAACCTTTTGAGATCCAGCAGCGAACAATGGGGATGAAGGTCTTTAAATACCACAGAGTGTGAAGGAAGATGATGGTTATCCCTGAAGTATGACCAGCTCATAAGGGCGCCTAGTCATACATTGGAAGCAAGGGGGTAACCTGGGCAGAGAGGGAACTGAGTCAAAAGACGGTTTAGTCACAGAATAACACCTACCTAGGTACACAAGTGACTCATGAACATGACTTGTCCCGACTGAAATACACGCAAAGCAAGCGCAACCTATCGCTACCTGATTGAAGAAGGCGTGGCTGCTCCTCGTTCCATGGAGTTACTCCCCCGAGGTCCGAATCCTTCAAACACGGGCATCCATGGGCTTGTATCCGCCCCATGGTGTAGCTGATAATCTCCCCCTCGGCTTCCTTGTTGAACGACAGATGATCATTTTCCTGGATTTCACTTGCGGCTTTGCTCCCTTTCTGAAAGAGAACAGTCCCTTCCCATCAATTTCCTTCCGGTCGCGGTTGTGACTGGCGGTGATCATAACACCGATGGTCTGGGAGTTGAGCTCCCGGTTGCACCAACGAGTACTGCCGTGTCCTTCAACCTCAATATCATGGCCTCATTTACCCTCTCCGACCTCCTCCATTACTCAAATTGTGTAAACGATGCAGCCAATACGGAAGATGCGGCCGTGAGAACCACCAAGTCCGGAAGCGGACGGGTCCTCCGAGTATCTTCGCTCGAGACAAAGAGAGAGAGATTAAAACTCATCCGCGCCACCTTATTCTCGGGTTCTTCACCATCCTTTCAAGGTCGGTTAAGCCAAAAGTCCCAGTCAAAAGGCTCGTCATCTGGAATGGCAACTCCATGGTTGCCTTGATGATTCAGTATGCCGTGATTCTGGGGAAGGAAGCCGTACCCCGCGCCGGCGACCTGAGGGTTGTTTTGGTCCTCGGACATGGCTGCTTGATCTCTTGAGAATCGTTGTTTCCGTCAAGGGCTGGAGCAGCAACACTAGAGGGTGCAGCGTTCCAAGTCTGTGTCCGCGGCACCTGAGCCATGAAGGCTGCGTAGGGTTGTTCGAAGGATTGTGTAGACGTAGATGGGGCCGTTGCTCCCTGATTGGATTCATTGGAAGAAGTCGAGGGCAAATATCCAGAGTCATTGCGCCCTTGGTAACCACTCAAATCCCAGACCGCAGCAGACCGGTGTGTCCCATTAGGGACGTTGGCTGTCGAGCCTGTACGAGCGGTCGTCACGCCCTGGAGTTGAGGATAGATGGCGCCAGTGTTCCCTTGTCTTCATCGTTTACCGAGCCTTGTGATCGAGAAGGGTTGGCTTCGCTGACAGAAGCGTACCATGAACGATGCGCCTCAAACAAAGCCAGGTCCAAGTTATCTTCAGCACCATCCAAGCCGCCCCGATAACTCGTAGACAACGGCGTGTTTGCCCAAGCCCCGTTGTGATAATAGGATAGTTGCTGCGGTTGGGATAGTTGCTGCCGTTGGGATAGTTGCTCAGGAGGCTGGTCCGAGTGGTGGTGAGGTTGGAGGAACAACCAAGAGATATGCGCTTGATGACTGCGCCCTCCACCGACGGAAAGGGTGTAGTTACGGTAGCCATTGTTGGTGGAATGGCCCGGCTTGTTTTTGAGGTGCTCGAAACCTGAACACTTGCTCGTGCCTGGCTGCCAGACAAGGCATGTGCACTCGGCTTGCTAGGCACCCGGGTATGGTCGCTGTCGCTCAGGCTGGCGTTGTTTAGGTCGGCGTTATACGACGTTTCCGTCTCGGGCTGGAGTGGGGATACTGACTGATGTATCGCTCCAGGTAGAGGTATATGGCGACGGCAGCTGCTGAGCCATGGAGGCTGTACTCGACTGTGCGAAACCATCGGCGGCAAATCGAACAAGGCCGGGTTGAGGATATCTCCCTCTGCTGCAGTCGTGGATGCACTGTCCGCAGACAGGGTCGACGGCGTTGCCGAGGCGGCCGCTTGTGACTCGGCAGTTCCAGCCGTTGGGGTCGTGGAGGTCGGGATATTGCGCTCGGAGGAGCATCACGGGGTAAGAGTCGGGTTGAGGGATTGATTGTATGTCATAGACTACCTGTCTGTGCGTGAGGATGCTTGTGGTGCCCTGGAGTCTTGTTGGCTGAACCAGCACGGCTAGCCAGTCCCAGCTCAGGATATACTTCTTCAAATCGGACATATCCCTCACCCGCTTCACTTGTGGGTGGATTTCTTCCTTTTTGCCAGACCAGTCTCCGCTGTGTGGAATACGGTTCGTTCCACCTGGCGAAGGCACCACGATAGTTGGGATTTGAACGTGTCCCACTCCCATGTGCATGCCGGGAGTTTTACCACGTTCGGGAGTTCTGTCGGAGGTCTCAGGAAGCTCGGTAACGGTTGCCTCCGGCATCTGGGGTTTCTGGTGAGTAGTAAGTACCTAAGGTAGGTTGTAGATGGGTATATAGAGGAACAATAGTGCTACGGGAGCTTAGAATTGAGTTTTAATGGCCTGAAAAGCTACAAATCTGGGCTAAGGGGGTTTGGAGACACTTTATACTAGTACGGATTCAATACAAGGGATCTCCCTCTCGGGATAATCATCACTCTATCTTATGTTTACCTCATTGATGACGAGAAAGATTGAAGCAAGGGAGCAACCCCCGTCAGACCCGGAGGAGTCAGATACTTGCCCCCAGCATCATTTCCATGACTCACGATCATGTAGCAAGCGTGACTGAATCCGACTTATAGGCTACCTTTTTTCTGATATTTCCTATCTAACGTGGCTAAGCGACTGTTGACTCTTCTTGAGCGGATTTACTGTTCTTGAGCGGAAAACCGAGTTCCAGAGGTTGTAAGGCTCCCTAGTCTCATTTCATTCCGCCGCGGCGGAAGAAGCGGCCACCTTGGTCATATGAACCACTGGGTCCATTCTTCTTAGGCTTGTTGATCCGGCCGTTGGTGATACGGTCGTTGCTGTTCTGGTGGCTGGCGACTCTGCCACTAGCAACTCGAGCCTGGAATGGTTGGTTTGGGCCTTTTGGATTCCGAGGCTGCAAGCCAGGCAACCCTTACCCTCCTACTTCCCCATCCCCAGTCATCGCCTCATCTCCATTCCCACGGACCCCTCGTAAACACTCCTCCCGATACTCCGCTGCGCCGTGCTTGTAAAGCTGCCCCTTCTCCAAGCGAACAATGGCATGCTTCTGGGAAGCAGCCAGGCTGCGTTCGTCGTGTTGCGAGATCCCCGTCCTCTCCATCTCCGCATCTGCCTGCGCCCCTCTCCTGATGTGCTCCAGACCTCGAGTCCCTTTGGAAGTTTTCCCACTGCGGCGGATGAAGCGGCCACCTTGACCACTTCATCCAACCGGTGACGGCTGCATCGGGCCTCCTCTTCCGAGAGGGTGGTCTTGATCCGCGCCCGCAGCCGAGGTGGTTGTGACTAGCTGCCTCTAGTCTTCTATGTCATTGAGCCATTGATATTCATAGCCCTCCCAGGTAACCTGCCTGTTACCCGGACCGGCATCCCGGGAGTTAGTGGCCTGGCCGGCGGGCGCGGTAGGAGTACCGGCCGTCTCGGAGTTCTGCGGAAGGGCGGTTGGAGAACTAGAGCTGGAGTATGGTGCGCCGAAAGTCTGGGTACCGCCATCGTGAGCCCATGTTGCCCTAGGTTGAGTAGCTGGTGCGGTCTGGGTCTGAGGCTCATAATCATCGAAGGGAAATTCAGTCTGCAGACCGGAGTAGATGGCAGTAGCTGCGGACAAGGCATGTGGATCAAGATGACTTTGCTCCGGACTATCAATTCCAAATCCCCAATCTCCAATGAGAGCGTGGGCGGTGTTGAAGGCATTGTTAATAGGAGGAGCAGCTGAAGTCAATGTAAGGGCGTTGTTGAGTGTGTTGTCGACAGGCGCAGCCGCTGGTGTCGATGCATATGCCGCAAACGGCTGGTGATGGGGCGTAGGTGTCCAAGCCCCGTTGTCTAGAGTAGCTAAGGACGTAGACGGAGTTGAACCAACCGGGAGATTGGCGCGCTCGGGATTCGAGAGAGGATAGGTGTCGGCGGCAGACATTTGCCAAGTGGCCACTCCGGTGCCCTGGTGGTTCGGTCCGGAAGAGCTTCTGTCGACGTTCACTGGAGTATTGGACGAACCAATACTGGTGTTGGGCGAGACAACGTTGCCATTGTCGCTCTCAGAGGCATTGACTTGTCCGGCGAGCTCAGGCTCGGACACTGCAGGCGCTCTGCCAGCCGCAGCCGCCTGGCGTTCATATTCAGCCGCCTGGCGTTCGTGTTCCTCGGCCACCCTCTCCAGGGGGCCTTTCTCCTTTCTCCGCCGTTTTGTAGGCCTCTCTGAGGATTGGTTATCCACCGAAGCTTGCTCCGGTTGAGTGTCATGACCGGTGACGTTGGGCCTCAACCCACCAGGGTGCTCCTATGCACCATTGCTGGCGGGTGGGCTCGTCATCTGCGTTGATTGGTTCGCTTGGTCTTTGCCCGCCTCCTTGGCCTTGCCTTTTGGCTTGGATGTCTTGGTCTTCTGTTCCTTCTCGGTAAGGACCTTTTGACCGGCTTTGACTTGTCGGTTTCGTCTTGCGTTGGTGCCCTTGTTGGTCACCTTGGTCTGGCAACCCAAGATATATTAGCATTTAACCATTCTCAGGGAAATTTGATGAGCCAAGGACGAAGCTATCTTACCGCGATCTCTTGCTTAGGGTGCGCGCTAGCGCGGGCGAGGTAGCCAACCTCTGTCGAGTTCATGACAGCTGCCTTTGACCGCTGGATTTGATACACCGATCAGCAAACGCTCTCTTGTACTTGACTACGTGCAAGTCTGGTATAAATCCTAACCCGGGCTATAACTTACAGACATGAGCTCGCGGACGGCCTGGACTCTATCACGATATCTCCTATAACCTCTACCTCCCTTCGGGTAGGTCTCGTGGGAATATGGGGCCGTGATTGGGTTACCCAAGTGTTCGTTCTCGACATGGTGCTAGATAAGGTCAGCTTCAAACTCGCTCAGATGCCTGGAGTACGTCGGTGTTTCTTGGACACTCACCACCAAATCCCAACTCAAAGCGAACTTGCTCAATGGAGATATGCGCCTGACTTTCTCGACTTGAGGATGAACCTTCTTCTCCTTATTCTCGGCGTTGTTGCTCTCCCCCTTCTTGTCGGCGTTCTTGCTCTCCCCCTTCTTGTCGTCGTCCTTGTCGTCAGGGACAATCTTCTCGACCATGTTTTCCGGCTCGTCAATGATGGCGTCATAAAAGAGCTGGGCAATTTCAGCTCGTCGGTCAAAGTCCGTCGGGACATCGCTTGGGTTTGCCTGTACCGGTCGGCTGGTTACAGATCGGTACCAATGACGGAATGCCAAAACGTCACTCCATGACTTGACTAAGTTCGCCGGAAAAGGACGATGATTAGGCTCCTCTTTTGCCTCTTGTGATGTTGAGTGTCGGTTTTCCCTCTCTTGGACGGTGAGGTATTGTTCGAGCCCAATTAGAAAGGGTTTGGTCTGCCCCAGCTGAGTTATAGCTTCATCCAGGACCCCTTCCTCGTCTCTGTCTGAACACCATTCATACACTTCCAATGGGAAGTTAACCCCCGCGAGGAGGGAATTGTCTCTGAGGACCGGATTTCGAAGGGGGTGACCGACCACCTGTTCGATGGCCGGGAGGGATCTCGTTGTGCCGTTACTATCGGTCAGGTTGTCGTATATACGATCGATTTCTGTCCAGCATCTGATCTTGTCACCGCTTGATAAAGCGTTCGACTTCATGAACCGAATTAGCCGAAACGCATCAGGGGCGTTAAAGCCGGGCATTGGGACCTGCGCGGAAGACATGTTGACCAAGTCTTGTGTGTCCCTGCTGGTGGTCTTGAATATTACGAATTAGTATACTAGCCCTGAGGTTTGAGTCCCGAACATCGGCAAAAAGCTTGAGGAGAGCTCCAGAAAATGCAACAGGGATGCTGATGAGATTGACTGAGCAGCGGCCGGGTACCGCTTGGCAGGTGTGCTGGTGAGGGCACGGTGAGAGGGTCCGAGGGAAGTGAGCTCGATGTGATAACCAGGGGAAGCGGAAACGAAGTGAAGACTTTGACCTTCCGAGACCAGAGACAGAAGACGATGATCTGTCTGAAAAAGGAAGTGATTGGGGAGAAGGCACGGAAAGTCGACGAGGAAAGGGTAAGGGTAAGAAGGGGCACCAAACCGACAGTGACTGTTGACACACCAGGGCCACTATCACGTAGTGAGACGACGTCGAGGCGACCGACAGGCAGTAAATCCAGTTGAGGGGCAGAGGAGTGTTGGCGAGTGGCAGGAAAAGAAATCGTTGTCGCGACGTCGACCTGGTCGACAGTCATGGGCAAGCAAGGTGAAGCAATCGCTGTACTTACTTGTAATGTCTATGAGCTTACTGATCAGTTTCGATATCTCGGTGGTCGAAAATAGCTGGTTTCTCGCGGATGCGAAAATTGAGGTGAGGTTAGGAAGTTTGGAGGGGGGGGAAAGTTCAAGAGGGGAGGCTATAAGAAGGGAATTTGGAAAGCTGAAATCAGAAGAGTGGAGAGGGAATCTTTCCAACCTGTACACTAAACGGGAAGGAGGCAGCGCACAGGGCAGCCGGCACTGAGCAAAAGGACGAATTATGATTGGCTCCAGGCAGATCGAAGGAGTTGAGGTTTTGGCGCAATTCCGTTGGCAGACACTCGGCCATGGACAAGGCGCTAAACCACTTACGGTCATTTTGTTCAGCTCAAGGTTTCCCCAGCAGGGCAGTGAACGACCTTATCGACCGGATGAGCCCCTGCTCCAGATCCTGAAGTTTGGTGAGGACTGATGGTGAAGGGATGTGTGCTTCTCTTCTGTCTTGTCTTGCTCAATACTGGTCCTCCCATCCTTCTGGCGGAGAATCCCTTGACCGCTGGATGATCACCTTGTGTGTGTCATCCTACCCGGCGTCTACAGAGCTCGCGTTCCGTCCGTTTGAGTATATAAATTCAGCCGTTTTGATCCTACCGTACCGCCTGGGTCGAAGATGAAACTCAGATCTGCCGGAGACCCGCCATACCGTAACAGAGTATCCAGAAAGAAGCAACCGTCAACGTGCTTGGACGTACTTCCACGTGGAGGGGAGCTGCAGAAGTAAATAAACCAAGCTGCCAAGGCCGCGTACTTGCTGGGAAGCCACCCCGCTTCAGGAGAGCTTTAGCAACTGATTCGTGATCGCTGGTAGACCTTCAGCTGTACCCAAGAGGCCCCGGCTTCCAACAACACTCTGCTGTTACCGACGTGGATGTGCCCTTGGTTACAAAAGGAATAGCGGCAGAAAGTAGAACCAATTCTTGACCCAACTGCTGAAGTGATTGACACTCATCTCTGGCTATCTGAAGAACGATGGTAGCCACGAGCGAGCCAACGTTGTCACTGTGCCATGACAGATTGGATCTCGATAGCCCGCACTGAGCAAGTCCTCCTTCTGGCTGCAGTCTTCAAAACCTTGGGTTGCCGTTGATCGGACGCTCAACCCTACAGGTCATACAACCTCTGGAAAACCCCAGGATAATTCGAGATTCCGGCGCCTGTTCATTGCCAACATCCCCGTAAATTGTACTTGATTGACCACTTCCGATTATCCGTAGAAGTCTCCTACCAGCAGGAGCTGAAGCAAGAGAAGCCACGACAAGAACTCGACGACCATGGCGGCACCGTTTAGTTTGTCACTTGACACCAACGAGAAGAGAACACCGAGAACCGGGCCCAGAAAAAAGTTGGACATGCTCGCAGATGGAGGAGAAGAGGGTAGAGCTGAGTCTGGCGGGCCGCGGCACGGCGACTGCCGTCGAGAGCGAGACAAACGCGGCGAGTAAAAAGCGAACCGATGATCGAGCAAGAACAGCCAAGACAGCCGAACGACGAGTGAGAGTAAAGACAGTCAAGGAAGAGACTAGGAGACAACACGACAAACATGCATGACCATTGACCTTCTTCGCGCTGGCTGCTCGGCAACTTTGCTCTGACAAAGACCATTGTCAACGGTGACCCTATCGCCCTTGGTTCCGGCCTATGTCGACGTCCATTGTGATAAGCGAAGAAACAAAGAACCGGTCAAGCGGGCTTCTGAGAACCTGCCACATCAAGTACATAAGGCCCGAGAGTACGACTATCCCTGCGCACTCGCGATTCCACAATCCGATCCTGCGCCGTTCGATTAACAGAGAGAAGAATCAAGAAGAGGGGGCGAACAAGTCATCAACCGTCGGGCGGAGGAATAAGGGGAGGCAAGGCAAAAAACAGAAGCGAGAGGACACCAGCCAGAATAGAAAGAGAAAGATGGCAGTCTCCCCACTCGAGGCACCTCAACAACGACGAACGTTCTGCCAAGTCCTCAAGAAAAGCCCACAATAGGTGTACTCAGCAGCAGCCACGCCCACGTGGGCCAGGCGGTTTCGTGAGTCGCCTTGGCTGCCCTTTGCCTCCAACGCCTCGGGGTTCCGTCGCTGGTTCGTCACCCATACCGTTACGACAGCCGCTCGGCCCCTTTCAGCGCCCGCCGCTTCAGTCGCTGCTCCGCCGGCCTCTATACCCACAGCTCAGGGCACCAGACTTGTGCCACGTCCCGCTTGTAATCCCTTCCGCTAGGTCATTGGCATGAGCAGCGATGAGGCCCGGACCGCTCGCCTCTCCATGGCCACGAGCGTAAGATCAGCGACTCCTTGTCGGTCGAGACAGTTGGTGTGTGGCAGGGCGTCACTCCAGAAGCGGCTGAGGTATAAGTTGGGGATTCCAATTGTCCAGAGGCGCCGAAAACGTTGACGAGCTGGGGTAGAAGAGAAAATGATGGCCCTCACTGGCGCTCGTATCTCGGAGCCGGGTTGAAGACGTGATACCGGAGCCATCAAGAGAAAAGTATGGGAATGAGCGGCGTGGTTCCGTGATTGCTTGAGATATGGCGCACGAGAGTGGAGAGCGACTGGGAGATGAAAACACTTGCTCACGAGCAACGAGAGAGGAGACGAGGTTGCCTTGTCACGAGACGTCAAGTTCCCATGGCGGAGGAGGAGGTAACGCAGCGAATTCCGATTCAAGCATACTTGGAAGAACAAGGAAGATGGAACACCAGCAGACAAAGACCTCGCGCCTGCGTTCTTTGTCTATCGCTCCTACTTCTTTGGCAGATGCGCCAAGGATGGCATGGGGGAGATGGTGGAAAATTGACAAGGAGACACACGGAAGGAGCAAAACACACTGAATGGCTTCTTTGTCATCAAAGTAATTGACAGTGATATCATGAGGGTTCCGATGGTTGGAGTGTTGGACATCGAGAGACGTTGTTTTGGCCTCCCGACCCAGCTTGGTTCATCAGATGATAGAGACAGGACAAGAAATGAAACGCCAGGGAGGATTTGCTGAATTGAAGGGCTGAGACGTCGTTGAAGTCAGAATGCCTTAATGTTGCTTAACGACGATGCACGTTGTTGTTTCCTGATTTCCATGCCTTGCTGCTGCCGACTGATGTCCTGCAAGTCATGCCGTGCATGCCGCAGTCCAATCTCCCCCGCTTTTCTCCTTCCCGCAAGTGTCGACGTCCAGACACTTGAAGAAGTTACGATGCATTCAGATACGGAGAAGATGTGATTCAATCAATGCACTTGCAATCCTTCAAGCCATCCATACTCCAGAAGAAACTTGCAAAAACATCGTACACTTCCAGGCTGCGCCAAACATGCAATTTTTGGCTACCGGTGTAACCCCACTTCCCCCTGAACAAAGTAAACAAACGTACAATAAGCGGCAAGCTGCCCGCCATTCGGGTTAGGGTTATTGCTGTGAATCTTACCAAAAATACAGGGTAAGTGAAAACAATCACGATTCCAAACCGAAACCCGGTTTTTGGTAGCGAAGGAATGCTGCTGACATAATCACCCTCCCGAGCATCAACGACATGGTCAACCACAAAACTTCGTTGACAGAACCACACCTCCGCGCTCAGCCCATGCGAGTATATGTATGAGTTGCTATTAAAGTGACATTATGACAATGATAAAAAAACAACATTCACTCTTAATTTGCACGAAAAAAAAGCCTCAAAACAATGAAAGTCTCTAACAAGTTTTCTGCCAAGACAACTGGTCGCGATGCATATAATGCATTGCATGCAACACCGTATAATCTCGCGAACTTGACTTTCGGGAAAGCAAAGTACAGGCAGGGTTAAAGGAGTCGGATGTAGAAAAAAAGCAAAAAAAAAAAGCATGTACATATGTAGTTGCATGACACCTTGAACCGTGCATGTACTTTTCTGTTCCCGAAAGTCAATTTCTCGAGGTTATACGGTACCGACGATGGCTGGATGCAACGGGATGCCCCGCCAGCCACTGCCGCCGCGCTGGAATGGAGGCTCAAATACCCGTGCCGTAGTGGCTGCATCCGCCCGACGACATCCCAAGTCCTCAACTCAACGGTCGTTTGTCACACCCAACAAAACGATATACACGAGTCGACGACATGCCGAACTGAACCGCAAACCATCGGCCCGGCGACACCAAGTTTTTCGTTCTCTACCACGCTGTGGATTTGTCGGAGCAGAACCAAACCAACCGAAACTCCAGACCCAAAGCACAGGAACTTCACGACCGCCTAAGTCCGCGTCCCGGATGCACTTCGGGCCTTCGGCCGCCTCACTCCCTCCTGCCCTCTAATCATACCATCGACGCAGCCGACGATTACCTACCCGGCAGCAGCGATCCCTCACATTACCAAGTAGTCTAACGGCCTCGGTGGAAGACTCCGGGACCCGGGCGAGAAGGAATGGAGATAAAGCGGTCGACAAAGTTGACACTCCTGTTTTATGTTCGAAAAGAGGGCTTTTGAAAGCGCATCTAGGTAGTAGCACGATCCCTTGCGGGCCAGGTCGCCAGGAGAAACGTGTAAGTCGGTGATGCCTTCAAGACGTTGAGGACGGAGTTGTGCCAAGAACGGGCGCCCTTCTGCATCTGTTCGTAACTGCGAAGGCTAAACGAACGTTCCAGTCCGAGGTGCATGCTGGAGTTTCGATCTACAAGTGTAGAGCGTCGCCTTCGGACCTTCGGTGCCACTGGGATAACATCCATGTGTCATCAATCCTTAGACGAGGCGAGGCAGTGATCAAATATTCTATAGTTTGGTCCTGCAAAGATGTTCGATGACAGTCAAGTGTCCGCTTGCAGCAGTCAGTCGGTGTTGGGCATGTGCTTGCCTCGATCTTGTACCTAGTCGACGACGATCTGGTTGACTGATGGTCATGTCATGCTGGAGCTTCTCTCCGAGAAACTCACCTCTTGGGTTACGACTGTTGTAACAGTCACGAAAAGTTGTAAGAAGTTGAAGGAAGAAAGTTGGTATGGCATGCAAAGCAAGTGACATTGATCCATGCCTGTTCATGCCATGATGGCTCTGACCAAAAGCGCCAGCCAGCTGTTAAGACATCCTAATAACAAGCAATAAGGGTGTAGCTAGGTATCAAGAAAAGTAATTCGACAAAAGCAAATGGGTATCTCTTCCGGAACTCCATCCCCAAACCACGCTCTCCTGGGTGATGAAATCTCCTAGGAAGTCCTAGGATGGAATGGATGAAAGATCGCTGCGGTTGAGGGCGAAGAGGGCATCGACTGGCGCACCTCCGTCGTCACCTTCGTCTTGCTGCTCTCAATCAATCCACCGGCCACCCTAGAACTTCCTGATACCGGACCCGACCCTACATGACCTCTCTCAATACATGTACCAAACCCCACCGCTATAGGCGGTTTCGATGCGACGTTCCTCAAACACAACCCCCCTGCGCCCCTACTCTAACAGAACACACTTCATACACGCCCGAAGGCTCTCAAGGACGATCAAGTCCTTCTATCTCGCTCACCGATATCTCCACAAACGCCAATGCGTTTCCGTTGGCAGCTTGTGGCTGCGGCGGAATGCTGCGCTGGGCAGACCACTTCTGGGTTCCCTCTTCAATGTTCTCTAGTTGAAAGCAATAAGAGTGTCAAGGTGGCCTGGTCGATGGTCAGTGGCACGGACGTAGACCACCGGGAGGGGAGTGGCCTCGTCCCACATGACACGAGCCTCCGAGACGGCACTGAGCCAAAGGCAGAGAAAGCCTGGAGAAGAGGGAATCTCTTCGTTCTCTTCAAGGCGTGGGTTGAAACCTGCCAGCGCAACTTGGCCATCGCACCCTCGAGAACTTCCCGTCAAGGACGCCCTTCGCCTCAACATCGTCGGTGGTGATGAGATGCTCCTGGTAGTCGTCGAAGTCGGGGACATGACTTCGAAGGGGAAAGGCTCCCCGACCCCCGTGCCGTCCTGCATGTTACTTCTATCTCTTCAAGGAAGGTGTTATCCTCGCTGGATCATTTGGATCCGGCGCCGCCAGAGCGGGGACAACGGCCGTGCAGGGACCAGACCGGGACCGGGAAGGGCATGGCGGCTTGGACTCCAACGGTGATGCAGCCGGGGATGGCCCAGCCGGGGAAGGAACTGGAGCCGGGCGCCATGGACGGGGAGGTGTCGGGTTGTGGGGGGAGGTTCGATGACGCGGCGCCTGGCATGTGGGCGTGGGACCCGTGGGTGGTCGGATGGGAGGGAGCGAAAGAGGACAGTCCTGGTTGACCAGGCGAGGCATGGGTACCGCTACCAGAGTCCAGACGAGGCGAGATACCAACGAGTATAGGATCTGAGGAGGTAATTTACCAGCAATGGGGGCGCCCAGGCGGCCCAGTAACTCCTCCTCCCCCATAGAAAGAGGCACGTGGTGCAGGAGATGGGGGGGTGGATAGGGTGGTTGGCCTGGACCGTAACTGGCGATGACCTCGCCATTGTTGAAGCGAAGGACAAGTCTTCGCTTCACTTTGGTAGTGTAATTGCTCAAAGACTCGCGAGCTCGTCGTCGCTGGAGCTGGAGCTGTCTTCCTCCCCAGAACCAGAGAGCTCATCCCCAAAATTGTCAGACGACGGCGCCTCCCGCGGGAACACCCGCAACAGCTCACGAAGGCGGTCAGTGCTTCTTTGGTGGATACAAGAAGGCTGTGGACCTCAGGGGCATGCGGTACCGTTACCCGAGGGGACATCGCCACAGAGTGGAGGCACGCTAAGAAGTGTCGCGAAATACCTTAACTTACTGTAGCAACTTTGGAGCTCTGTAACGCTGCTGCAGAGGGCTGGGCCCAATGGTGGCTCTGCTAACTGCCCCGTGAGCCCCAGTTCTTCGGCCGTGTCGCCGGACACATCCGATAAAGAACCAGTTTGGTGGGTGGGATCCAATGGTTAGAACAAGAAAGGAAGTACCCAATGTCACTTGCCCCTGATTCAAGCATTCGGTTCCCGAGCGCACGGTCACGGCATTTACCGTTTTTGCCAGGGAAATACAGATGATACCTAGCGTAGGCTCGCTTCGAGCTTGCATCAGAGCTTTGAGCAATGGGATGAATTGCCGATTTGAAAAAAATGGGCCTTGAAGTGGAGAACATGACTGAAGAGGTCCGGGAGCGTGGACGCTTTGTCCACCAAAGTGTGCTCGGACAATTTTGAAAATGTCAAAGGGGGTTCATCACTTTTCTTCCGTCCACCCGGATAGCCGATCCCATGCCCTCTAGAGCAGGTGCGGAAGTTTGTTTTAATGTTGGAACGGATGATCGACAGGAGAGAAATGACGTTGGCAAAGCCTGGACTTTTCGGTAGAAGTGAAGCGATGCTGCAGAAGCATGCAAAACCTTCGGCAAAACGTCTGATTGCAGATCTTTCCCAGCAAAATGCAAGGAACCAAAATCAGGCAAGTATAGCGCGCATCTTATCGAGCAAAGTGGGGAAACTAACGGTGGAACTACTGGTTTGTCGGATATGAGCGCGCCCGTTAAAGCGACTGTACAATCGGTCAGTGCGACTGTGTGGGGCCAGCAGCAGCTTCAAGGTGTAAGTTCCTACCTCCAGCAACGGTCCCAGATGTGTGGTTAGAGTTAGCGGTTAGGGTCAGTTGGGGTTGTTAGCTCCGGGGGTGGCTCCCGCGTGTGAATGAGAATTGAGCGCTTCGAAAAAGGTGGTTTTGAGCTCTCGTTGTCGTGGTTTTTTGTTAAGACTTTTGGTGAGGACTTTGGTGGTGATTACAAGCTTGGAGTCTTTGGCTGCCAAGAGCTGTCTTTGGTAGCGAATTTCTATGGCCCCACACAGTCGCCCTGACGGATTGTACAGTCGCTTTAACGGGCTCGGGTACGAGTCCGTAATCAGAAACCTCTGAGATTCAGGGGCAAAACCGTCTAGGTTGTAAAAAGGGCTGCCGTTGCAACACTACCAAGCCGGCATTTTTCCCAGTGTCCAAATCGACCTCTTTATCTTCAACCCCGCCCGCAATGGATCAAACTTGAAATTTCTAGTCCAATCCATAACGCCTTCTTGAACCACTCAAAATGACAGTACCCGTCGCGGGCCGAGGACCAGCCGTTGCTGGAGTTGCGGGCTTCTTCGTTGCACTTGCCACCATCACAGTTGTACTACGGTGCTATTGTCGAGTCATCGTTGTAAAACAATTTGGTCTCGATGACTGGTTTACTTTGATCTCATGGGTATGGCTACCTTACTTTTCTTTACACGGACCGCTTGATGCTAACGAATGTTTACAGATATTGTTCGTATTCTATTGCACCTTCTCCATTGCGGGTACGCATCATGGCACAGGTCAGCATGTGACTGACCTTCCACCAGCGGAGGTACCTATTGGGTTGAAGGTAAGCCTATCCCATCCCGCAGGATGAAAATCGCAGTTTTCTAATGTTTGCGCAGTGGTGGTGGTCATGCGAGCCGGTTTATGTTCTCTCCAACATGTCCTTGAAAGCAAGCATCGGCGTCATGCTCCTCAGAATCGCTGTTTCCAGGGCACACAAGGTCATCATCTGGACCACGGTTGGGATCCTTGAAATCTGTGGCTTGGGATACTTCCTTCTCTTCGTCATGCAGTGCTTGCCATCCGAGTACTTCTGGACTCGCTTCACAGGTGGATCAGGGTCTTGCTTGAACCCTAGTATTGTTGTCGACGCAACCTATGCCTACTCCGCTGTTACCTGTGCCACGGACTGGATCCTAGGACTCCTACCGATTTCTCTCGTGTGGGACCTGCAGATGACCCGTCGCACGAAACTCATGGTTGCTGGCATTCTGGCGCTAGGTGCAATGTAAGCTATCATCCTATTTGATCCCCTTCCTTCCATTGCGTTCGCATGCTTACCTTACCAAAATCCAGTGCCTCGACAGCAACAATCGTGCGAATCCCTTACGTCAAAGACCTCTCCAACCAAGCAGACTTCCTCTGGGCCACGGTTGACGTAGCAATTTGGTCGACGGCCGAAACCGGAATCGGCCTAACAGCCTCCTCGATCGCTACTCTCCGGCCCCTCTTGAGGATGTTCTCGACCGGCTCCAAACTATCCGGTGGTAGTTCTTCCCAAGGTGGCACTAACGGATGGCCTGCCACTGGTACCAATGGTTATATTCGGAGTCGAACGCCCAGAACCGGTGCTCAGGAAGAGTTCGGTTTGAGGAATGATGTCGGGAAGAACCGCGGCGTTACGACTCTGGTGGAAGCTGGGGGGGACGTGGAGAGAGGACAGGGCGGGAAAGGCGTGAGGAGGAGCATGTCGGGACATAGGAGGGACAGTGGGGGTCCGCTGACGAGCGATCCGAATTGGAACAGTAGCGAGACCAAGTTGACGGATATCAGTAGTGAGGATGGGCACCAGGGGAGTTGGCCGACGGGGATCAAGACAACGACGGTGACGCGGACTGTCGTTGAGTAGGGTAACTATCACGGAGCCGCAGGTTGTGCGCGAAAAGACAGGGCTTGGGCTGAAAACCAACTTGCCATGCGTGAGACTAAGCCGGGGAAAAGGGAAAAGGAAGAAGTTTTACGCGCTTTGTTTGTTTTGTTGAGCAAGATGGTTATCTTGGCATTTTCGATCCACGGCATATGGATTGCCCACTCATGTACATATATCGAGGGATTCCCCTACCCTCTCTCTCTTTCGTTCTCTTTCTTCTTCTTCAATCATCAAGTTCACCACCACTTTCGTTCATTCTTGTGCCCGGGCTCGTATTGATATCCACTCCGTTCACTTCGACAGTTCTACGCGCTCCGCCCGTATCCCCATGGTTAGTACGCAGACTGGACAATGACAGCGTATACGCCTTCTCCTCGCACCGGTCCCAATTGCTAAGGTACTTATTAGACCTTCAAGACTTGACGACCTTTTTGAGTAAGACAGGGCTACGTGGGAAAGTTGTGGAGACGTTGCCGCTGGAGAGAAGGGATTCGGGGATGGAGATGTTAAAGGATGATTGAAAGTGATATCGCAAAGGAAGACGGGAAGTGAAAAGGAGGCTCAAGTTGAAGGAAGGTCTTGTTTCACAGTGTCCGGTTCAAGTGGTTCACGCCCGTACAGTATCGACGTGTAGGTAAGCTGCATGTCAAAGAAGCCCCAGATGCCGATGACAGCGCCTAAAAAGCGGGTTTGGTGATGACAGCTGCTCCACTGTAAGCACTTTATCACCAGATGGCTGACGCATGCACAAGATAAGGTAACTTTTTGGTGGGGATCCAGTCTGGCTTCCCTGCTTACCCCATGTCGCTCTCCTGTAATGAAGTCCGGCACGTTCTGGAAGCCGTGACAACGGTCATATGAAGTACTGTCTGTTTCATACGATGACTGTGACCCCGCACTTCTTCCGCGCGTGAACAAGATACCTTACTTTATCAGGCTGGTGGTGTCTTGGGGCATTCGTTCGGGAAAGAGCCTCTGTCAGGGACTCCGCCGTGCCGTCGGAGCATCTTGGCCGATCTAGTCACGGACCAATGAGCTCATTCTGGTGGAGGGGCTGGACTGGGCTGTTTGTTTGCAGTCTAGGGGAGACACCCTCAGTCTTGACGCTGGCGTTGCGAGTGTGGTCTACATGGTTGCCAGCGTTATTTCGCCGCAAAGGTCTCATTCATTCAGGGAAATGGCCACGACGGAGGACCAGCACGGTATGAAGAAGTCCAGATGTGTTGTACCTAGCTCCGGTTTCTATGTTTTGTCCCTCGCGTATTCCTCCGTCCCCTTCAGTGGCTTCCTCTTCTCAAACAAATTGTCTACTGTACAGGAATATGCTCCTTGAAGAGTGACAGACCTGCAATGAACCAAATGACTTGACCCGGGGTCTCCCCCGATCCTGCTGAATCTATCCTCCCCCCACTCCTGGAAGGTCATTCTTCCGCCCCCCCCCCCCTCCTCTTCAAACTTGATCCGCGTTGTCCAGTGTGAACGTTGATGGTCCACTGAACAACCAGCTTTCCAATATGATCAGACGAGAAGCAAAGGTTGTTACGGCCGCACTTGTCCCGAAGCATTAGGCCGATGCAGCGAAACATCTGGAGGGATTTTCCGGCTATTGCAAACCTACGCCGTGGCTGATAGCCTCACGGTACTCCTCCCCCCATGACGGACGCTTAACTTCGCTCTCTTCATGGTGATGAGCTGTGAGAACGCCACGCCCTGTTGGGGCAGTGTGCTGGCCGGTCCCCTCGAGGGGTTATTGGTGTGGCTGAGGTAGAACCGCGGTGATGAGTGATGGTACCTGGGGCGGGGGAAACGGTGTTAGTGTCAGTTCAAGTGTCATGCTTGTCTCGTCAGCGTGGATGTACATACCCGAGAACCACCATCCGGTGGTTCTTCTCTCGACTGGCGATGGCTGCAATTACCGAGACCCGGAGGGCCAACTCGCGTGGCCTAGGCACCTTCCCGCGGTAACCTGCAAAGGAAACCAAGTGTACATCTCGAGTATGTCGCTCGGCTGGATGTTGGGGACAGTGCCAAGTCTCCCAAGATCCTGCAGATAGTGTCAGAAGATCATGCTCAAGACCTGAAGAAGGAAGACTGGAGATGCCTACCGCTTGAAGGGGGAGGCAGCGAGTTAGCCCGCCCGGGACATGGGCTGGTCCGGGCGGCCGCGCTGTGTTGGAAAGCTGAAACTTAACGCTGCATTTACGGCTGCTGATCTGCCGTATACGGCGGAGAAGGACAAGAGATCGACTAGGCGGTCGAGCGCGCCATGAAGATTTTCCACGAGCAATCCTCATCGTCATCCTCGTCGGGGGAGATGGCGCCGGGAGGAAAAGCGGCCAGAGGATGTGCTTGGAGAACTTTGAGCCGGCCCAAAACAGAGCTGGGTTATGGGGACCGGAACGAGTCGAAGGGGCTGAGTCGAGTCCAGAAGTTGCTGTAAGAAGACAAGGTGATGGTGGAAAACAGCAGGATCAAGTGTTTTGTTGGTTTGTTGGTGTGTGGATGATCATTTTGGAGAATTGGTTGAGTGTGTGGGAGAGAGAAGAGAGGGGAAAGAAAAGCAATGGAAGAGGCGGGGGGCAGAGATGAAATACTCGGTCAGCTGGGACAAGTGGGGACAGGCCAGGCTGGGAGATTCGACGGACAGAACTTGACGAATGGCCCGGAAGGGCTCTGAGTGGAAGGTACGCCCGGTCTGGAGGCCCGGGATGTGCCCTTTGTAACACAAGCAGTCAGTGTTCCCTGCGGGCAGAGAAGCGGGGAGAGGAAGGAGAAGGCCGACGTACCTCTGGTAAGTCTGGGTGCCGGGGGTTGCTGTTCATGGGCCGGTCAGGCATCCAGACCGTGAACAACGAAGATCCGTTACCGCTTTTGGTGCTCCTGGAACGCAGCTTCTTGCTCCTGACGGACGAGCTTCTCGGGAACATGCAGTCGAAGTCATCCTGCCACTTGTTGATCGGAAGTTTCCCCCTCTTCGATCCTTCGCCGTGGGCGACCAGACTCGGATCGAACTCCCGCGAAGCGATTTGTCAAGACACGTACCTGCCTCCTCGAGTGTAAGGAGATCCTTCTCCCTCCCAGCCCCAGGAGAGCTTGGGTCCGCGCGAGGCCACCTCCTCCCTCCAATAATTGTCTGCATCATGCTTGCAACCTTTGACGCCAGTAGCAGAGACATGACCCTCCGCCTCAGGAGTCGCAATCCTCGACATCCCCGACGTCCTTGACAGCTTCAACATCATCTACATTCTCCATGTTCTCTACAGCTTCGACATTCTCCCATTGTACCTCTAACTCCAGCTTGGCTGAGGAAAGACATCACAAACTGGACCCTTACCCTTCCAGTCCTTCCCTTCCAGTCCTCCCCTTCCAGTCCTCGTATCTCCTGTGACCATCGTGGAAACAGGTCAGTGGTTTCCCTCTTGGCTGTCTGGCTGCCGGACAGGTACTTTGGTCTCCTTTACGATGTATCTTCCCTTGCTCATGGCAGTCCTGGATTTACAGTTTGGCCAACACCGCAAACGACAAACAGGCAACGGAGACCGATCAATCTGAGATTCTCACTCCCGCCTCTCGTGGCGCCGCAGGAGGCACCCATCACCGAGCATGTCCCGGACAGCGAAAAGCTTCCGGCCCAAGAGCAAGCCTCCATCAACGAGCAGGCTCTAGTAGACAGGCAAGCCCGTGTCGACTGCCGAGGACGGCCCCCATAATCCTGGCTGTCCTCAACGATCTTGCCGTCATCAATAGCCACCTCGATCAGTGTAGTAGTACTCCTATCGACAAGTACATCACCGGAAGCCACAAGAAAGATGAGACACCAAGCACCAGAACCCTATACACCTTCTCTCTCTTCCGCCCGCTCCTTCGGTGCGTCGACAAAGATTCTGCCTATGAACCATGCTTTTCTCTGGGCATAAAGGTAGAAACTACCTCTACGATTAAGACCTTCCCACTTGTCCATGATCGTCCGGCTAACACCACCATGCTTATTGTTGTCCCAGCCGATACCCGCCTTCTTACGAGCGGCCAGTTGGCTTCGATGCCACCGAAGATGACCGGCCACCAAATCTGGCTAGGAACAAGGCACATTGGAAGCCGTCAAACCAGCTTTGGAAGACTGCACATGTACCTACCTACCTACCTACCTAGATAGGCACTGCGATCAAGAAAGATGACAGATTGGGAAGTAGTCTAGTGGACTCCACGTTGAAGAAAGATGTGCCGCTTCCTCTCCAGGATATGATTGGGCTTCTCGTGCCCTCGTTGACATCTCCCGCGTGACTGCGCCTGGCCACAATTTCGTCCTCGTCCATGGCAGCCTCCCTTAGCTGAGCAATTACATCTCTTTCTTGGGTTTCCGTTATAGGTATGTCGGCAAGGGATTGCGGCTCGTAGGCATATTTAGTGCGGGTCTAATACGCCTTTTGACGTCTTTCCCACTCAACCACGACTAGGTCCTTGGCTTCATTGTGTACCTCTATGATCACCTCGTCGTATTCCTGGCCCACTTCGCCATGCCTGTCCGCCCAGTCGAAGCCCTGGCGCTTGTGAAGGCCTAGAGGTACTTTCCCTGTCCCAAACAGGTTGGCATGAGACTTCTTCTTGTTGAGCTTGCCTCGCTGTGGGTGTATTCTGCGTATGGTCTCAATCAGTCTGCTGAGGGGATGGGCGGTACATTGATGATTCTGCCTCTATACCAGGCAGATTTTGGAGTGGCAACCGGAAATGGGTTGTCGGGAGGATCCACGAGACACGGCGGTGGCAAGCGAGCCCGTTACTCCCTCCACGCGGCCAGCTTCGCCTGCAGCCTAGAGATAGCCTTTCTGGCTGCCTCTTGTTTGGCCTGACGGGCGATTACCGCCGCGGCAAAGGAAAGGCGCCCCTGCCGAGTGGTGGTCGTGGCATCGTTTGTATTCTTTCCATGTCTGGTGTTCTCGCGTTATAGGGGTTGTTGACCCGAGAATCGCCGATGTCTTCCGCGTGCCGGAATGCGGCGACCATTTCGTCAACCAGCTTGAATCGTTCCTCGTTAGTAGGTAGAGGGAATATCGGTGACGGTAATTCCAGCGTGGTTGGGAGGTGTCTATGCCATCGGATTCTGAGCAACCTGTTGGTCGATCGGGTTTTGAACGAAGTGGTCGCCCATTGGGATCATCTCGGGTGTTTCACTGTATTGGTGATGGCCGCCTTGGATCTCTAGAGGTAGAGGCGAGGAGGAAATATTAGTATTTACATCCTTGGTGTTTGCTTGAAGGTGTAATCCAAATATTCCAGTTTGGATCTCGAGTAGAAGTACGTTACTTACTGCGAAGAGATGTTAAACATCCCTAAACTGAGCTATGAAAGTGTTGTAAGCCTTGAAACCGAAGTCGAGGAAAAAGGGCGAGATGTGCGGACTGACTAAGTGGACAGCCCTCGAGCCTCTCTGTGCTAGTGTTAGTGACGACTGACGACCGCCATCATTGCTTTACGGAGACTTGAACTCACTATTGTCTTCTAACTCAACGATTGTAGATTGAGGCTACAACTAGACATGTGCTGTTTTTTCCTCATGTTGTAATATCACATGCTCGTTTCAATGTGATTATTATTGAAATTATCTGGATTATCTTGTTTAGAGGTATATAGGACTACAGGTACAGGACAGCACAACCCGGAGAGGACAATCACAAAATCGAATGGACCAAACCATGGAGACTAGAGTAAAGGAATGCTTGTAGTATGGAACTACCTCTTCGCCCTTTTCTTCGGGTACCTGATGTTCAGCGTCCTTTGCCTAGTGCTAGTATCGAACTGGACAATAATGTATAACGAAAAGAAGACTGGTAAAAGGCTAGGGCCAGAAGAAATTGAATGCCTCGAACAGCGCCAATAGCTTCGCAATCGTCGTGGAATGAAAACACCCCCACTGATGGTATCCTTGAAGCAGTTTGTGGCTTACCTCTACTCTTCTTCCTTCTTTTCCCACAAGTCCTGTTTCGCGATGTGGTGATCGTCTTCCCTTGACTTGAACAACTTCCAGGAAGCTAACCTGCCCCTGTCAAATGAAAGTCACGATTCTCAGTGTTTCTTATATTGAAGAAACCCATCGCGTTCGGCCTCCTCCGGAAGACAAGGAATGCTGTTATCAGTCGGCTTTGAGATCGTTGATGGGATCTGAAACCTCCGTCGAATCGGAAGTAATGAACCAAAGATAGCGTCTAGAGAGAACGCTCATCCTCCTCGCCGTCTGAGATACGTGTTCTCTTAACGCCGGCGGCAATGTAGTTGTCCTCAACGTTGGGTCCCTCGGCAGCCGTCAGAGCCGCACCCTGGCCATCCTCGTCAAGGGGGGTTTGAGGATGTGCTTGCGCTGACTCTGATGCCCCATTGTCTTGTTCGGCATTGGTTTGTGTGCCATTCGTTTGTGCGGCATGTCCTTGTGCGGCATCTGCCACCTGCCCTGCGGCGACTTGGTTCCTTCTGGCCTCGCTCGCAAAAGCGGGCTCGGTGGCCTTCCTGTCACTGCCAGCCTTGTTCCACTTCTTGGTCTGTCATTGTTTGTTAGCCACCAGTGTCTTATAATCCTGTACCCGTAAAGAACGGGAGGTAATTGACTTACAGTAAGCTCACTGGAGGGCCTACCAGCATAGCGTATCATAGAAGGTGTCTCCACCGTATTGGTAACCGCCGCCTTCGACGATTCAATGAGGGTTCGGAAGTCGCGGAGACGAGCGCCAAAGGAGTCGTATGGCTTAAAGACAAAGTCCAAATTGAAAACCCCGATGTCGGGCACTCCCAACGAGACTTTCTTCAAAGCACGCTGCAGGGACCGGTGGTTAGTGACAACTAGATCACCGGAGTGAAGGAAATGGAACAACTCACCATAGCCTTCCATCCCGTAGACTCCATGTTGAACAGAGACATATGTCTCTTCTCTACGAGCACATGATTGTCTCTCTCTCCATTCTTAGTCGTATGCTTGGCTTTATCAACGATATTTCGCTCGTTGAGGCCATCGATGACGAGGTTGAGAACTTCCGCCCTTTCTTGCTCCGGAAGCCTCGGAGCATCCGCGAATGCAGCCTGTGAAAAGCCGTAACTAGTACGAACTTGATGGCTTTTCTGCCTCTTCTCCCACTCTTCGCCGGCGAGGAACTCGGGCTCGTTCTTATATACCAAGTCCCCCAAAACCTGGTCAACAGCGCCGTGCTTGTTGGTGTCCCAACTAACTCCCTGTTGCTCATGGAGGGCCAACTTCGCGTGGAGGCCGGCGATGATGGGTCGTGTCTGACCCAGGTTGGCGTAGGTAACCTCCAAGGTGCCAAATCTGTCTATAAAAGCAGCCCACGTGAAGGCGTCGAAGGCAAATTGCATATTGTCCTGGACGAGTTGTCTGATGTCCTCTTTGCCTACAGAGAATGTCCTAGCCTCGTAGAGGGGCCAGCCGGGCGGTACATAGGCGGGAGGGGGTCCCGCAGCGCGGTAGGAGGCTTCGATTGAGTTGCGCGAGCGAAAGTTTCCGTGCGTATTTGGAATGGAAGACCATCGATGGTCTCGGAGGAAGTAATATATGTCATCTTTAGTGGCACGATCTTGTTAGCGCGAGGTATGCACCCTATTGAAAAGGCACTCAGTGTCTTCTACTCCCGTACGTACCAAGGATGGACCAATATGCCTCATGGCGGTCCGTGCCGACGACCTTAGCGATTATACTGTCTATTTGGACAATGGTTTCCGCTGGTGGCTGAACAAATTGTTGACCGATGGGGTTCTGAGCAACCTCCTCGTCGATTGGGTTCATCCCAAACCCGTCGTTCGGCGGGAGCTCGAGTACTTCGTCGCCCACGAGCAGTGGGTCGAGCCATTCGTTTAGTGGTGGCTGCGGTGCAAACTGTTGGTTCGCCATGTGGCCTTCATCGTTACCCGGAGGTGATCTTTGTATCGCGTTGTTAGCTCTCAGTCCTTGATTAAGATGCGCGCGTTTAAAGAAGTGAAACCGGCCCGAACTTTGGTACAAGGTACCGAGCGACGTGAAACCATAACGTGAGAAGATAATGGAATTGGAGAATGATGAGTCGAAAAGGGCGCTTCCAAACCAGAATGTGAAACAGTATATAAGGTACACTGAGTTGTAGAGGGGCCAACTTACTGCTGGTTCTGGGAATCCATGTTTTTTTATATTGAGCTATGGTGCTCAACGAGAGGAATGATCGTTTAAGATGACCAACGGTGAGGTGATCACGGTTCTCGAAACCAATTGTTGTCTTGATGGCCTTGGGAGTGGATAAACATTGGCACCTTTGGTTTGCGCAGTACAGGGTCGATTTCCAAGCAACAACCGGGTGTTGGCTGTCGATTGGGATGTTAGAGGAGAGATTGGGGGTAGCGCAAACGGCCTGGGCAAAGTGCCTTGAAAGGTGATGAAGAGAGGATAAGGAGTTTGCTGGATGAAGATCGGTGGTGGTAGGTATCGGATGGTAGTTGAGAAGAGATTTTGCGATCGCGGTGATGGTTGTTGTTTCTGCAATGTTGAGCGATCAGAACAAAATTTGTCGGAGGACAAAAAGTAAGCGGGCCAGACGAGGGGCAGACCCAAAACACCCTTCACAGCAGTGGATAAGCCCGGCCGGCAGAGCTCGACAACCTCCGCACATGGGATGAAGTCGTCTACAGTAGAAATTCAGAATTTATTAATACGAGACGTATTTCCAATAAAGAATCACTTAGCAACTTCTTCTCCCTTGCTTACCTAGAATAGCCCAATAGACCTCGTGAAGGCCTGTTCCAACGACACCGGGCACTATACTGTCCATTTGGACAATGGTTTCTGCCGGGAGCTGTACGAACTTTTGGTTCATCGATTGCTGAACGAACTATCCGCCCATTAGGTTCGAAATAACTTCTCGTCCATGGATTGCTGTATGAACCCATGGCGCATATTTGTGGACGGCGAATGTGAGGTGGGTTTTAGGTACCTACATGTATGGTAGAAGACATAGACAACATGTATGTAGTTGTTATGGATGTTTATTGTGTCGTTTCTTGCATGTATAATAGATGACGGAGGAATTGTCACTGGGAAGACAGTCAGGCACAAGGCAATAGTACTTGTAAGTGTTTCACTAATGTACTATGTAAAACAGCCGCTACCTACCGGTATTCTCTGAGGAATGAGCCGTGTTTTGCTAATGACGAGACCTTGCTTGAATAAAAGCAAAAGCCAAGTAAGGTCCTCCACCGAAAGGAGAAAAACCGAGGCAAAGAGGTATCACCCCATACGCAAAACTCCTCGCTTGGACCATTGGTCTAAACTCTAAACCCGCTTTCCGATGCAAATAAGCCATCCTCGCTACTACTTCTTCTTTCCTCTGTGGTTCCTTGGACACTTCGTCGTCTTCTCTATGCCGGTTAGGGAACCACTCGAGATTGCTCTCCTTTCCTGTTGCCTCCTCGACTGTTGGTAGGACTCGATGCCTTCCATGCGTCGTGAATCGCCCTTGTTTCCTTTCACCCTTCAGACCTCTGCAGGAGTAGATATCTTCGGCCCTCTGTCCTGGTCAGTTGTCGGCAGAACGCCGTGCTATTGACTCGGTGCATAATCTTTCGCTGTTGACTGATCTCAAATCAGTCCGAACCTGACTCCGGCGCCGCGGTGTTGTACGGATGAAGAAAGATACTGTCCCCAGAGGCTGGCAGGAGGCGCACTCGTCGTGGCAGTTTACCTACACCCTCATCGCGCTTTCTCTTTAGGAATGGCGGGGGCAAGAGCGCCCGTTCCTCTCGCCAAGCGACCAGCTTTGCCTGCAGCTTGGCCTTTCTGGCCGCCTCTTGTCTCTCCTGGCGGGCCATTGCCGCCGCGGCAAAGGCAATGCGCCCCTGTCGTCTGGTATTTGTGCCGTCGTTCGTCACCTTCGTCTGTTGTTCCCGCGTTGTTAGTTCGTGTACCATGACCGACGCTGGCTCTTTGCGGTGGCCCAAGTGAACGGTAAACTTACGGATAACTCGACATGCGGCTTTCCCGCAAAACGAAAGACGATGGGGCACTTCACCATGTTGGTGATGACCGCTTTGGATCTCTAGGGGCAAGGAAGAAATGTTAGCATCTGTAAGGTATGTCTGATGTTTGGTTGAGGCAGTAACCCTAGTTTCACAGCTTGGAGTGGACGCAGGTTACCTACCGTGAAGAGATGCTTGACATCCTCAAACCGAGCCATGAAGGTGTCGTAAGCCTTGAAACCGAAGTCAAGGCAAAAAGGCGAGATGTGCGGACTGACCAAGTGGACAGCCCTCGAGCCTCTCTGTGCTAGTGTCAGTAACAGTGTCCATTGCTACGCTTCTAGAATCACAACTCACCAGTTCCTCCCAGCCCATGATCTGGAGGTTCAAGAGCGACATGTGGCTCTTCTTCTTGATGATATAGCTTCCTCTGCTGGTCTGGTCATCCTCAATCATGTCCCCTTCATCAACGGCCGCATCCATCAGCTGCAGCACAGATTCTGTCTCCTCCGCCGGCTGCTTCGGGATGTCGGCGACACGCTGCTGGGAGAACCCGTGCTGCTGTCGAAGCTGACACGTTCGATAACGTCGTCCCCACTCGTCAACTGCAAGGAAAACGACCTCGTTCTTCAAGTCCAACTCATCGATTGTCTGGTCGACATGGCCATGTTTGCTGGCGTCCCACTGCACTCCGGCCTTCTCATGCGCCGCCAGTTTGGCCCCGAGTTCGGATATTCCGGGGCGGGTTTGTGCCAGGTTCGCAATGGCTTGCTCAAGGGCGCCGAGCTTGGCCATTATTCGTACCCAGGAGTACGCGTCGGATGCGAACTGGAGGTTTTCCCAGAAGATGGGGCTGAAACGATCCATCGGCTTTGCAAGAATCGAGTTGATGTACACCTCCCAGGTCGGAGGATCTGGGTTCGTAGTCGGCGGAATGATTGGCGGTGGTTGGACATTCCTCCTCAGGGGTGCTTGTTGGGGAATGGCATCCCACAGGGCGTTACGGACAAAGTAGTAGATATGGTCTATGAGGCCGATGTTAGATCAAATTCGGAGCAGTGCTGACGGGCACTAGATCAAGTTTAACGTACCGACAATCTTCCAGTACGTCTCGTGCAGGTCGGTTCCTGCAACTTCACTCAACATCTCGTCCAGGCGAGGAAGCCTGTCAGCCCGGTCTTGCTGGACTTCGACTAGTGGCCTATAATACACATCAGGTTATTATCTGAGAAGACGAATGAAGAGTTGCGTGGAGAGGAAGTTCTGGTGGGGGCCTTGGGCGCAAGAAATGCCGTGTAGTAGCGAAGTTCCCTACGACGTGGCAACATTGTGGAAGAATTCGGTAGCAATCAAAGGGAATGAAGAGGAGAATGTAAGGTGACTATGGCACATAACGCCGTAGTCTCATTGTAATCAGTGAATCAAGAACCAGAAGGTGGTGACTTACTGCAATGGTTGAGGCTCCAAGTTGGGAGGCTGATGATCGAAATTGGGCTGCTGCCACTGAGGATTAAAGTTGGCAGGTTGAGGCTCCATATTCAAAGGCTGGGGATTGACGCTAGGAGCCTGAGGATTGATCTGATTGAAATTGGCAGGTTGAAGCTCCAAGTTAACAGGTTGTTGATTGGCGTTGGGAGGTTGCGGGTTGGCGTTGAGAGCTTCAGGACCTATGTTGATAGGTAGAGGATGCTCGTAAAGCTGTTGAATACTCATACCGAAAAGTTCTGGATCCACGTTGACCGGTTGTTCCATTTTGTTGGAGGTTGTTCGAAGAGACCACCGGTAAGTTGATCACGGTATGAACCAATTGTCGTCGTAATGGCCTTTGGGGTAAAAGTGCATTGGTACGTTGAGCCTTCCGCAATACGAAGATGATTTCCCAGCAACAACCAAGATTGGGCTGTCGGTTGGGAGGTAGAGGCGAGTTTTCGGTGGTAAGCGACGTCGGAGGGACGCAGAGGACGGCTGGCTTTGCTGCTGCTGTTTCCTGGTGATAGTGAGCGGGAGGAGTTGGAGGTTTACAGGTCGCGCGGTATAGGAAAGCTGTTAGCAAAGAGTTTTGCTTATTACGTTGACGGTAGTATATTGTTTTTGCAAAGTTGAGCGATCAGAACAAAATTTGTTGGAGGACAAAAAGTACCTAGGAAGAGGAAGCGGACCAGATGGACGAGGGGCAAACCCAAAACACCCTTTACCGTAGTGGATAAGCCCGGCCGGCAGAACTTGACAACCCAACACATGGGATGAAGTCTTATCGGGATCCAAACCTGACGCTACCGCCCTGATAGCGACGCGTAGTCCGCGTGTAAACGGCTCTTAGGGTATCTTGATACTGGCGAACGGTCCCCAATCCCGCTCCGTGTCTGCTGTCGACACCGAAGGGATCGCTAAAGACAGCGTGGGTTGGTGGTATCCCAACTAGCACCACCCTAGGCCGCCGGCACCGTCCATGAGCTTTGCGAGTATAGACCTCGCCGACCCAAACGCATTTTCAAGGGAGGAAACCGGCTTCTAGAGGATTATAATAGGAAGTGGTGCTATGTTCCCGACGAACTATTAGATTGACTTCGGCCATCTAGAGCCGTGGTTTTGTTCTACGCAAGCCTTCGTGAAGACCAAAACTCCATAATATACTCGACACCTGCCGGGTGTAAAGCGTGGTGGCCTCTCTTAAGCAATATATCCTTATTCGAGTTGAGCACCTAAAAATAAGCGTTTTCGCCTCCTTTCCTTTCTTTCTATTCTTCTAGTTCAATTAGAATTCCTCAATATAACTACTTGCTAAGTGGCAAACAGCCTTTCAGCGATGAGTAGTAGGTATTGTGGCAGGCCCCCTAGGGATGTGCTCGCATCGTTGGTACGGTATATACCTCTACCATTCTCCACATCCAACATTCGGTTATGGCCGATTACTACCTTTCAAAATAGCTGATGATGCTCAACGAGAAGGAGAAAAAATGGAAATTTGTTACTCGCCACTTGTCTTCAAGGGGGTAGCTAAGCAAAGCGCAAATCACGAAAGCAGTGGGAGGTTTGTGTTATTGGAATGTGGTTAAAGACTGTGTAGTACTACCTCTAGTTAATCCTAACAATCTGGAAATTTGTTTCAAGTCCTAGTCTGTAGCGCCCAGTAATATACGCACAGAAATAATGTAATGTGACATCCATCCCATAATGCGCATGCATTAGAAGCTGTAGAAAAGAAACAGAAATGAACCTTGGAAACGATGAAAGGGAAATAACTCTGGCCCCAATCGGGGAATACTTTCCTTGGTGGTCACCTCCGCCCTGGTAGCCACCGTCGCCCTGGTAGCCACCGCGGCTGCCACCACAGTCACAACATGAAGGGGGTTGTGGGTACCGCAGCGGGAATATAAGGAGCGTAACAGGGCTTGTTGAGGGCAATAGGCGTTGTTGTATATCTAGGGCGTATATATGAAATAGGCCCTGTTGACTTAATAACCCTTATTGAGTTGAGGGAGGCCTTTGATTGGTCGGATTTGGGTACAAAATAGTAAAAGCTAAAGACCCCTATAAGGACCATCTGGAGGCCATTATAGGTGTCTTTGGTTAGTAGTCTTTCTAGTAGTCTTTCAAGTAGTCTTTCAAGTAGTCTAACACTTTGGCTTCAAAGTCCGGATGAGGGCATTCGCACTTCCGCGCGAAGTTTTTCGCGCGACCGAAAAAAGACGACCACCAGCGGGATCGAACTGGCAGTCTGAAGAAAAGAGCAAATATAAGAACCATTGAGCCACTGGCCCATTTGATTGAAAGCGGGCGTCGTTCTTTCCTTTGATATAGGGTAGTTGAGTTTCTAGGGGGAAATGAACTTTGGGAAAGAAGTATCGTCACCGTGGAATTGTCGAAGGCACTGAAGCAGTACGCTAAACTTGGGACCTTTAGCGACCGTCTATAGCGGACACCCGGATTGACCAATCAGATGTCTCCCTCAGCCCAATAAGGCTTATAGAATCAACAGGGCTTGTTAAAATCAACAGGGCTTGTTGGAATCACAGGTCCTATAAGCCGTAGTAAGCTAAAGAGGGCTTGTTCCCCAGCACATTTTCCCGCTACGGTATTGAAGCCGTTGTACTGGAAACTCTCCCGAGTGCAAACTTATCCTTGGTCCATCTCAATAGGCGGCTTCTGCACCCAGCCGCTTCAAGTATACTATGCAGTGCGCCGATACCACGAAGATATTTCTTTAGCATGAGCATGTAGTTCAACTCCTGTTCCGCTTTGGTAAGCTCCGCGTGGGTTGGTAGGAGTAGACCTTGATTGTTCGTACCCGAAAAGGTGCAACTATTAGTAATAGGTTTCCTAACCTGGGGATAACATTGACCTAGAGTTCAAGGCGCTATTTGGACGACAGAGCGTGGCCAGCCTTTGCAAGCGAACATGATGTGTCCCCGGCAGGATATTGATGGTGGCAGCGAACACACCCCAGCCGGTCGACCAGTACTATTCCCAAGTACCGCCCAGACAAGATCCTTGGTCTTCTCGCCCTTGGCGTCAGGGTTGTTACAGGCAAGACCAGTACCGCAAAGCTCGAAACCCAAAGGGAAAGCTGAGGGATGTTCCGCAGACGTTTGGAAAGGCGCGGGAGCGGCGAACGGCTGGCCTACCAAAGCCGGAGGCGGTCCGCAAAAGGCTCGGGAGCTATGAAAGCAGCCGGGGAGGGAGCCGTAAGAAGAGCCGGGGAAGGAACCGGGGTATACTGGTGAAAAGGTTGGCCTACCAAAGCCGGGGGCGGTCCACCGTTGCCGCCGAAGGGGGGGTCCATCGTTGCGGCCAAAGTGATTGGCGCCATGAGCCAGAACATGCTCCTCCATTAGATCCTGCTCCTTAACTGTCTCTTCAGTGCTGTTCACCATGGCTTTCTCGCTGTCCGAAACATCATCATGTTTGTTGATTGGGGCCGAGTCCTTGACTGGGCTGGTCTGCTCCTGCATAAACGACACCTCTTCCGTCTTGGACGTGATGGTGGGACGGGCCGGGCCGAGATCGCGCCACCACCTTGGCTTATTCGTGCTTGGAAAGGGGATGGCTGACAATATGTTGGGATGGCCACGTATTGGAGGCGGCTCTGAGCTGTAGGTCTCGGGGGGTCTCGGGTAGGAGGGCTCAGGGAGACTAGCGGAAGAACAAAAGGGAAGGGCTTATGCTCGAGTGCCGTGCTGCGCAGGAGGATGAGAGGCGCCTTTAGATGGAAGGCAGTTGTCCGTGGTCTCTTGCCTCGGTTTGTGCTGCCGCGCCGGAGAAGCGACCGACATCTTAGCCTTGCCCATGGTTGACGAAAGTGCCTATGGTCAAGCGCCGTGTGGTAGAGCGGGAGGGTTAGAGGCCTCTCTTAACCGACGGGAGTTGTCGGTGGTCTTTTGGGCCATCTCATGCCGCCGCGGCGGAGAAGCGACCGACATCTTTAGCGCTTGTAGCGAACTCGAACAAAGCCATTGTACAGCTCCACAGTATTTGGAGTGCTGATAGATTTCCGTACAATATGTCCCAGCAGCTGTGCTGGGCTTCTGGTGGTCAACACCTTGGTTCATGTTGGTACCGCGGCAGAGTGGTCTGGACAAAGGGAATAGTTGAACAATAAAGAGACCTTTGAGAACTGGGAGACACTGGCGAAGCCGATGTCCCACCCAATGCCAACAAAGGAAACAAAGGGAGAAGCATCCGCTCGGATGACAAAGATTCGGACGGTACCTCTTCCAGGAAGGGCGTCGTGGACCTTGGACGACCTGGACACGTCTTAATCCTCGATGGGCATTAAGTCGTCCATATGGAAGTCTCAGTCGTCGAAACCTAGATTATCGTCGGAGTCCAGGTCAACGTCGGGATCCAGGTGGCCGTCATCTTGCATGTCGTTATAGACGTTGGAGTTGTTGTCGGCGTCGGAACCTCCGTAGTCGAAGGGCTCCTTATCGAGGACTGGGCCGGCGGAACTCTTGATTAACAAGGCTCTTCCGGTCAGCGCCCGCTTGACTATAGGCACATCGTCATCCTCCTTTGAGCCCTCTACATCGTCCACGGCAGGCTTCTGTTTTCCCAGATAGGAAGGTGGGAGTGGACGACTGGCCAACGCTTCGCGATGCATGGCTCGCAGTTGGACCTTGCTCGGCTGTGGAGGCATCTCTCCGTCAGCTGCGGGGGGCTGCTGGTTTTGGTTCGATTGGCCCCTCAAAGCCCTTCGACCGGCAGCTTGTTCGAGGTTCCTTGTAGCATTGGTGTTCTTGTTTGTTTGTTTCCTCTGCGTTGCCACGCCTTGTCAGTATGTCGCGACATAGGATCGTGTGGTCTCTGAAAGTCTTTTTTGGGCTCTCCCTACGGTGTCCACCACCACTAATTGACGTACCTTCAGCTCCTCAACAGGATTTGCAGCATTACGGACCTGTATGGGGGCGTCCTGCGTATTGGTGACCGCCGTCTTGCAGTTCTGTGAAACCGTGTTAGTCGAGCGATGACATTGTCTGCGAACAAGATCCGTCCGAAGGGAAGAAACAGGGGATCTGTCAACCAGCGTTTGGGGGGGGGTTTACACGAAATAACTGCTTGACGTCCTTAAAACGTCCCATGAACGAGTCGTACTTGTGGTAGACAAAGTCCGTGGTGAAGATCGAGATGCCATCTCCTGGAATTCCCAGCTGCATGTCTCGCATTGTTCGCTGTAGTGAAAAGAAAACTGTTAGCGGAGTTCTACACCTATAACATGGGGAGACCACTTGACTTACCATCGCAGACCAGCCAAACATGCTCAGGGACATAGACCACATCTCTCTCTTTTCCTTAATAACCGGGTTGATCCTCCCGTTCGCATATTGTAACCTATCAATAATGTCTGCCTCGTTCACCGCAGCGGCCTGTAGTTTTTCTACAAGGGCGCGCTGGGATGCAGCGTCCTCGGGGTAATCGGCTAACTGTGGCTGATTGAAGCCGTGTCTCGCCTTGATGCGCTCGACCTCCAGACGTCGGGACCACTCGTTGACTGCGAGATACTCGGTCTCGGTGGGAACGTTCTGGTTGAGGGGCCCGTTCTGGGCGATGTTCCGGATAATGGGCCGATACTGGCCCACGGAAGCCACCGCCGTCTCAATCGCGCCGGCCTCGGCCATGAGTCGCACCCAGTCGTAGGCGATGACGGCGAAGTATGAATGGGCCGTGTAGAGCCTCCGGAAAGGGTGGTCTTGTGCAAGGGCGTCGTGGAAAGTAGCGAAATCGGGAATGTCGACGTGGTCATGTGTTGTACTTAGGCCGCGATCCTCAACCTGGTAGCCCCGGCACGTTGGTGCTACGTTTGGGACAGACCGGCGTAGGTGGCTGGTCATGAAAGCGAAAAACTCGTCTGTGACCAGGAGCGTTAGCAGGCTGAATGGCTTCTTAAGCGCGCTCCCCGATGTTATTGAGTTACCTAGCATCTGCCAGTAGTCGTTCTCGTGGTCTTTTCCACGAGCGTCTTTCATGATCTTCGGGATATTTGCGACAAGGACTTGGGGCATATCCATGCCGAGAACCTCACTACATTCCTGAGTTAGCAGACGGCCCTGGACCACGGGACTAGAAAAGCGAGTGTCAAGTTAAGGTGGAAGGTATGTTGAAGAAGGGTAAGGGGAGGTGAAAGCAATGATGAGGGGCATTTGAGAAGCGAAGCTTCATGCGCATCGCAGTTGAACCGAAGGTAAAAGGATGGAAAAAACTCACGGGCTGGGGTCTATGATAGGCCGGTGTCCTACAGGAAGGGAGTAGTGTCTGATGAAGAGGACAAGATTGACGATGTAAAACGCGTACAAGACAAAAGATAGACGCCGAGGACTGGCGCGTTGTGTAGGCTGATTGAGGGGTGTAAAGTAAGGTAAGCAGGATCTTGCTTGCACGCGGGACGTTTTGTGCTGGCAAGTTTCTGATGTGGAAGTGAGGTCGGCGGGGGAAAATAAGACCAAGTGCGAGTAAAGGACCTGTGACATAGGGAGCACGTCCGGCAAGCAAAAGTAAAATATAAAAAGACATTTGTGCGGGGAGAGGGAAGCAAACGATCGGGAAGTATCGAGGTGATGAAAAGTGGGCCAACTCTGTCGAACGGGAAACGAGTTCAAGGAAAAGGGAAGGTACGTGCCATAGGAGAAAGCAGCGCAACAGTCCACCGACCTTGACCGCCTACCAAATACAGACACTGACGGACCTCTTTCACGAATGAGGGGCAGAAGAGTGGACGCGCTGTTCGTTGACTGTCTTTGTCATACTCACTACCTCTAGAGGTAGGCATTGTCGACGTCTCGATTACCTGCACAATATACGCCGTGACGTCGAATCCTATTATCCTAACCACGCTCAAACACATGACGGTCCATGGCATTTTGTACATACAGCAAGGAGACCGCGGACAAAGAAATTGGACAAAACGTCTCTTTCAACTAAACTTTGACTTCTATACTACGTAACGGTGCGATACCAATCAGGGTCTCAGCAGTGGGCGGCCGTTAGCCTTGAATCGGTTGCCCACCAAAAGCTCCTCGACCGGCAACTTGTTCGAGATTCCTCGTCGCGTTGGTGTCAAATCTATAGTACTAGGTGATCTTCCCCAGGACCTTGGTCGCCGGGAGGTAGGTCGGGGCCCCGTGTAGTGAGTTGCGTAAGTTTGACAGGGCGCGGGAGGGGGTGCTGGTGCCTGATAAGGTACGTATGTATCCGTACAACATGTCCCAACAATTTTGTTGAGCTTCTTTTGGCCAACACCTTGGACGGCTTCAGGGCGATTTCGCGCCGCATTTGTAAGGCACATATGAAGAAACATTGGAAAAGGCTTGAAGCGTTGGGGTCTTCAACAAATTGAGTGGCGATGTGACGGTGAGTGGCTTCACGCTTAGGCTCGCCTTGGAAAATTGGGAGACACGGGCCCTCGTGCCCGGTTCCCAGGAGACAAAGGAAGAAACGTAAACAGCATCCGCTCGAATGACAAAGACTGAATGTCCTCAGCTCGAGGAAGCTATTTTCTAGGAAGGGCTTCGTAGACGTCCAGCTCTTCATTATTGGGGGTGTCACTGCATCGTTGGGATCTCCGTTGTCGGGGCCGTCCGCGTCGGCGCCTTCGTCGTATTTGCCGAAGGCAACAGTCATGCCGGATATGTATGTTTGAGCGGCGCCAACGGGAGTGGTGGCAGGAGTCTCGGTCTTATTGCCCTCGGGGTCCTCAGTCTTGCTGCTCTCGGGACTCGCAACTTCATCGGTAGATCTGTCCTCGGCGTAACTGCCCACCAGCGAACCGCTTTACTTCCGTAATCGCTTGAACACTAACTGATGTTCATGGTTCCCGGACACATCGTCCACGGCCCGCTTCCACTTGCCGAGAGTAGAGGGAGAAGCGGCGCGGGTAGCCAGAGCACGGCGTCGCATGGCTCGGAGCTCAGCGCTCGTGGGCTTCGGTCGTTGAGGAACGTGGCTGGTGCGAAGGGTAAAGGCTTGCTGGCTTCCCCTGAGGACTCTGCACCCGACAGCATTCTTAGTGTTGCGGGTGGCATTTGTCTTCTCGTTGGTCTTCTTCGCTGGGGACTATGTTAATGTGGTCTCTTATGTTGCGAAGAGTACCGCGAGGCCGTGACAACGAGAGGGCAGGAAGTACGCGAAACGGATGGGCTTCGGGGAAAGATGGGAACTTACGTAGGTTCCTCCATGGGGGCGGCTGTTGCCCGTATGTAGAGGGTTGGCCATATCCGTAGGAGTCGGAATGGGACGAAGAGCGATAACCGCCACTATCTGAACCACCACGGCCTCGTCCACTATAGCCGCCGCGCTGGGGAGCAGCCGGCTGTGGCTGCCGGCAAGCGAGAGACAGGCAAGAATTAAAGATGCCGTGATCAGGCGATCCTGATGAAGAGTGCGGGCGCGACGCGATTTGTGGATGGCAGAGGAATCACTCAAGAGTCTCGAAGGATTGAGGGGTTACCTCTATGTGGACGTCGTTGCTGGGTCGAACGCCCGTGGTGCCGAATCCGCTCATGTTTTGGCGTAACATGAAATAAAGAGAAAACCTACCCACACTCACCCCTAAAACTACACGCACCCTCCCTTCCCCACATGCCAACTGTCGTAAAATACCAACGTTTTCGTATGGTATTTTTTTGTCTCCGAGGGCCTTTAAAGCCCGAATGACTAATGAAGGAAAAAGAATGAAAAGGACCAAAAGTATATCAGGAAGCGAGAAGGAATAGAGGGAATAGAAGAAAGAAAGTGAGAAAGATAAGGAGAAAAAAAGAAAGAAAAAACGAAGAATAGAAATACCCGTTGGGGTAGTTACTTTCCCTTGGCCGTTAGGTAGTGTACCACCTTCAAATGTGGGTGTTCAATCGGTGGATTTTGGCGCTGCTACCGTCCCCGGGCGGTTGCTGTTGCTTAGAGGTAGCGACTATAGCGGCCGGGGCTCCGAAATTTTGCACTCCGACGTGGAAATTTTGCATTGGAATATTTCGTTTTCGAGATCTGGAAATTTTGCAGGGAAAACCGAAGTTTCGAAACCAGCTGTCATTGTGAGACCCGGGCTGTCAGGGTAAGGGTTTACTATGGGGGGTGGGTGCGTGTAGTTTTAGAGGTGAGTGTGGGTAGGTTTTCTCGAAAGACTGATTTTCTTTCTTCTTTGAACTGCCCTGGCGGTTCTTTCTCGGACTCGCTTGGCTCCGACGAATGATGAGAGGAATGTCTGGGCACTACTTGTCGTTAGGTCGGACGCTCCATCCAGGATACTTGGATGCCGATGAGTTTCCGCCAGAGGTTTCCGGCTGCGATGACGAGAGGGGTAGGGACGTTGGCGTTGCTCTCACCAGCGTCGACGATGAGGCTGAGTTTGATAATGACGAGGTGGAGGACGGGACTGCCGAGGAAGGGGCCACGCTTACCCAAGCGGCTCCCGACCGAGGCAGGAACCGACGCCACGGACGGATTTTTTCACCCGAGGGGGGAATGCTGGGGAGACGACAAGAAGTAGAAAAGCTAGAGATTGGGGTAAGAAAGGTAGAGAGCTCAGGAAATGGTGATAGAAAGCAGTGATGAGTTTGGTTACACCCCTCACTCATACCGGATTGTTGGGAGGCAAGGTGATTTGTTGTTGATTGGAAGGTGATTAATGGCGAAAGGGCAGAGCTCGCGAGGCCGTAGTGATCTGGAACAGGAAGAGGATCAAGAACGGAACGAGAGCAAGAGGGGCAGAAGCATGGCCTCAGGCCCCAGTGGCCCTGCTGGAGGGGTATGGCTTGCAAATAGGAAGGGGGGTGAGTGGATGGAGTGGGGTGTGCGAAACTGAGAGCAAATGGCGTCACGACCGAGAACGGGCATTGGCCGATAACCAAATAGAGACACTGGCAAGCTCCGTTATGGTGAGGGGTGGAGATGTGACCATATTCGGTCTTGACCCATGCTCAGAAATACAAAGAGATCATACCGTCCTGCCGGTTGATCCTGACGCCCCGATGACCCTGGTCAGGTATAGTAGCTGGCGCTCACGTTCCTCGGGAAGGACGGCGACTAACCGGGGAGCAAGAGTGAATTTATACCTGGTGAGCGTCAGCTGAGTCACCGTCATACCTACTCAAGCAGCCCACGGAATCACTGAGTCACGAATAAAAGCAAGAAGCGGAGATGTCAAGGTGGAAAACGCAAGGAAAGTGATTATTTGAGTGACTATCACATCAAGATTGTAGACCACTAAGTCTATACGACAAGATCCTATCGAACAGTCACGTTTATGACGCAGACTGCGGCAGCTACCAAGAAAGAAGAGTCCCAACTGACGCACAGGAGGAAGTAAAGAGTGGCGGTGTATAAACATCTTCAGGTAGAGTCAAGCCAAATAACCAGGATTAACACGAACAGCCCTCAACCTCGGGACCCCATCCCCTCAGCTGCCGGCACAACTTCGATGACCATCTGGCCAGGGCCGCTTTCATTTCCTCCGCCTGCCGTCTCGTTTTGTTCACCCCTGGTTTGCTTGGACTTCCCGAGAAAGGCGAGGGGTATGTTCTCGGGACGGTAAAAACGCCCGTCGCTGGCGCGGACGCTGGCGCAGCTGCGGTTGGTGGTGAGAGTGGTGGACGTGGGAGTAGAAATTTGCCTGGCGTTCAAGGCGGCGGCGGCGGATAAGACAGAAGGCCAGAAGGCCGAGCAGCAAGACACCAAAGATTGTGACGCCAAATGGGCCGGCAATAGCTCCTGACTTTGGGCCGCCCGTTGCCGGTCTTCAACGATTGGTATTATTATGATTTAAATAAAGGAAGTAGACGACGATCTTGTTGTCGAGCCCAGGTGTAAGCAGCATCAACCCTTCGGTCGGATACGGCGCCGTGATTTCCATCCCCATCTCTCTCCATGGGAACGGGCCCCTACCCACTTGACTCGCCAAAGAAATAAGGCAAGGCGATTGTGAAATATGTACTGGGCAACGTCAAAACGTGTACCGTCAAGCACAGGCGTAAATCTTTGAACCAAGAAAAGAAATTTGAAAAAAAAGCGACCTTTAAAAGCAAGCTATGACTATTGAAAGTGAAGAAAACTTCTGCTACCGCCGAAGGACTTACTTCGATAACAATGTAGCTTTGAACTCATAGAGAACAGGGAGCCCGGGTGACAGGTATCAGCTTTAAAGCGATCGACGTAGTGGCATAGAGAGAACTTTTCTCCATCACCAACTCAACCGTCCTCCTTTCCTCCTCATTTTGATATCCTCCTTTTTTCTGTCCCTGGCTTTAAATGCACTCGTTATTGGGACCAGTCGGTTGCCACAACTAAGATTGATCTTGTCATCGACATCGGTCTTTAACTTCCAACCTTGACGCTGTCAGCGACGGACAATGCTATTCAGCATATTAACAACACCTATCATATCAAGTACTTCAAAGGTCCCTATGTGGCGCTTCAGAGGCAGTAGAGCCGTTACCCTGAGCGGGAAAAGGCTCTCCTCCCGCCAAAAAATTTAGCGCGAAGCAGACCAAGTGCTCCTCACTTGGGTTCTAAGCTATCTCCTACTTTTGAGTAACACCTTGCTGGAGAGCAAACTCTGAGGGAACAGCTGCCTGCAAGGCTAGCTCTATAGCTTAGTAGTCGAACTGCCCTTTCTGCGCAAATCCCGGCATGGGTAGCTCCATGTCTTGGTGGTCGAAGTGTCCTGGCTGTGCCAATTCCGCCTGCTGTACGATGGTTGGCTGTTCGAAATCTTCTTGCGGTGCAAATTCCGCCTGCTGTACGATGGCGCCTTGCTGCAGCCGTGCCTTCTTGGGGGCACGCGACTGACGCTCGAGGTAATCGTCGCCATCCATGCTGTCATTGTCATTTCTCGACCGCTTCTTTCCCTGACCGGCATCGCCATCGGCATCGGTCTGAGGTGGGTTCGTGCGGTCGGTGAAATCGGTGTTTTTCATCACGAGAGTAGACACATGCTCGGCATGACTGATAGTCGCGGTGTAGTGACTGACTGGCGGATACATGCTCTCGGAAGGGTCTTGACCGACGTACTCCGCTTGAATGTTGCGCACAGATTGGAACATCTCATCTGCGGAGATGTGTTAGGGTACAAATGACGAGGCTTCCATGAACAACAATGGCGTTCTTCTTACCAATGATCTTCCAGTATATAGCCCGGGTCTCCGGGTTGGCGTTCTTCATGATCTTGGGTAGGTTGCTAACGAGGACCTTGTCCTCAAAGGACAATGTCGGTAAGGTATCCATCGGTGGTTCGTGTGGTGGCGCTTGGAAGCCCGGGGAAAGCACCTGGGCCTTCATGATGCCGTTGTCGTTGACCATGTTCAGCATCTCCTTGTCGTGGTTGGCATACAGCTGCTCCTTGTCCTTGAACCTGTCACACCACAGCCTCGGACCTCCACTGCATAACCTTGTTCTGGAGAGTCCTCTGGGACTGGAGGCTGACACGCTCTTCGGCCTCCTTCTGCAGGATCTCCTGGTGGTGGCGCTGCTTGGAGGCACGAGAAGCCTCGGCAATAGCATCGATCATGGCTATAAAAGCAGGCAGCTGGGCGATGTGGGAGGTGTACCAACGGAAGACAACCGGGTAGAGGGCGACAGGGTCGCTGATCAACAACATGCTGTAAAGGAAAGACCATTGCGACGTGTGGGATCACCGCCGTGCATGCGCAGAGCCGCTCGCAGGATGGGTTGATAGGTATGCAACTGTCGTCTGTGAGGCTAGGAAAGTTTTGCCACGAGCAGCTTCCTCTGCCTTCTTTGCCGCCTCTTCCTGCTTGGCCTCTTCTTCACGACGACGATGCTCCTTAGTCGCCTTCTTGATCTTCTCCTCCTCCTCTTCTATTTGTTTGTGGCGCTCCTCGGCCTTCCTGGCCTCCTCTCGTCTGCGGGTGCGCTCCCTGGCTAGACGCTCTCGCTCCAACTTATCCCTGTCGACTTCCAACTCCTGATAGGTCTTACCAACAGAAGTCTTGAGGAAGTTCAATTTGTGTTCCCAAGCAGGGAAATTCTCGGCCACCTCGGTTGCTACTTTCACGTCCATAAATAGCCGGTAATATTCATTGGGTAAGTTCGGGTCGGCTTGCATTTTTGCCAGCGCCTCTGCATAGAACTTCTCGTAGTCCTCTTTGGTGATTTTGGGAGGCGGTGGCGGGGTTGGTTCCTTGGGTGACGGGGGTGATGAGGGTGGTTGGCGTGGTTAGGGTGGTTGGGGTGATGGGAACGGCTGCCCTTGGATGACAATGCGCAGTCAGCAAAGATCTTCAGCACAGTATGGGCACATACATGACCTCTATTCCCGTTCACCCGAGATTGTAGATGTAGCTATCGTGAGGTATCTGACCACCGCTCGAATCCTCTCACCGTTCACTGTTTCCAAGCGCCTGATACGTGGGCGACACTCCTTACGGTCTCCTCGCGCTACGCATTCTTGCACGGCACTTGCGCAAGATAGGTTCGCGTTAGGAGTTTAGGGAAGATTGAAAACATAAGACAATATGAAGTAGGTATATACTGGGCAGCATGAGGAAAGTACCATCACAGAGACACATAACGTTGAAGCAAGGAAACAGAATTGAGAAAAAGGCTTTGAATGCAAACAATGGCTATGGAAAGGAAAGAAAATAGGTGCTGCCACCGAAGGACTACCTTCGCAAACAATGGAAGGTACTATTAGTTCATAGAGAACAGATGACAAACCTCCTAAGGATGGAGGGTCTTTATGTGTTCCTCGATACCGACATCCCCGAGCCGGACAGGAACAACCGCCGACTTTGGGAGGCCTGGGGCGCCGGCTGAGCTGTGGCCAAGTACGCTCTTTGCACAACTCTCTCGAAACCCCATATTCGTGAAAGACTTCGTAGGCACGGTTGGGACTCGCAGAATGAGCCCTTGTATCAGCTATCATCTTGAAGCCATCAACGCAATGTAACGGAGACAACTTTGCTCCATGCCAACTCAACCGTCCACTCTTCTCATGCCTTCTTTCAGTCCCTAGCCTGAATGATAATTCGCCATTGGAACTACTAGGTTCCCACAGACTTGACTGATCTTGTCATCGACATCAGTCTTTGGCTTCGAGCCTTGGTGTTGAAAGCGATGGACAATGTCATTCAACACCTTGACAAGATCTGTCATGTCGAAGACGCTTCAAAGGTCGCCATGGTCCGCCTCGGGGACAGTGGGGCCGTCACCCTAACCAGGAGCTGGCTCTCCTCCCGTAAAATACTGCACGAACCAGCCAGGGACCTCCACATTCTTTGGGTCGTGATCTGCCTCCTGCTCATGAGTACCGTCTTATTCGAGATGAGACTCCGGGTGGAAAGCTGCTCCCACGGGCAACTCCACAGCTTGCTCTCCGGATTCCGGGTTCTGCACGCGTGCTTTCTTGTTGGGATGCATGCTATGCTCGAGATCCAGATCACTATCGCTGGTGGTGTCGTCATCTCTCGGCCGCTTGTTGCTGGTACTGGGATTGGCCTCGGTTTGGGATTCGTTAGTGTCGTCGGATGTCGGACTGGCTGCAGGGAAGTTCTGGCGGGCCTTCTAAGCCGCCTCTTCGAAGATTCGCTTCAGCTCATTCTTCCGGGTGGTGATCAGCTGTGCCAGCTCTTCTGCTCCGATCACGAGGACAACACTTCGGTTTGCGTTGGTGGATTGATTGGAAATCTTGGTCTGTGAAACCCAACCTGTCAGTTCATGTTCCATTTGTGACGATGGATAACAAAGGCCTCCCTGTGTGACCAATTGGAACGGGTGAGTTGGAGCGGAGAGTTACCTGGACCTCGGCCTTTGGATCGCCGGCAAATCGAGCAAGGAATGGCGATGAGAACGTGTTCATCACCGATGCTTTGGATTTCTGTAACCAAGGATGCGTGCGTTAGTGTACGAGATTCCCCAATCAGTGTTCATGCCGCGGATCCACGACATATGGTACTTACGCTGAACAGCTCCTTCATCTTCTCATATCGATCCGTGAAAAGCCGATAGGGCTGAATCTCGAGATCTGTCGTGTAGATGGGGACTTGGGAAATGCCAAGATGGCTGTCTATCGCGTCGAACACAGCTTCCCAACCTAGCAATGACACCGCCAATGTCGGCAATTCCCGCAAGCGCTTGATGATGTAGTTGAGTTTCTTCTTGCCCGGTTTTCCGTGGTACAAGTTGTCAACCATTCCCACTTCGTTCATCGCGGCGAGACTTAACTGTCCGGCCAACTTTTTCTGGGTGGCCTGGTCCAGAGGGATGTCATTTGTGCCGTTCTGCTGGCCAAAAGCTTCCCGTGCCTCGACACAGTCCCGGCGACGACACCACTCCCTGGCAGCGAGAAAATCGATCACGGTGCTGATAGGATTGATTATCCGAGTGACAGGAGGGTTGGATGCCTCGCCGTTGCCAGGGTCGGATGCCTCGCCGTCGACAGGGTTGGGTGCCACCTCTTCCTTGAAGTCTCTCACTTCACTCGTCTTGTCGAGCAGAGCCTGGAGACTGTTGACTATGGGCCTAGTCTGACCCAGGGACGTGATTCCCTGAATCAGCGCATTGGACTTTGCGAGTGTCACCATCCATTTGTATCCGACGATGGTAAATTGCATGTTGTTCAACATCGGCAGCGTAGCAGGGTCATCTGCGGGTAGTGTCGCGAAGAAATCGTTCACGGTAGGAAATACCATCAGTGGTGTTGAAGACGACTTCGCGTGCTGTATCTGCATCCGGCGAATGAAGTCGAAGGCGCGATCTGAAAACATGAGGTCAGCGCATTGGCGAATGGGGTTTGCGTTAGTATTGTGCAATCCATGGGCTTACCTAGTATCAACCAATACACTGCCCTTTGTTGTTCGTTTGCATCGTGTAAGATGTTCTCGAGGTCTTCAATCTCCATGATTGGTTCCATGATGGCGGTAGCGAGAATTACTGAGATTGTTACTGCAGTTTGGTCCGGCTCTGGAGGGAGAGGCTGGTTTGCCGCGACGGAAATTCGTAAATGTGTCGCAGTCGCAGGGGCGTAGCAGCCTCGACGTCAGCTAGCCGGCTAACGACAAGGGAGAAAGCACGGCGGGTAGCGGTAGAAGAAGGCTGGACGGAGAATGTCGAGGTAGGATGCAAAGCGCAATGATGTACCGTTGCTGGCGTAGACGGGCAGAAAAGGATTGCAGGAAATTGTTGTTTGCGCCAAAAGAAGAGAGCGACGCAGAATTTGAGAAGTAGTTCGAGTGTGCGAGTTGGAATATGGAAAGAGGAATGTGGACGGCGGATATAAAAGGGACGTGCGCTTGGCGGGGTCTTGGCAAAGGTTGGAAGTTGTGAGGGCGACAGGCAGGAGCAACTTGCATGGACGCTGCATGAGAACCTGAAAAGAGCCTGCCAAAACGAAGAATTGCAGGCCTGTTCAAAATTACTGCAGACTGTATCCACTCTAAGTTGTCCCCCACCAAAGTCTTCGTTCTTGGGGTATTTAGCTGGAGGTTGGCCTTTTCTTCCACCAGACCAATCAAACTATCAATTTCTCCCAATGGTTCCAACCACGATCTCAAGACCTGTAATACTACAATGACTGAGTGGGGATGGCGTCTAACTCAGAAGCAACCATCCCATGTCCCTAAAGCTGCGAAGTACAGAAATGCCGAGTAAAGGCGATGACCACCACGAACACCATGACCAGGTAACGAAGATGGAAGTAGTTAAACTCAGAGAAGAGTTAGCTATAAGGACGTACGAAAAGCTTCAATACCTAAAATTGCATACAATATAATACCACAAGCGCCGAATATGGCTGAGTGTCCCCCAGAACATTAATGACATGTCGTTGAATGATTGCACGTGACGCATCACGTGTGTAAACCGACCGTGTGCGCTTCGATAGACCACCACCGACGAACCAAACCACGTCTTCCTTCCTTGTTCGCGATCGAATGAGACTGCCTTTTGGTCTGTCCCTACTCAAGTGATGCCGATAAAGCCCAATATGAGGTTTGTTGGACCCGAATCGAAAAAAAGTTGAAAATCCGTGGTCTTGGCGACCGGGTCACTAACAGTTATTGCGAGAAGCCGCTGCAGTTTTTGTTAGTGGGAGGGCGAAAACCGGCAACAACCATGGCTGTCTTCTTTCCCTAAACTTTGTCGGCGCTCCACGGTTTTTGTCGCTCTAAAAAGCATTTAGTGGTGGATAGCGTACCATCCATTCATCTTCATGTACCTCTCATATGGAAAAAGACAACGGCGGAGGCATATCGAGGTTGTACTTTGATCGCCGATGCTCGACAACATTCGAGCAGGAGAGTGGTCTGTGCACCACAACATCTGGTGATGGCTTGGCGGCTTGGCATTTTGGACAATGACGGACAAAAGCCAGAACAACACCTTTCTCAAATGCATTGTCTGGTTAACGACCCCTTATTCTTTCTCAAAGGATTACGATTACTTGAGGTGCTATCAAAGTGCATCAGGCCTCCCAACAGAACTTCGTGTCAAACTGCAATTATGGTACCAAATGTGTCAATTGCATACACCGGACATGCCCTTTAGAAATGTTTACTTCTCCTGTCTTAGCGATGCAAGCCCCTGAACACAGCGTCGTACAACGTCACGTCGTCCACTCCCTCCAAATAACAACACAGCTCACATCAACTTATTGACCGGGACGCTCGAGTTATAGACTACTCCACGCTTTAATAAGGCAATAAACGAGGATGAGGAAGAGACTAGAAAGAGGTGATAGACCACAAAACCGAGTCCTAGACTCCAAAAACAAACCACTGCACAACTCCATGTACGCAGAGAAACAGAAGCCAACAGCAATGTTTGGTTCATGCTACCTATAATTCTACAATGATTCCTCCATACCGACCCTCAATCTTCCAAGGCGCACACCCTCTTCAGATCTCGTAGAGATCTTCGTCTACTACAAAGTTGTTACCCGGGTAGACGTAGTCTATGTAGGCACCCTGCTGGCGACCGGGAGCTGTGACAGACTATTGAGCAAACTGGTCGTTGGGAATTCGGCCATGGACACCAGCCATTACGTGGGGCTCATGAGCACCAGGATCCAACTCGTCACCCAAAACGTAACCCGGAGCAAGCATCTGGCCCTCATGACCTCCATGGTGCTGATGCTGAGAGTCCGAAGACGAGCCCACGCCGGCTGGGCCACCGACTCTATTGCCGTGATGACTGGCATTGAGAGCCTGATGAGCAGCAAAGGCCTTGAGAGCAGCTTCCATACGCTGATGGTAAGCAGGAGTGTTAGCTTGGCCGTCATTTTGGCCATTGCTCTGGTAGACTTGCTCGTTGTCCGCTTGTCCGTGGTTGACCTGGTGCTCATTGATGACCTGGTGCTCGTTGATCGCCTGGTGTCCGTGGTTGGCCTGATGCTCGTTGATCGCCTGGTGTCCGTGGTTGGCCTGGTGCTCGTTGTTGTCGCCGTCTTCTCTGCTCAACATATTAGAGCCTACCAGCTCGTACACTTCTTGTTGGCCGAGGGAGAGCCATGTGTCTCCAACGCGTCATCAGTCACTGATAGCGGCATCGAGGGAGAAAAATGGAAACTGTGAAAAGGAATGCTACCTCTTGGTGTCTCGTCAAAAGGTGACCTCTATAAATACAAGTGAACGGCTAATGATCATCTCCACCTGGGTATCTCTAGCCTAGAGGTATGCCCCGAACGCCTGGCTAAAGCAAAGTATTAAACGAAAGCCATCCCTCTCAGCCACTATATACTGCCGAGAATCATCTTGGAATGCCCCAGTGCAACTAAAGCACAGTAGGGTATGTAAGGTAACTAAAGCCATCCCTCCCAGTCCACCAACTGCGCAGAAAACCATCCGAAAATGCCCCGGGGCAACTAACAGACTCCTCTGATCCCACAAGCCCACGAAATGTCCCTCATAGCCTAGATCCCCCTTAGATCTCGTAAATATCCTCGTCCACCTCAAAGTAGTCAAGATATGCCTCGTTCTGAAAGCCGGGAGCTGGGACAGCCTGTTGGCCGTCATCCTGGTTGTTGGAATGGGGGGAATTGGGATGGGGGAATTGAGATGGGTGGAACTGAGATGGGGGGCAATGGGATGGGGGGGCAATGGGATGGGGGGTATTTGGATGGGGCCTGTTAGAAAGGGGGTCGTTAGGAAGGGTGGTACTGGGAAGGGGGGCGTCAGGAAGGGGCCCCTGAAGACCGGCACCTAGGGCGTTGTTGGTCTGCTGAGGACCAAACTCCTGGTCCCAAGCTTGACCCGAGGCAGGGAACTGGCCGTCATGGACTCCATGGTCGTGGTGTTGCGACTGATTCGATGAGCCCACGCCGGCAGGTCCACCGACTTGGTTGGCATGGTGACGAGAAATGAAGTGCTCTGGAGCAAAGGACGGAGCCTGATCCGGAAGCGGGAAATGTGCCTGGTGGCCTAGATGTCCCTGGAGTTGAGACTCCGATGAACCAACGCCGGCTGGACCACCAACGTGATTGCCGTGGTGGTGAGCAATGAAGCTTTGTAAGTTCATCGAGTGATTGTGAGCTTGATGATTATCAATGGAGTTCTGGGAATCTATGGAAGCAGTGTAGCCCTGATGCTGATACTGGGCTGACGGACCCGCGCCGGGTTGACCACCAACTTCACTAGAGGTACCATAGTAGTTATCGCCGTGATTTTTGTTGTCGTCATCGTCGCTGTTGTTATCGTCATCATCGCTGTTGTTGTCGTCTTCGTCGCTGTTGTCTTCGTCATCATCGCTATGGTCGCCGTAATCGCTATTGTCAGACTCCTCGCCGTTGTCAACGTCCTCGCCGTTGTCGTCGTGTACAAAGTTGTTGGCGTTGTTCGCGTTGTTGGCGTTGTTCGCGTTGCTGGCGTTGTTCGCGTTGCTGGCGTTGTTCGCGTTGCTGGAGTTGTTCGCGTTGCTGGCGTTGTTCGCGTTGCTGGCCTGCGTCCGCGCCCGTCTCGGGCGCCTTACACGTTTCACCTTGGCGTGTCTGGCAAGCTCGGGGCCCAAGACTTCGGCCACCTTGCGCTTGACTGGCTTGGGGAACACTGCAATAAGTTGGCCTTGGCTGTCTTTGAGTTCACGAGTATTTTTGTCGAAAGAGGCGGAGCCATGTTTCTCGACGGCCGTCGCAATCTTTTGCCTGGTGGTCTTAAGGGCGTTCGTGTGCAAGTTTGACAGCTTCGTCTATGGGATCATTAGTATTGAACAGGTCTTGCTGATTGAGCTGTATAATGCCTTTGACTTACGTCCAATTCCGTGACTGGGTTGTTTACAAACCGTTCGACGATAGAAGCTTGGAAGGCGTTGCACACGGCGGCCTTGCACTCCTATACCGGAGGATAGGGAGTTAGTAGGTAAGCTTGTTGGATGCAAAATCGACATCGAGGACGGGACAGACTCACCCTCATGAGGGCAACTACCGTCTTCCATCTGGTCCTGAAGTCTTTGAATTCCGCCCTCACGACTCCAGAGGGAGTATCGCGGTGATCACCTTGGGCCACTTCGGTTTCCACCTGGGCAGCACCGATGTTAGAACAGTTTACGACATCCAGTTGTGTGAAGAGTGCAGGAAGACAATGAAGGGTGGGTAATGCGGAATATGCGGAGAGGTCTCCTTACCAACAACTCCCACGCCTTCATTTGGGCCTTTTCATCGTCAAGTTCATCCTTGACAAACCGGATGTGGGGATTGTTGACCTGGCAATCGACAATGCCGTCCATGTTACGGAAGGCCGCGACCATTTCCTCGACGTGCCTCAGGCGGTCCTCGTCCGTCAGGGGGATACCGCCCATGTCGTGCCCCGCACTGGCGCGAGTGGCACGTGCTGCCATAACCTTTCGCCAGTAATCTTCCAGGCCCAGGACGTACCGCTTGGGCGGAGGTGGATTGTCGGAATTCATTTGCCTGGGACGCGAGTAAGTAAATAGTCAAGACATACCGCTTCCTACCTGAGAAACAAGGCATCATAGCCATCAATTGTCGCGAAGTGATCAATCATTCTGTAGAATCGTTGAGGGATAGATCAACTATGGCGTGAGGGAGTAGCGATAGCAAGACGCGTCAAACAAGAATCGAACTGGCCGGGACGATCTTTGATGAGTGCGCGGATGAAGATACGTACGATTTTGGGCGAAAAGACTATGGGAAGGTGCTGCTCTGTTCAATGAAGCAAACAGATTTGATACGACTTTGCAATAAAGGCAGTTTTGAGTTTGGGTTTCGAAAGCCGGCGGTGATATTTTGGGGAAAACGACAAGCGAAGGATCGGGCCTTTTGAAGTGGCCGTTTGGAAGTGAATGGGGAAAAGGGTGTGGAGAACGCGGTGCCTGCCGCATTGGCCCTTAGAGGTAACCTTCACCTGCTGTTCGAAGTCAGGTGCCGGTAAGGACATCAACCAAAATCGGACGGAAGGTACACGACAAGATAGGAGAATAGCATTGAGCCGTGAGAGAGGCACCCAACGCGCACTGTCAGTAATGGACAGTCTGATATTGATAGCCTGGCATCGACAGTTCCTCTGTTGAAGGAGACAAAGCCATAGGTCTTCAAGACGTCAGCAATATTTTTCTAGACGAGGCCACTGATACACTGGAGGTGTTCGGTTATCTCTTCGTTCCCGATGCATAGAACTCCACGGAGTCACTGAAGACATTTGTATCGACAAGAAGAAGTGAAACTAGAACTCAAAGGAACCGATTATGAGCTATCATTCTATGCATATCCCACTGGGATACGTTATCTACACTCTGCAACGACAGGGGAAACATGAAAACGATAATACAGAAATAAAAACCAATTCTGGGCAGCTTGCACCAGAAAAAACGCCTTCGACACCGCGCTGAAAACCCATCTTGAGTACCCATCTTGCATGCAAAGCCATTTCGAAGACCAAAGTTATCCCCAGATGCAACTAGCGTCTTCCCCCACCTCACCAACTTGAAAATCAACCTCACAGCTCCTATACCCTCGCCTTCCAAGCTGCTCAGGCTGCCACTATCCACATCAACAGGCCCGAAGTCACCCAAGTGGTGATCTTCACCGACTGAGTCCACCTGACATACGTACAAGGACGAGATGGAGGAGGAGGATGACGCCAGCTGGGGCACAACCGACTTAGGGGGAGTTTTGAGGCCAGAAAGGGCTCCCTGACGTCCAGTCGGCCAACCACATCATTATTCGTGCCCGTGTCATTCGCATTCCCGCCTCTATGGACCCGAGCCAGCAGACTAACACTTTTGCCGGTCTAGCTGGCTGTAGCGTTCCGCCGCCCTGACCTGCGGCTCGAGGATACGGGGCGCTGCTGTAAAGAATGACAACGAAATTTCGCCGGGGGTTGCCATCCGCCCTTGGAATCTCTCAGCTATGGTGATGATTTGCCGCTTAGAAGCCTCGTCGTTAGGTCCAGGAGCGTGGACTTTGCCGCGAAATGCGGTGTAGACGTCAGCCCTCAGCGCAAGCTTTCACTCAACCGAGTCAAAGGCGTTATCCTGAATCCACCAATTGGCACCAGCTCTGTTCTGGACAAGACGGCCGGGTCGGTTCACCGCCGCACGTTCGGAGCCAGCTTGGCTGCCGCCATTGTGGTTCTCGTGATCGCCGAGTGACGGGTCCAAAGCGTTCAAAGGTACACTCGCTGGGTTCGCGGGTGCCTGTCCCAACCCAGCCCGATTGACTTGAGCTCCATACTGATTGGGGGCCTGATACTGGTTTGGCGTATTGAAAGGTTGATATGGATGAGACGCGTGGTACTGGCCCGCAGGGTACTGGCCGGCCTGAGCATCCTCGGCGTTGGCTTGGTAGATGTTAAACTGGTCGACCTCCGCCTGCTGGATGTTAAACTGGTCGGCGTTCCCCTGCTGGATGTTGCCCTGCTGGATATGCGGCTGATTGATATGCGGCTGATAGATGTTCGCCTGCTGGACGTTTAATTGCCCCGCCTGAGCATGCTCGGCGTTGTGCTGGTAGATGTTTGCCTGCTGGATGTTCCCCTGCTCGATGTTCGCCTGCTGGATGTTCCCCTGCTGGACGTGCTGCTGGTGGACGTTCTGCTGGTGGGCGCTCGGCTGGTCGACATTAAGTTGGCTGGCGTCGACTTGGGAGTTGGACAGATTTGCCTGGGGAAGATCCGATTCTTCTTCCTCTTCTTGGATGGCCGGTAAAGCACTCGCGGCTGCGCCCTGGGCAGGCTGTCCTCCAACACCGGTCATAGCAGCTGTGGCAACCGAGGCCACAGAACCCCCTGTGGCCGTCCGGCTCCTTGGAGCGCGCTTCGGCTTGGTTACGTCCAGGGGCAACTCTCCGTCGAGAAAATCGTTCAAAGAGCGCTTTCTCGGTCTAACAAGCGTCTTGACCAGGATTCCCGAGGCGTCCCTAATCTCGGCAGTGTCGTTGTTCTCTGTGACCGTACGGCCGTTATCTCGGGCTCCCTTGAGCTCGGTGTTGAATATCTTCAATTTGTTTGTGTGGTTGTTGGACACCTTGGTCTATGGCGCGTGAACAAGGCCCAAAGATATTAGCCAACGACTGCATCTAGACATGTGATTGGTATTAAAGCGGACACGGGGTAGCTTCAACTTACGTCCAACTCCGCAATGGGATTGCCGATATACCGGTCCATGTAGGACGCTGCAAACAAGTCTGTGGCCCCGGCCTTGGTGGACTGGGCTCACAAGTTAGTATCATACGCTGAGTTTGGAACGAGGGGGAGAAGACACTTAGCCGCACGAAGGACACAAACGCCTTCCACCTGCTCATAAAGTTGGGGAACTCGGGTGTGTAGACATCGGGGTTGCGAATTCCTAGCTGAATGTCGCGCGCTTTGTACTGCACGATGAATGTAAGTACGAATCGATTGAGGGGTATGTAGAGTGATGGGAAGACCACTTACCAACCACGTCCAGGCCATCTCTTCCTGTCTCTTCCTCGGCATATTGCGGTGGCCCTGACGTTCCCGTTATCGTCAAGATTCTCGCCTACATTATCGACCAGACCAGCCGTATTAGTCATGGCCGCTAGCACCTCGTCGATTAACACCAGCTTTTCGTCGTCTATTTTAGGGAAGTCGGCACATTTTGCCGCGTTGGCGCTGTTCAGCGCTGCTGCCCTGGCCTCCTCTTGAAGTTGATGGAACTGGGCGGCGCTGGTAATGAACCTCTGTGGAGGAGCAGGGGGGTTGTTGGGTTCCATTTTCAGGAATGAGCGGTGAGTATATAGTAAGATCCGTATATGCCCTGAGAGGGCAGACGCGATCCGACCTTGGACTGGACGTAATTGCTTTCCTTGTTCTGGCGACAAGGACGCGATCGGTTGGTTGGGTTGTGAGGTTGTGATTTTGGAAGAAGAACGAGCGAGGAAGCCCTTGAAAGGTAAGAGGAGCTCACAGGTTGGCCCGCGGGAGGACGCCCTCAAAAGTGAAGGGAGATTTCTCAGGTTACGGTGCGGTGCCGGCCGCGAGGGCTGCCGGCCGCCACCTGCAAAAATGAATGACACCCGTTGCGGACGAGGACATCGGACGGAGTATACCTCTTCATGGAAAGAGGCAGGGCCATTGTTCTTCAAGGCGTTAGAAATCTTCTAGACCATGCATTGCAACTCCGGAGTAAGGTACTCAGTAGTACCTAGTTCTCTAGAAGACATGTAAACAATTCCATTCAGTCACCGGAAACGATATTGAGAACGAATGAGCGAGTAGAAGCTAAGAAAAAAGCATTGCGAAAGGAGACTGTGGCCAGTACTGGGTCTTTGCCCCAAGATAAGAAACCATGAATGGCCTGAAAAAGAGGAAGAGAGAAGTTACAAGACAAAATAAAACAAGATCTGGGCAACTTGCACCAGGGAAAAGACGCCCTACAGCCCCTACTCCGCGCTCAAGAAACCGGAACCCATCTTGGATTCCAAAGCCACCAGGACCTATGTCTGCACCGGCAAAGCGATCCTCGCGGACCTCCAGCATACGGTCGGGGACAGCAAGTCATCTCCCAGATGCAACTTGCATCCCGTACCATCCACCACCCCTTCCACTATAGACATCACACCTGTAGTCCAAACCTGAAATTCTGGAGCGCTTGCTCTAAAATTGAAATGAGCAGTCTCATATCCGCCAATCACCACTGCCTCCCGTAAAGGTGTTGATATAGTCCCAGATGGATGGATTCTTTGGCTTGGTGAAGTCGGCCGTCCTGTTGCCGTTGCTCCTGTTGCCGCCGCGGTTGTTCCCTTGGTTGCCGTTATTGGCGCGGTTGTTGGCTGCCGCAGCCGGAAGCTCGCGAAGCGGAAGAGGAAGTTGGCCGGGCGGGCACCATGGGGACTAATCATCGGATTCATCCGCAGCTCCAGATCTCTAGGCAGGGTGGCTGCCGTCATTGCCTCGAGCATGGCCAGCGATGGGCTGGTTACGGTTGAAGTATCTGTCAAAGTTAAAAAACGCCATGAAATCGGCGGGCTGCTGAGAGTGTTGATCCCGCACCAACGGATCAGCTTCTGCATCACCCTCAGCAGGAGCCGGGTATTGATTCAGCGGGTCGTACCCAAACTCTCCGTCCAATGACTGATGGTGATTCGGCGCATGGTCTTGCTTATTACCAGGGTTGTAGTTGGCGACATCGGGTCCGGGGCTGCTCGGGCCATCTGATACCGCAAGAGATCCTGATCCCTCTTGTTCCCGCTGAAGAGCGGATTGCTCTTGGAGCATCGCCTGGAAAGTAATCCTGGACTCAATTGGCAGTTCCATGACCCGGGTTAGCTTTCTTGTCTCCATTGCCTCCAGAGTGACCAGCGATGGGCTGGTTACGGTCGTAATATCTATCGAAATTGAAGAATATCATCGGATCGACGGGCTGCTGTGCCTGCTGATTCCCGACGGGCAAACCAGCATTTGCATGATTGTCGGGGGAAGCCGGGTACTGGCTGGGATGATAATTGACAAGTGGTTCTTTCAGTGATGGTTGTGGAACGGGCGCAGTATACTGCTCGGCCTGGTGGTGATGGCCGGCGTCCTGTTCGCCATTGCTAAAGCCGTTCGAAGCTTGAACCGGTGCTGATTCCTCATCGTCCGCTCGAATAACCTGTTGCTGACGAATACCTGGTTGTTGATGAGTGCCGGGTTGCTGATGAGTGCCGGGTTGCTGATGAGTGTCGGTTGCTGATGAGTGCCGGGATGCTCTTGAACACCGGGCTGGTCATGAAGAGCGTGTCCGTCTTCAACAGCGGGCTCATCTTCATTGGAGCTGTCTTCGTCGGAGTATTCCCTTTGATCGGAGGGGTCGTCTTGGTCAGAGGGCTCCTCTTGTATGGTGGCCAAAGGACCGCCAATTGCGCCCTCGACAGGCTGTTACGCTGCCACATTGCCGTTGTTAATAGAGCTGATATACGTGGCTGCGGAGGCTGAGGAAGCTCCGGTAGTCCTTCTCTGTCGTTTGACCTTTGCACAGGCTGCGAGGTCCTCGTCCATGTATTCCGCCAGGGGGCGCTTTTGAGGCTTGTTGAGCCTTTCGATGATCTCGCCTGCCGCATTTCTGATCGTAGTGATGTTGCCGACGGTCTCATACGAGCCTCCGAACTTTCGAGCTTGATCAATCGGCTTGCGGTATTCCTTTAACTTGTTGGTGTGATTGTTCGACACCTTCGTCTACTCAGAGCGCAGTAAGCACATTAGCGGGGGGGGCCATCATACCGGAGACAGGTGGGTTGGTTCAGTGTAACTCACCTCCAACTCGCGAACCGGATTGCAAGAGTACCTCCACAGAAATGGGAGGGTGAATAAATCGGTGCAAGCAGCCTTTGATTTCTGGGCGCCCCTGTCAGCATTGGATGTCGCCGATGATGGAACAAAGTAGGGCGAAGGCGCTTACCCGAAAGGTGCCTAAGGTCAATCTCCACCTGGTCATGAAGTTCGGGATATCAGGGGACAACGCGTCGGGGTGGATAATTCCTCGTTGGACCTTGTAAACGTAGACCTGCAAAATCGAACTGTTAGTAAAGCCTATGACTGGTATAGCACATTGTGGCAGGGCTACTGACCATAAATTCCCAACCCTTTCTCACCATCTTCTCTCTCGGAAGACCGAGGACGTACTTCACATCGGGGTTCTCGGTAGGATCGTTTCGATAGTTGTCAACAATGTCGACAGTTTTCAGCATCGCTGCAATGAATTGATCAACCAGGGCACGTTGCTCGGCGGGATTGATTGGGAAATCGTCGGCAGTGGTGTTGCCCTTGGCAGCTGGCGCAGCCTCCGCCGCGGCCTCCTCAGCAGCTTGAATCTGTAGGAAGTGCTCTAAGCTGGTAATCTCCTGCTGCGGAGGTGCGGGAGGGTTCGGGGGATCCATATTCTGCAAGAATAACGAGTATATAGTGAGTACAAGACGTCCCGTATTTATCTGAAACCAGCACCATCATTGTGTGGGAACAGAGCCTGCATTGTTGGGGATTGTTGATGGAGGTGCGATATATGTTGGTGATTATTCGGGAGAATGTCACCGTCCTCGAGGAGAACCAACGCCCGGCGGGGTAAACGGTCATGACTGCAACGAGCGCTGGATAACGCGACTTACGAGGAGTTGGAGTAAAAAGAGTAGCAAATGTGTTTGCCTGCGTCGTAGCAGAAGAACGACAATGCGCAGTGCAGATTGCGGGCGTGAGGGATGCTTCGCGTTCTGCGAATGAACGTGTGGTCGACAAGTGAAGTGATGTAAGCGGGGGAAAACAGCAAGCCGAGAGAAGGCTCTATGGGAGAGGGAGGAGGAGCCTGTATGGAAAGAGCGGTGCCTGCCGGATGGGCCACCTTGGAGCTGGGGAAAATTAACGGCAGTTGCCAGTTGGCAGCGAGGACATCAAGAACATTAGACGAAAGTCACCCGATAAGATAGGGTGGAAAGAGGTCCTGGGAAAAAGAAATACAAGCCCGGATTGGGTTGTAGTTGTGAAAAAATGACATGAGAATTAGTGTGCAGATTGAGAAAGAGTGATAGCATCGACGACCTCTACCTTGTCCTCTTTGCTGACAGGAAAATCCGGAGACAAATTGTCGCCCTGGTTGACGGCCGCGATGTGGCGGGCAATCATTTTATCAATCTATGACAAAGTTATCAACGATTCCATCCATATTCTGCATGGCTTCAACCATTTGGTTGACTAGGGCACATTGTTCGGCCGGGTCGTAGGATGTCACTGGTATCTTTCATCGCATCACCCATTTGGTCGACGAGCTTTTGGAGTTCGTCGAGGTCAGTTGGGAACTCCGACCCGTCGACACCCTCCGTGTCTTTGAGGGGAGTTCTTCGCTCTCTCCTTCTCCCACATCTCGTCAAAGTTTCGGATGTAGCGAGGTAAGTCATGGATACATTGGCAGCAAACGGGGTCGACTACCTTGTCGTGTCGGCCGCCTCTAACTCTACGAGGCCGCTGTGGATCTGAAGGTGTAGAGGCTGAATGTCGACAGAACTTTTGGGGGTACCGTTGGTAGTTGTGTTACTAGTTAATGGTTGACTATTGGTTCGGAGAGAATAGAGGTATATAACTTATCTCAGAATCAGACCTCTTTTTTGGGCATGGGCGACCTGCGGCCGCCAAGACTGGGCCTGCGGCCCGTGCGCTTCGCGTAAAAAATTGGCCCGTGTTGCATACGGGATTCTCACTTAAGTGAAACTGAATCTTTCTAATGTTTCCAATTGTGATCCGTGCACGTATTCTTTTAATGTATTGGTTGGTATTAATTGAAATTGCCTAAAAAAGAGGTCTGAGTTTACTAGGTAATATAATTCCGTTTATAATTCCCGCCTCTATACAAAACCATCTGGCTGGCCAAATATACTATACGATAATAATATTATAATAATATATTCTAAGAATGTAAAATATATATAGAGGATATGCTTGTTAAAATAAATCGAATAGTATAATTAATTTTTAATATAATAATTATAAATATTAATTCTAATTTAAAAGGTAAATTTTTGTTCGTATATCCCTTTTTCGTTGCCTAACCAGCCGCTTATTATAATACCCTCCTTTATCCGAACTTTCTAAAATTTTGGAAGTATAAATATTATACTAATTTTAAGCTCCGAATATCCTTCTTGTTCCTTCGCGACGCATTATTTTTTTCCCCTAATTTTATATACTATTAATACTATAAATTCCGATCTCGACCCCCCTATCGACCTCCAACGCGTATTGCGGGTAATAAAAGACATTATCGATAATAATAAGCAACTTCGAAAAGGCCAAATCAAGGCGATAATACAGCTAGCGTACGAGTAGGAGAATACAATCCTAATTGCAATAACAAGCTATAGAAAAAGCATCGTTCTTTATACCTTTTTAGCCTTATATAATAAAATTACAATATAGATCGTACTACTTGCTAAGCTAGGAGAGAGCTAACGTAACGATATTATAACTAAAGTATTAGGTTTAAAGCTTATATAAATAAATAAGGATGTAATTCTTCGGGTATATTAGCCTTATCTTTTAATACTTTCTAAGCAATACATTAACCGGTTAATTGAATAAAAAAGTATAGAAGTAAATCGCTACTAGAGATTATATTTATATCTTACTAAATTTAAAGCTTACTACCAATCCTCCTTTTATAATTATATTAAGATCCCTTAATTTTTATCTACGGCTTAGCCTTTTTACTATCGACGAACTATATTATATATTAAACTAGCGAAATTTTCGTAAAGAATTTCAATACCTATATACTTTATAACCCCTTATTTTAAAACGGATTCTATAATTTAATTATACAACAACGCTTATTAGTATCTATTAAAACTTTATTACTAAAAAGGCTAATTTTAATTCGGGGGTCAAAATTATTAAAACGTCCGTAGACCGACTAGAAATCTCTATTATTATCCAGCCTCTCTTCCACAATTACTTTAACGACTACCGCCGACTATACTTCCTAATTAAAGGCGCTACTTTATTAATTCTTTAATAAATTCTTAAAACTATCGTATATATTAATAACTGCAACTACCTTACTAAAATATAGTATACGCTTATCAATTACCTATATATATAATATAGTTTTAGTAAGGGCTTAGGCCGTAAAATTATACGGTTATATAATTCTTTAATACGTCTAATAAATAAAAATATTATTTATAAGGATTTTGCTTTGGAATTAATAGATTACCGCATATACCTAGCAATTATATCGTTAAATATAGGTATAGACCTTCTAAACGTTGAGAGAATCGTATAATTCGGTATACCCCCTACTCCTAATATACCAGATATATAGTAGCGTTTTAAAAGAGCGATACGCAATAATCCTAAAGGATAGGGACGAATTTACTTCTTTATACCCTTCTAGGCTTTTAACTACCTTAAATCTAATAATAAATAATTAAAACAATTAGCAAAAAAACAATAATAGCGGCTACAATTTAAATAACCGTATGCTCCAGCCGTGCCTAATAGGTTAATAAATGGTGTCGTATTCGAGGATAAAGAAAACAATCTAGATATTAACAACGAGGACAATAATAATAATAATACATCCAACGAAGCAATAAATAAACTATTACTAAATACTAATATAAAATAGTATTTATTGTACGAATTTACTTACAAAGTTAAATAATTTAAAATTAATAAACAATGCCGCGGAAAATACAACCTGCTTTTTATACAATAATTTAATGCTCTATATTTTCGCAAGGCTACCCTCGATTATCTTTAAAAGCCTTATAATAAGAACCTAGAATATAAACGTCCTATACCCGATAAATAATATTGTAATAATAATAATTATACGCCAGTATTTAAACGGATTCTATTAATACTAATACTTATAGAAGATAGGAATAAATTATTCAATAAACTCTTAGTTAATACTTTAATAAACATAGCGTTTAAGCATTTTAATAACTAGTATAAAAAAAGCATAGGATTTTATCCCTAATAGAAACCGTACTTTTACAATTATACTAAAGATATTAATACCAATTAGGTTATAAAACACAATAACGCGCCTTTTTACTAATAAACCCATTCGCTATAGTAAAGAACTCCCTTTCGAAAGCCTTAATACTCTAGAAAAGAAACTCCCTACTATACAAAAATAGGAATATAAAGAAGAATATAGGGATACTCTTATTAAATTTTATTTATTATCAGTAGCCAAAATTTATAAAAATTAGAAAAGAAATCGACTAACTCTACGCTAAGCCTAGCCTCAGTTACGTACCAACAGCCTTACTAGCAGTCCTATAACTATACCTCCTCCTACTCGCCCTTCTCTCTTGGCTAATATATTAAATCGCACTACTATTACTATTACTACTACTCAAACTATTAAAGCTATCAAAGTAAATAAAGCAATGTCAAGCCCCAAAAGGGCTAACACCGCACCGGCAGGCACTTAAACCGAAGGATTCCGACGAGCCCTAATAGGAATGCTAAGTATTAGCATTATATAGCGTCGGAACGGCTCAGAGATTTTATAGGCTACGCTACTATAAAACGGGTCTTAATATATAAATAAATAATTATTGGAACTTCTTCCCTTGGAAAAACGGTTTAAATATTAAAATACCCTTTATTATACCCCTAATTCGCAATCGCTCCCTATATAAATACTCCGTCCGTAAGCACCTTAACCTACCTTCCTCCACTAACCTTAACATATTAATATCTCTACCCTCCGGGAATTATTAATAGGATATAAATACGTAACGGACGCTCCGTCTTTTAGGTTATTAATAATACCCCTTCGGAATAACCTCCGCAAAAAGAACTTCCCTCTAACCTATTATTATTATTAATATTAAAGCTTACATTTATATTTGCCCGGTTTACTAAATAGCAAAACTATAATATTATAGGCTTTATAATTATTTTACATCCTTACCCGTCCTAATTATCCTATAGTAAAATATTTCGTATAATTTTATTATTAAATTATCTAAAACGTATAATCCTATTATGAACCGGACATATAATATAATTTTAATTATTATTAACTGCTTTATTAAATATATTCTATATATCCCTATATAAAAGATAATCGATACGTAATAATTCGCTCAATTTTTCTAACAATATATTTTCCGCCCTTTCGGCCTATTTAATTCTATTATATTTAACCGGGGAAGCCTTTTTATTAATACTTTTTAAAAAATATACTATAAATTATTAAAAATCCAGCGGCGCCTTAATACTACCTAATACTCCTAAACCGATAGCTAAACCGAACGATACAATTAGAATTCAAAATTCTACTTTTATATTTTCTACAATATAGAATAAATAACTTAAATATTAAAATTCGTTCTAACGGAATAGATTTATAATAATTATTTTTATACTATAATTAATAAATTTCTTATAAAGTTTCTTTATAATTATTAATTACGAAGCCCCGCCGATTTAGAATAAGGAAGAGGTATAATCCTACTTATAACTACTATTAAAAGAATTATAGAATTTATACGGGGAAGGGCGGTAATAATCGTCGTTTTAAATAAAATTAACCGGGGGTATACGAAATAATATAATAAATTCGAAAATTATAAAAATTTAAAGTCAGCGAGTAAATATTTTTAAATACGAAAAATATTAAATAATAACGGCCGAGCGTAAAACTCTCGGCTAAATTCCTAAAACCTTTTTAAATTATAGAAATTATAAACAACAAAAAGATAGCCTTCTGATTAAAATTACCGGCGTATTACCGTATCTATCCGGTCTTCTTTATTATATTATTAAAGTCTTATTATAGTAACCCGAAAATAATTATACCGAAGGGCGAAATAATAAATATCGAAGACGAAATACCGTAACATAAGGTAGAAATTAAAAGTATTATAAAATACGTAAGTTTGGGAAAGAATTAGTAATATTAAATAAAGTAGAAGGGGTACCCGGAAGAAGATAATGAATAAGTATTATTAAAAAATCTAAATTATCCGGAATTATTAAACGAGTACAAAGCGAGGGAGTTATAATAGAGGAAATAAATAGGATAATTAATTATAAAATTAATAAAGGCTAATTAAAATAATTAAAAGGTAGTAATGGAATTGAATCATATAATATAGGAAATTAAAAAATATAAACGAACTAAGGCCGGATCTAAGGGATAGAAAATAAAGGAATATTAATAGAATAAGGCTAGAATTAAGGAATAAAAAGCGAAGAAAAATAAACGAAGTAAGGCCGGAATTAGGGGATTAAAACAAAAGAAGATACGAATAAAATAAAGCCAGAATTAAAGGATTAAAAGAGTAGGAGATTAGAAGAAGGCGAAGTAGAATATAGATATAGGGTATTTAAGGAATTATATAATAATTAAGGTTAAAAGTTGTAAAAATTAAGAGGGAAAATGGGAGTGGGAATTAATTATCTAATTATCCTAGGGTAGTATTTCTATTTATTCCGACCGAGCGTAGGTAAAGTTCGGGATTGCCCGCTTAATTAAATCATAATTCTTAATATAAGAATTAAATCTACTCTTTAAAATTTCTAATTTTACGTACTATTAGAACGCTTATTGAAATGGAGCAAAAAAGACACCACCATAGAAAAGCATGGCCTACCCAAAACCTTAGAGTGAGGTGTTAATCTGAAGGTTAGGAATGATTTCGCGAGGATACCAGAATGAAGCCTCTAAACCGTAGCCATCAACTACCAAAGGAGGGAGGGGGAAGTAGAGCTTTACCCCTAAGTTAATTGCTCTAGAGTTAGAAGTGGATCTAGAGGTTAGGTTCTTAGGGAAGGGATTACGAATAAATTTAATAGTTAAATCTTTTTAGGAGCGAAGCTTAAATATATTCTACTAATTAAAATAATATTTAATTTAAGTTACTTACCCTCCTCCTTCTCGTTTTAAGGAGGAGTATTACCCTTTTTATCCCTAGAAATTTCTACTATAACTACCTACCTTCGTAATTCGGGAAAAACAATCCAATAGATCTACTCCTCCCTATCCGAATTACTCTACTTCTAATAACCCCCTTAGTCTATACTAAAAAACTAGAAGAAATTCCCTAAATTAAATTTCCCTTTAAATATGCCTATAAATCCTTTTAATAAATTTTCTAAAAACTAAAACGTCAACTTTAAAAATTATTATAAAGAGAACCAATATAACCCCCTATAATAGAATCCTATACCCAGTAACCTACTTTTCATTACAATATACCGGTTAAGAATATAATTATAATATTTATAATAATGAATTACTAGCTATTATTAAAGTATTAGAGGAGTGGAGGCTAGAATTTGAAAGTATATAATAACCGTTCGATATTTTAACAGATTATAAAAATTTGAAGATTTTTACTATAAATAAATAATTAACCCCGCGCTATATACGATAGTTATAATTCTTATCCCGCTTTAATTTCTTAATCCGTTATACCTTTGGCTTTAAAAATTTACGCCCTAACGCCTTAAATCAGAAACCCGAGGACGTTTTTTTAAATATAGAGGATTAGTATTTAAAAGCGCGCTATTATACTTTAATCGACCCGGCTAAGTTTAAAGTTAGGTATTTAAAGTTTAATATAGAGTTAGAAATCCTATTTAGCATCTTCGTTAAAACTTTAAACTTCGAAGAAGAGGTTTTCCTTTTTACCTTAAACGCTTTGAAAGAACCTAAAACATTAATTAATAAAATCATTAACGATAATTATACGAAATGAGTATTAATATAAGAGGCTACGGCTTGCCTACGGGACCCTAACCGGTCAGAATAGCGTTTATATATTAAAAAGAAACTAAAGGTAACCTTCTTAAAATATTCTATAATAGAAAATAAACCTTACTATAGAGGAAGGGTATTCATCGACTTAAATAATACTGCTACCTACCTATAATTAATTTACTACGCCTACTTATTATCAACGGCGGGGTACCCGGGTAAAAATAAAACTTAGGTATAAATAAACGAATATTAGTATTAATTAAGTATAATAAAAGCTGTTAAAG